GGGGGCGGCGGGCGTCCGGGCGGGTGCCGGATTCAGTTCGTTCCGTCGCTTCAACACGCAAGTTGATGGCGATGGCGAGGTCGGAGTGATGCAGCAATAGGACAAGAGAAGAAGAGGAGTAGTTGATGGTGTTGATGCACGGGAGGGGGGGGTGGGGAGGGGAGGGGACGGTGGATGACGCGATGGCTTGGGTGACTGGGTGGGTGTACTGGGTGTACTGGGTGTAACTGGGTGTAACTGGGCGAGTGCGTGATGAGTACACGAGGTGATGATAACGCGTCGGGTAACATGACTCGACTCGGCCCCGAGCATCCGAGGACCAGGGCGGTCACGCCTTGTTGGCTCGTACAGTCCTCGACGCGCGATGCAAACAACAACAATCATCTCGTGCATCCCATTCACTCCATCCATCCACCCCATCCAGATGTCAGCTCCATTCATACCACACCTACAACACCCTCCACGACTTGCATCAGCTGTACTCTGTGACCACCGGCTGCAACGCAACATCTCTCGCAGCAGTCATCTCCTCACGCCAACCTCAGTTCAGCAGCGGATGGCGTCCCCACCCTCGTTTCAGACTCTATCCGCACCGCCGGCGGCATGCAGCAGGTGAACCGTTCTCACCCCTTGACCTCCCCTCCACTTGTTCACCCACTCCTCCGTCCCCAAACATAGTCATGGCGTTGAGGACTGTAAGCCAGCGGAGCAGGACTGGGTCGTCTGTCGCAAGGGAGAGAGCAAGCTGCAATGCAGTACCAAAGTCAGTATCGGCCGGTCGAATGTTATCGGTGCCTGATGCGGGCAATTCTCAGGCTGCGTCTCCCGGAGCCCGGTACTCACTGCTGAGTCACGAGCCCGAGGCCTGGAAGCCTGGAGGGCTCGAGGCCGGACGGCTGCGGGAGACCTCCGCGACCAGAGCAAGAGCAAGAGCACGAGAGCGAGAGCGAGAGCAAGCGAGAGCAAAGCACGAGATGAGACCACAGCTGAGCCTACGTCATGTAGATCACACGGCACCCATGCCGTCACTTGACTCGAATCCGGCTGAGCATCGACCAGGTTCTAGACTTGAGCTTGACTGTGCAGGCAGCAGGCAGCTAGCGCTAGACTGCCTCTCTAGCTCGCATTGGTGCGCGTGATCAGGATGGTGCTCAGCACCTGCTAGCTCCACCACATGTGCTCGTTGCGGGCACAGCCATCGCTCATCCTCCACACAGACTGCGCTTTTGCGTCACAGCCCATCTCGGCCCATTGGTCTTCGGATCAAGTACGTCGGATCAACCGTCGGCGGCCCGGGTGGTGGAGTCAAGCTCCAAGATCTGGAGCGGCGTCATTGTTAATAGCCTCGGTGGACGGAAGACGGAGCGCATGAGAGCGATCGCTACATCGGTAGATCAAGCGGCATGAGCACGTGGAGCAAATGGGCACGTGAGTGGAATTGATTCCGGCCCTGTTGTTCCGTCTCAATGCTGCAATGCTAGTCGCCGTCGCCGTGACTCCGTTGCTGGAGGATCACACCAGTAGCGCATGGCACAGGATATGTGATCACACTCCACTCATCATGTTCTCCACTCTGGAAAGCCAGTCAATCAATGTCTGCAGCTACAGGCGGCGTCGGGGGCTGCGCGAGTTTTTGTTTTACCAAAGTCGCTGCGCATCTCAGTCATCCTCATCGCCGTTTGTCGAATTGTCGGGCAGCAACTGTTGCTGAGCGATTGAGCAAGCCTCGGAGACGTGTTTGACCGCTGGAGTGGACATGGACTGCTCAATTGCTGAATCATGCTTCAAGACGATTATTTCTACTCACGCGGGCCCATATCACCAGACAACCTCCACTCTCCCCCTCCACTTCTGGCAAAAGTCCGCACACCACCCTCCATCACATGCACCACGCCATGGCCACCGTAAGCGTCGTCCCGCAACGCGCCGCGCCGCGCGCGCCGCGCCCTCCGCCCTCGGATGCCCCACGCTAATGCAGATCACCGACGTCATCAACAACCTCGTGCACCCGCGCGTCGTCGAGGCCTTCCTCATCTCGCCGACCTTCACCTCGCGCCTGCCGTCCGGCGTCCAGCTCTTCCTGCGGCCGCACTACGCCGTGTCGCCGCGCGCCGACGCGTCGGCCGAAGCCCGCGCGGCGCTCGCCACCGAGAAATACACATGGGCGATCGTCGACGAGCGCCCCGGCACACATGTGCGGCACGTGCTCGCCGCCGCGCTCGTCGACGAGGACGTATCCGACGCCGAGTTTGACGCGCTCGACGCCGCCCTCGCCGCCGGATTCAAGATGTACGTCGACGACGACGGCACGCCGTGCTTCCTCCTCGGCGAGCGGCGGGTGACGCCCGCGGACGCGCAGCACGCCTTCTTCACGTGGGTGTTGAATGGCGCCGCGACGGCGCGCGCCGCCGGCCTCAAGCTCATCCTCGCGAATGGGCCGCGCTGGATCCTCGTCGAGACGGACGGGGGGCTCAGTATTTCCCGCAGCGTGGGGAAACGGAAGGACGGGAGCGTGCTCGATCCAGAGGGCGCGAATACGAGCATGTTTGGCGGGTTGGTGAGCCAGGCCTTCGAGGCTGTCGTCACGCGCGACGCGCTCGCGAGCCTCATGCACGCCAAGGCCAAGGCGGAGCGATAGCGTTGTGGCGAGGATAGTTGGGCCGTAGTCGGAGAAATGTCCCATCTGAAAACGGCCTCTAAGAGAGCACTGACTGTGAACGCCCACTCTTTCCACTTGGACGCAGCCGGTCAAGAAGGAACACCCCCTCACTCCGCTCAGCATGGACGTAACGTCTCAACCTGGGGCAGCATCTTGGGACACCGATCTCCGAGAAGAGTGGGCCGCAGGGGCACCATTCACCCTTCTATGATCCGTGCGCGCCATGTCCCCTGTGGACAACATGGCCAACACGGCCAACCAGACGTACAATAAGCGTCCACATACCACATACTCACCACTGACCACAATGACATCCACCATCGACGCATCCCGCGAGCGCGTGCCCAGCCCCACACCGAGCTCGGCGTTGAGCGAGGACGATTTTGTCGACGCGCATGACGGGGAAGATCTGCGTGGGGGGCACAAAGACACGATACCCGCCTCACCACCCACTCCTGCTGCCGACGCAACGAAGACGATCGAAGCGTCACAGCCTGAAGCTCCTACGCCAGCCGGCGCTCCGTCGCCCGCGTCCGCGGCCGCCTCCGCCGCTCCAGAGCCAGCACGCACCCCCTCCCCCCGCCCCGCCCGATTGTACCTCTCGCCTCGGAGATCCTCGCACACGCCGTCAGAGGGGCACACGCCCATGGCGACGGCGCCTACCTCCCCCGCCTCCCCCGCCTCCCCGCGCACCATGACGCCGGCCACGGCCGCGACGACACCAGACCCGCGCCCCAGACTGGAGGGTTACGGTCGACCGCCGCTCACGCCCTTCGCGGCCTCGGCGCCCTTCGCGCCCGCGCCCTCCGCGGCCCCGCGGTCCGTGAGCGCCACGATGGCGCACGCGTTTGCGCTCGCCGCGCAATCCGACAGCGACGACGACGACGACGCGCCAGCCCCAGGCCTGCTCGACGACGACTGGTCCGCGTTTGTGCAGGCCCAACTCGTCCGTCTCTTCCCCGACTTCCACGACATCCTCGAGGCGCAGGAGGCACCCTCCCTCCGCGCCGAGATGCAGGCGATGCGGGGCGAGATCGAAGTGCTGCGCCGCGTCGTCGCCCACGTCGTACAGGGACCAGAGGCGGGGCTCGAGCTCGACCCCGTGGCGATGGGGCTCGCGCTGGCTATCGTGCGCGCGGTGGATGCGTCGCGCGCGGGCGCGAGGCCTGATGCCGAGGTGTTTGCGCACGATAACCTCCGCGCGTTGTTGGCTGGCGTGAGTACGTTGGTCGAGGCGACGCCTGCTACGTCGCTGTTTGGACCGATGCTGGAGGCTGCCGTTGCGTCGTCGACGCTGGATTTTGAGTCGCCTCCTGCGCTTGCTGCACCCCCTTCCGCTCCCTCGCCTCTCTCAGAGTCCGAGCCTTTGCCCTCCCCTCCATCTTTGGCCCCCTCACCCCCTTCACCAACCGCCTGCCCCGGGCCATCGTCGCACACCGCCCACACCACCCACCCTACCCATCCCTCCCACGCCCTCCTCGACGCCCACGAACAACTCGAAAAGGCGCACGACATTGCGATAACGCCCGAAATCGGCACGCCACCGTCGTCCACACCCCGCCCATGCATCGCGGACGCAATGTGCGAAGAAGAACTCGAAGAAGTCATTGAACTGGCCGAGGAGGCGCACAAGATTGTTTCGTAGATCGTAGATCGTAGAGTGTGCATCTGACCCCCGAAAATTCTTTGCCCATGTACACATGCGTCGAGATCAGCGCATTCCACATGTGTCAGAGGGCAGTACTCTAGTACAAGACATCCGGCGGAAGGCGGAAGGCGTCAAGGGTGGGGAATTCGGTGACTCTGGTATGGGAGCCGCGAGAGCCGCGATACGCTGAGCTTGGTAGCTCGCGCTGAGCTTGGTAGCTCGCGGCTCATGCGGCATGCGGTAGGCGATTGAAAGCGAGCGCAGAGGCAAGTGGGTTGGCAGCTTCGCGGGTAATCATGGAAGAATGATGGAAATGAAATGTTTGGTTCCATTTTGGGGTGCGGTTTTTGTGATGCGCTGAAATTGCCTCTTTTTTGGGTGTTGCACATCCAACCCGGATTTAGCTCTGGCCTCTCTCTGCTCGTCGTCGTCAGTCGTCGTCGCTGGTCACTCGCAGAGATGCTCAGACGACCTCGCTGTCACTCTCACATAGCTCACATCGCCCAGACACGCCCACTTGCACACTTGCCAGTTGACAGAATATCCATACGATTGAGCGATTTAGTCTGACTGGTGCACAACTCGCTCACTGCGATCGGCACTGGCCAACATCCGCAATCTCACAACACTGACACGGCGCCACCACCACCACCACCACTCTCGTCCCCTCTGTATCTCTGTGCTAGCCGCCCTCCTCCCAATTTGCCGACCCAATCTCTTTGCTCATCTCCTCCTGCATCGCTCACTTGCCCGACGTACCGACGTTTGCAAATGCAAAATGTTGGACCGGCTCGCTATTCTCGACACGCACGCCAGGATGATCTCTTTGAGCCCCCTCCCCCCCCCCTCTCCACCCTCTTCAGAAGCAGGTATATCTGCACACTTGACGCTCTTCTTCTCACTCACCCACGCTCTCTTTTACTCATCTCCTCCCCCACCTCACTTCCGTAGCCATGGCCCACTTTCAAGATCCAGAGAAGGAAAAGGACGATTCCGACACAATCGCTGCCAACGAGGTCGAGTACAAGACCATGAGGCATGCAGTCACCATCCAAGAGGATGGCCCGGCTCGTGAGCTACGTCTCCGCCGTCAGGTCTCGCAGGTGGACACAGCGTCCCGTGTAGTGGGCGAGTTCCGGTGAGCCACTCAACCCCCTCCATTTAAGATGGGCGTTCGCTGACTGACCCCCAGCACCCTCTCGATCCACATCACCGACTCCCTTGCCACCCCAGCCGTCCAAGCCAAGCGTGATGCAGCCCGCGAGCTCTCCGAGCTCGACTGGCACCGCGTCTCGCTTGAGGAGGCCCTCCAGCGTCTCAACGTGTCTCCCAAGTCTGGCCTCGACATCGACCAGGTCAAGCGCCGCCAGGCCAAGGGCATGAACGAATTAACGCCACCGCCCCGCAATCTCGTCCGCAAGTGGCTCTCTTACGTTTTTGGCGGCTTTGGCTCGATTCTCTTCATCGGTGGTGTGCTCTGCTTCATTGCCTGGCGCCCGCTCGGTGACCCCAACCCCGCCGTAGCCAACCTTGCTCTCGCCGTCATTCTCCTTCTCGTCATCGTGATCCAGACAGCTTTCAACGCTTGGCAAGACTGGAGCACGTCCCGTGTAATGGCTAGCATCACCAACCTGCTCCCCCAGGAAGTCACAGTCGTCCGCGACGGGTGTCCCATGAAAGTGCCTGCCCGCGAGCTCGTCACCGGTGACATTGTCAACATTGGCCTCGGCAACAAGCTTCCCGCCGACGTCCGCTTCCTCTCCACCAATGACTTGAGGTTCGACCGCTCCGTCCTTACTGGCGAGAGCGAGCCGATCCACACGACTCTTGACATGACGGACGAGAACATCCTCGAGTCCAAAAACATCGGCTTGCAGGGCACTTTGTGCGTGGCGGGTAGCGGCACGGGTGTAGTGTTCCAAACCGGTGACGCCACTGTGTTTGGACGCATCGCCAAGCTCTCCTCGCGCGGCGGACCCAGGCAGACGACGTTGGAGAAGGAGATCTACGGCTTCGTTCTCATCATTGTTGGCTTCGCGCTCTCGATCGCCCTCCTCGTCGTCATCCTCTGGGCCGCATGGCTCAACAAACAGCACAAGGGCTTCATCACGCCCGCCACCCTTGTCATCTCCATTGTCTCAGTATGCGTGGCCTTCATCCCCGAGGGTCTGCCCGTGTCCATCACCATCTCGCTCAAGGTCGTCGCCAACGCCCTCGCTCGCCGCAAGGTGCTCTGCAAGACGCTCATGACCGTCGAGACCTTGGGTAGTGTCAGCGTCCTTTGCTCTGATAAGACCGGCACCCTCACGTCGAACATCATGACCGTCACCGACGCCGCAGTTCTCGACACCGAGTTCACGGCTGAGGAGGCCAAGAGCCGCCTCGGGACCGAAAAGGACGACGGACGGCTCACGCAGCTCGCCGCCATCGCCGCGCTTTGCAACGGCGCACGGTTCGAGCCCTCCTCGGACGGCGAGATGCGTGCCAACGGCGACGCGACTGACGCTGCCATCCTTCGCTTTGCCGACTCGCTCCGTCCAGTAAGCTCCGCCAACTCTGACTGGATCGAGGTCCACAAGGCCGCCTTCAACAGCAAGACCAAGTTCATGCTCCGCATCATGCGCGTGTCGTCTTCCGCTTCCTCCCGCCCCGCCCCGATCGCTCCCCACGACGCCTGGGGCAAGGAGTCGCTCATGCTCACCGTCAAGGGTGCCCCCGACGTTCTCCTCAAGCGCTGCACGCACATCGCAACCCCCGCCGGCCCATGCCCCATCACTGAAGATATGCTCGCCCGCCTCACTGCCACCCAGTCGCGTTGGGCCGCCAAGGGCCAGCGTGTGCTTCTCCTCGCCAAGCGTGTCATTTCCACGTCTGATATCGCTGGCATGGCCCTCGACTCGGACGACTTTACCGCTCACGTCAACACCAACCTTAACCAACAGCTCACTGTCGTCGGCCTCGTCGGTCTCGTCGACCCACCGCGCTCAGATATCCCCGAGACCGTCCGCACGCTCCGCGGCGCCGGCATCCGCTTTTTCATGGTCACGGGCGACTTTGCGCTCACCGCCGTAGCCATCGCTGAGCAGTGTGGCATCGTCACTTCGGCCGCGCACATCCACACCGTCGCCAACTTGGACCGCAACATGGAGCTGTCCGCCGTCCCCGCATACAACCCCGACGACGAGGACGCCGCGACGCGCTCCCTCGTCCTCTCCGGCCCCGAGCTCATGGAGATGAACGACTCGCAGTGGGCCCAGGCGTGCGCGTACTCTGAAATCGTGTTTGCCCGCACCACGCCCGACCAGAAGCTGCGCATTGTCCGCGAGTTCCAGGCGCGCGCATGCATCGTCGGCATGACGGGTGACGGTGTCAACGACGCGCCCTCGCTCAAAGCCGCCAACGTCGGCATTGCGATGGGCTCGGGCTCGGACGTCGCCATCGAGGCCGCCGATCTCGTCCTCCTCGACACCTTCTCGTCCATGGTCACGGCGGTGACGTACGGCCGCCTCGTGTTCGACAACTTGAAGAAGACGATTCTGTACCTCCTGCCCGCCGGCTCGTTCTCGGAACTCATGCCCATCCTCCTCAACGTCCTCATCGGTGTGCCGCAGATGCTGAGCTCGATCCAGATGATCATCATCTGCTGCGTACGTCTACTCCCCGCTTCTCGCTGACACCAGCTCACGGACGTGCTCCCCGCCGTGTCGATGTGCTTCGAGAAGCCCGAGGCAGGCCTCCTCACCCGCCGCCCGCGCGACATCAAGCGCGACAAGCTCGTGGACTGGAAGCTGCTGCTGCACGCGTACGGCTTCCTCGGTGTCCTCGAGTCGCTGTGCGCCATGTCCATGTCCTTCTGGTACCTCCAGCGCCGCGGGTTTCCGTTCAGCCGCATCGTGCTCGCGTTCGGCGGCCTGCCGCCCGACCTCGACGCGTCCGTCTTCGCAGAGGAGGTCAACGTCGCGCAGAGCGTCTACTTCTTCACCCTCGTGTTCATGCAGTTCGGCAACCTCCTCGCCACGCGCACACGCCGCCTCTCCATCTTCCAGCACCCGCCGTGGGGCAAGACGGTCAACTGGTGGATCCCGCCCGCCGTCGCGGCCAGTCTCTGCTTCCTCTTCTTCTTCTCCTACCCCCCCTTCTTCCAGAGCGCGCTCCTCACACGCGGCGTGCCCGTCGAGTACATCTTCATCCCCATCCCCTTCGGCCTCGGCCTCCTCTTCCTCGATGAGGTGCGCAAGTTCTGTGTGCGCACGTGGCCGAAGGGCTTCCTTGCCAAGATTGCGTGGTAATCTCCCTCTCTCCATACTCTCCCTATCTTGACACTCTCACGACACGACAGCATACGCTATTAGATCCATACTGGTATAGACAAGCTATAGAAATGTACAGAGTGCTTGTCACGCGTGGGCGAGAATCGAGGCTGCCTGGCAGGGTGGAGGCGCGCGCTCCCCGCGGACAAATGGCGTCTGTCCCATATGCTCGCCTGTCCTGTCGCCAGCCTGATCGCAAGCAACACCAAAGCCCAAAGCGCCGCCCTCCAGATGCTAAGGGTACATTTCCGTCTACAACTGTCTAGACTACATCTACTGCGAGGTTGTCACGGCCGATTCTGACGACTGCGTGTTGCTGCCAAAGTAGTCGCGCTTGGTCGTGTCGGCAGGCTGCACGTCGACCTTTGCGCCCTTCTTCGGCGGCTTGGGCCGGTGCGTGTCCACACTCTCAATGGGGACCGGGAACCGTTCCTCGAGACACCCGTACGCGCGCGGCGAGATGCGGATAAGCGTGTGCAGCGGCACATTGATGTACGGCAGCTGCTCCTGCGACAGCCCCATAAAGTAGGCGTACAGGCAGCGGATGATGGCCTGGTGCCCGATGATCAGGACGTTGTCGGCGCGCTCAAGCTCCATGATCACGGGCTCGAGGCGCACCACCACGTCGCGGTACGACTCGCCGCCGCGGTAGCGGTAGTTGAACTTGTCTTCGTCCCGCGCCTCGTAGTCTTCCGGGTACTTCTCCTCAATCTCCTCGTACGTCATGCCGTCGCAGACGCCGGCGTCGAGCTCGTCCAGCGCCTTCCACTGCTTCTTCTCGCGCGGAAGCAGAGAAGCCGTCTGGATCGTGCGGGTGAGGGTCGACGTCCACACTTCGTACTCGACATCGCCGATGTGCTCCTTCACAAGCCCCGGCAGGGCCTGCATGTACTGCAGTCCGCGCGGAGACAGTTCAGCGTCGCCGCCAATCTTGCCCTGCACGTTGTACATTGACTCGCCATGCTGCCGTCAGCTTTGGCCCAAAACTTCAACTTACCCTGGACAGGTAGATCGAGCGCGGCTTGAGGTGGAGGTTCATAAGGTAGAACGCCATGCGCGACTGCAAGTATCCCTCGATGCGATTGATCGTCACACGGCTTCCGACATTGAGGATACGGCAGTACGAGATGTCCGGCTCGGATACAGTCTGGTACACGCGCTCGTAAGCCTCGATGCGCTTGCGGAAGTCGGCAATAGCCTCCTCTCTGGACATGCCCGCGTAGTCCGGGTCACCCGACGACGCCTTGAGGGCAATGTTTGTTGCGATCACATCCGGGTCATCACACACCGACTCGAGGAACATGAGCTGTAGGCCGGGCTCGCGCGCAATGCGGTCCCTGATCCTTGCTCTGCGCTCGTACGTGCTGTTGGTGGCGTCTGCGTGTCAGTGCGCTCACACACGTGGGTGCTTTCCGCACCACCCAGCACTCACCCATGATACCAACGTTGCCCTCCTTCTTCAGCCACGAGATAAGGCTCTCCAGCGACTCCTCAGCTAGCCGCTCGCGCGCGGCTTTGGCGTCCGCGTTGCTATCCGAGAAGAACGTAGCAGAGTGGTCTGCCTTGTTACCTCCACTACAGGTTAGCCCCTCCCCGCACGGACAAGGAATGTCCACAACTAAAACGCACAGTTTAGCACTCTCACGAGCCTTGGACCGCCGGAGCTGCCCCACATTGAACACCTCCACGTTGTACTCGAGCCACTGGACGTCAGATCACCGGTGCAAAAATAACGCACTCGCAGGTAGCGCATCATCTTGTTGGAGAGGTACGATTTGCCACGAGCAGGAAGGCCGACCTAGGGTCAGTGGGGTCCCATTGTGTGGACGAACCATTGCGACGACAATCTTGGCCTCGGAGTAATCTGGCTTCTCAACTGATTGTGAGCGGCAGGCGCGGGGCAATCGAGTTGGGGCCTTATTACTCACCGACACCGCCTATGCCCGACACCGAAGGTGCGCGCTTGAGGCCGTCGCTCGAGTCGCGACTCTGGCGAATGACCTTGGTGCTGTCGTCGAGCTGTCTCAGGCTGGTGGTGTCAACTAGACCATATGAGCGGGACATACAGGTCGGTCTGGGCTCCAAAGTGCGGCGTAGCGGGGGGCGAATAGAAACGCTTCTCGGACACGCTAGCAGGCATCAAACCAACCTGCGACGCGCGTCTGGAGGCAGGGTTGGAGGCGCTCGCGCTCTCGGGCGGAGAGGTCACAGGTGTCGGTGGGTGGCTGAGACGCAGCTCGTCGATCTTGCTGATGGCTTCGGCAAGGGCGTCATGCCCTTCCGCTCCGAGTGCCGGCACCGACAGAATCTCGGGGACCGGTGGGGCTGAAAGGGGAGGTACAGGTGCAGAGATCTTGGTGGTAAGAGGTTTGAGAATGGGCGACTTGGCGACGGGTGAGCGAGATACGGGGGAGCGGGTGCCAGGTGACTTGGAGAGGGGCGACTGGGTGCCAGATGTCGCCATGGGCACGGAGCCCGCGTTTGTCCTTGGGACTTGAGGTGGTGGCATGCCACTCATAACGATGTGTTTGTCTTGATGGGTGTTGATGAGATGAGATGTTGATGAAGAAAACAAGCGATGTGATGGGAGCGCGCAAGCGAGAGGGGATGTGAGAGAGAGCGAGTGATGTGATGAGCAAGGGCGGGACTAACCCCCCGCTTTGTGACGACAACGACTGGGATTTGTTGACTCGGCCCGATTACAAGCTATAAGAGTAATTAGTAATTATAGTAGTATTTGCAGTCATTACATTTGAGGAGTATTACCCCCACGTGGGAATCGGGCCCCACAGTCACTAACCCGCACTCACTCCGGATGACGTGACTTTGTTGTTGTTGCTCTTCCTTCTTCCTCAGCTCGCTCTCATCCATCCCATCTCAACACGATGAGCTCGTACATGAGCAGCTCATTTCCCGCAAGCGGCTTCAACTCGCAGTGGGATATTGACGTCGGCTACGATGACGATGTCATTGACCAGAGCGAGGTGAGTGAGCAACACCCATCTCAACGTCAAGCTCCTCGGCTGAGCACTCACCTTCCCTCGCTGACATCCAGTATCAGTATGCCGCCCGCGATCATATCCTTTTCTGTATCGACGCGTCACAGTCGATGCAGACGCCCGCCCCCGATGACAAGAACGAGGCGGGAGTCATTCGTGGCAAGAGTCCCCTGCACCAGGCTCTTGACGCCGTGGTCAAGATCGAGCGCACGAAAGTCATAACCGGCCCAAGTGACAGCGTCGGCGTGCTGCTTTACAACATTGACGTGAGCTGTGTTACCGGTTCAGTGACTGATGGCAGTCTGCAAAGGCACCTCCTTCAGGAAACGGAAGCGTGCGCGATGGCACATACGTTGTGCAGCCGTTGCGAACCATCAGCGCTGAAGAGATCAAGCGGCTCATCAAACTTCTTGAGCGGGCTAATGACGAGTATGCCGAGCAAGAAGACGGCGATGCGCCCACCGTTGAGCCCACTGTTCTGCGCGAGAACTTCCCGCCTGTCGCATTGAAGGACGAGCTTAATACCGCTGGGGTGTTCCAAGCGTGCATGTACCTCTTCCGCGACGCGTAAATTTTGATCATCCTACCAACGCTGACAACAGTGGCAACCGCGTAACTGGTAACAAGCGCGTCTTCCTTATCACCGACCAAGATGAGCCGCCTGGAGCGGAAGTCAATCGCTCCCCAGCCCGCACAGTCTTCACCGTGGGCAGGGCACCGCGATCCGGAAGCTGACCTCAGGACATGACCGCCTATGGTGTGTCGATCAACACTTTCTTCATCAACCGTCCTGGCCACTTGTTCAATGCGAACACTTTTTGGAATGTCAGTAGAGATGTCGATAGGGAGCTAATGAACAGGACATCCTCCAGCGCCCAGAGACACTTGAGGGCTCGTCCTCCTCTGACGGGATGGAGGATCTGACAGACCTCATTTCAGAGCTTGTCGTCCGCCAGGCACCGAAGCGCAAGCAGTTCTCCATTCCACTGAAGTTTGGGGGGCGAGATGGGGACATTGAGATTGGCGTTGCTGGGTAGGTCATTACCTCATTCGCACACTCACCACCTCAGATATGCCTTAATATCAGAGCAGAAGAAAGGCACTTCCAAAATGGTTCGCATGCGAGGGCGCACGGTTGAGGAGGTTCAGACAAGGACGATATATACATCTGCCGTGAGCTTCGCGCTTTACCTTCGCTAATGCACAGGAAACTGGTGGAGATCTCCTACCTGACCAACTCACGTCCGCATTCGAGTTCGGCGCGGAAGCTAAAATCGAGAACATGCTCGAACGGGACGCTTGGGAACAGGGCCAAGAGGAGGATAGAGACGAGGACGGGGATCTGCGCATGGATGGCGCCTCCGGCGAAGACAGCGGGGAACCAAAACTTGTTGCGAAGACCCGAGTGAGTCATGTACTGCGGCGCTCGCTTACAACTAGCTCAAGTTTACGGACGAGCAAATCCGCAGCTATAAAACGCTCGATATTGAACCCCCTCGTAAGATGACCGACTGCCACCTAGCTTATCTTTGAAATCAAAATATTAGGCTTCCAATCGCCCGAACATCTCGTGATGACTGACAATATCAAGCACTCGTACTTCATCTATCCGGACGAGTCGGTGAGCTAATTCTCGCGCCTCGCAACTCACCCCAGACCTACACAGGCAGTACACGCGCTTTCACGGCTCTTCTGAGGTCTTGCATCAAGCTCGACCGCCACGCACTGGCTTTGTGCCGCTTCCGCGCGAGCAGTTCTCCGGAATTTGCAGTCCTTGTTCCTCAGGAGGAGACCATCAACAAGAAGGAAGGTGGACAGGAGGACCCACCAGGCTTTCATGTAGTCATTTTGCCCTTTGTAGACGATATCCGCGACCCACCTAAGAAGATGACCTACAACTTGACAGGTGCGTTTGCTGGCCGCACCTTGCTGACCCCAGCGACCGATGAAGAGACCAAGGCCATGGAGCGGCTCATGCGGCGCCTCCGCTTCAAGTCGGGCAAGTATGTCTCAGACGTTTACCCAAATCCAGGTGAGCAGAGAACAACAGTTTCTAGCTCACATTAGCCCTTCAGTACCACCAGAAACAGTTACAAGCGCTGGCGTTCGATGAGGACTTCGATACCGAGGAGTTCGATGACAAAGCGCTGCCCAAGTACCTGGGCATCCACAAGGCCGCGGGCCAGCTCATGAAGGACTGGAAGAAACTGATTGATGATGACGAGCGTGCGGTAGAGACTGCGCTCAACCCTCCCTCTAAGCGACACGTTGTGGCGGTGAGTTGGCACGGCGGAATCACAAGTTGACGCGCAGATTGACCCTGCCGACCTCCAAGATATCCCAGGTGCCTACCGCAATGGGACGCTGGAAAAGGTTTGTTGTATCTTGTGTCTGATTACTGACGACAGCTCAAGGTGCAGGAGCTGCGTGATTATGCCAAAGCCAATGGTGAGTCGGTGGTGCACGCCATGTCTGCAGTCATTGACGTGTCAGGAATCAGCCTGTCGGGTCTCACGAGGAAGGCCGACATCATCGATGCCATTACGGATCATCTAGCGCAGGATACAGGGGCGAAGAAGTCGAAGCACTACTAGGACAATGTTGTACTGATGTACTTATATCTGCAAGTCAGAGCGGTAGAATGGCTCGGTAGGCTGAGGAGGCACAAACGTGCTGAGTGAATCCGGGCTGTTGAGCGGATTTCCCGCGCTTGATCCAGTAATGTATGGCTAGCGCGTACGGGCTTTCACCAAGCACTCACCATTAGAGGAGGCATGGGAGGCATGGGAGTCATGGGTGGCATGGGTGGGATGCTACAAGCAGGTCGATACCACCTTCCCTCATTCTTGACCTTGCACTCTAAGCCATCGTCGATCTGCTTCCTCACTCCTCATCATCTCTCTCATTCACATCTGTCACTACTCCTTCTTCTCACTTTTCCACGTTTTGATCACCTCTCTTGCTCCATCGATCCTTCAGCCTCTCTTGTTGCTCCCACCTCTCTCGATCAAACGGTTACTCTTTGCAGTACCCCACTCAGTTCCGTCGGTATCCTCACGCTTCTCCTCATCCTACCACTGGCAACTAAGTAACGTATTCTCATTTGAACACCTCCTTCCCTCAACTACTCTCCGCTATCGGCGTCATCGAACAGGCAAGTGTGACGAGACTCACGGCGGTGATGCAGAGTAACTCGGACATGAGTCATAACAGTCACCTGTAAGCCCCCTTTCTCTTCAATCAATCTAACAAAAGTACACCTGCCTCTTCCAACATGCGGACCCGCCCCAGAGCGTGCAAGGCCTGCAGGGAAGCGAAGGGCCGTCGCGAGTGGCCTCAGAGGGACATACCATGTGAACGATGTGCCAAGACGAACACAACATAGTACGGAGACACCGACTCGGTCCGTCCACTGACGACAGCAACACACCTCCTGCTGTTAGCGAAGTTCCGCCACGACCCAGACGAATCAGGTTCTACTTCGGGGATGGTAAGGGCGGCAACAACCCCAACACCGCCAACGGCTCCACTGGCATGAGCGGTGCAGCACCCGTCAACTCGAATTCCGATTTCAAGAACGACGACGCCAACCTGGACGGAGGAGCATCAGTCGACCCTCACAGCCAGAGAAGGGGCGACGAAATAACCGAGGAAGCATCAGTCCACACGCTCGGCATCGCCAACACCATGTCCTTTTCCCGGCTTTCCGGGACTGCGCTAAGATCTCACCAGATGTGGTGTACTGTGCGCAACATTGTTCACCATCGTCGCCTAGGCAAGCCGCCTTCTGAGGCTTTGATAGTCGTGTTCGGAATTGACAGCATTCACGGTTATAGTGCTGCACGTCATCTCCGTCACGAAAACTGGATGGTCCAGGGGGTTTTCTTAATTGACAACTCGTTTGTTCGCGGTAAGTACACAGTGCAACTTCGTCACTCCTACGAGGCCATCACTGAGTAATATCAGGAACAAACTGGTTGCGCAGCACATTTCTGACGCTAGACCTACGATCTCAAGGCATTTCCGTCTTCACGTCACGAGAGTTCGAGAAAAATGATCATCAACTTGCTCCTCACCTGTACGGAGCCTTTATTGGGCCGGAGTGGCCGCCTCCAGCCGAGAAACCTTACGATAAGTCATCGCTCTTTCTTCTCCTCAAGCTTCGTAGCCGCGGAGTCAAGCACGTGATATATTGTATCTCGGAATCATTGCGCTCCTCGTCGCCAGAGCAGCATCGGAAGAAAAGGAAATTTGCTGCCAATTGCACGGCGGAGGGCATACCTCTCACTCAACTTCTCCTCGGTTTAAGCTATCACGACGTCATTCAAGACCTCGATAAAACGACTCAGCCTTGGAGCTTCTCGCGGCAGCACTCACCAAGCGATCCTTATTTGCCGTACTTCGCTCCGGAGCAAACGGGCTGCTGGGCGACATCCGTTTTTGACATGCCCCACCTGATCGGACAAGATGTACATGCCGTGGGCGAGAGGCTATGCCGCGCCAACATCATCGCAGACCTCTTGAAATTGCAAGCAAACAACCCCAACAATGACGTTGAAATGCTTAGTGCAGAGGGTTTGAGCACCGGTCAGCAGACGAAGCCGGCCAGCAGCACTGACGACTTAGAGATAAGGGGCACTGTCGACTATAACAAATGTGCCCGTGTGCATCATGCCTGGGAGTTCTACGAATGGTTCACCCTCTGGGATACAACAAATGACAAAGCCGCGACCGCCAAGCGCCAGATCGACCTTGTAGAACTTCAAGTCTCCATTCTGGGTTAGAGAAGGTTTTCATCATGAGCGCGCACAGTGTGCACCCTCTCCACTCCTCCTCAAGAGTCCCCGATTACTGTCTTCCGCTGTGATGAGCTGTCCTCTTGGAAAGTCTAATGTGGTATGCTCCTCTCTCGACCTTTCTTGCCCCGAGAATGCCGAACACACTAGAGCCCCTCTGGTTCTTTGTCATTTTACCTGACTCGTGACCGGCAGTTGTGCTTCTCTGCTTGCGTGACACTGCTGAGTGATGGAGGTGGAGTCTGTATTAACGATACTTGGAGGCACTATGAGTCTTGCATGGCTTGATTGCGCATATCAGGAAGCACGACGAGCTCTGGGATCTGTGATGCCTACTAATACATGATGCCAGTCTATCTTGCTGCCCTATGTTCCAGTGAATATCTGTTCTACGTCATACCCAGGCGGATCTTCTCAGCCGCAAGCTCCTGCTCGCGCGCGCGGATTTCGGCCTTGGCAAGCTGCGAAGCTTGTTGTTTTGATGGCTGGTGATACAAAACTGCGTGTCAGCGCCATAATTAGGGAGGAGGTCTGGTCATTACCGACCTGGTAAGAGGTGGCCACGTTTCTGAAGCGCGCCTTCGCACTGCGCGGCCTCCCTCATCCCCCTCTTGCTCATTCACTCACCGACAATATACCGCTCCATGAGGTGGAAACCGTTCAGATGGTTGATGGCTTCCTTGGCGTCATCAGGGCTCTCGAACACAACATAAGCCGTGCCCTTGGTCTTGAGATCGGAAGATGTGCCCACGCGCACCTGTCGGATCGGGCCGTACTTTCCAAAGAGGTCATACAGGTCCGCGCCGGTGATGTTGAAGTTGCTGGAGTCAGCTCAGCAGGGTGCCCGAAGCTCACAGATTCTTGATACTAACGTCAGCTGGACCCTTATACAAGCAGCATACTCACAATAGCGTGCGCGCCGTGAGTGGATCGCGTGGTGCTTGAGACATGGCGGCAGTGGTGGAAGTTGTCAACAAGCAACTTGAGATCGATTGCCGGTCGTTGGGTGGCAAGTGGAGGAGACACAGGATAAAGTGCTAGAAACGCGTGAAGGAATATTCCACGTGTTCCGGTCAATCCTCAAGTGATTCCCTAAAGATTTCGAGATTGGCGAACCATCTCACCATCCATCCACCCAAAATGGCCACCGTCGTCACCCTCCCCCTCACCCTCTCCGCCGCTCCCTCGGGCTACAAGAAGCCCTCGCCCGGCAAGGCTTCCAAGCCCGTCGAGCGCCAGGTCTACCCCGCCGGCCCGAGCTACATCTCCTACGCGCGCCGCGAGGTGCTCCAGCTCTCATTTGAGCAGGACGACGAGGCGACCTCCTCTGCCCGTGCCGCGGCCGCTGCCAAGGCCAAGGCCGGCCAGGCCGAGGTTCTTTTCCCCGGTCTCGGTGAGGAGGAGGAGGACGCGGCACTCCTCGCGTCCGACCCCAAGGAGTGGAAGAAGCAGGACCACTACGCTGTCCTTGGCCTTGGGCATCTCCGCTACAAGGCTACTGACGAGCACATCAAGGTTGCCCGTGAGTTTGTGCTGGAACATGTACGCTCGCGGAGGACGAGAGGTGTCATACTCCCTCTTTGAGCTGTAGCTCGCCTTACTTTCCCCCGTTACCGTCGATATCTCGCTGACATCAGACCGCCGCAAGGTGTTGCGTCACCACCCCGACAAGAAGGCGGACCACGACGACGGCTTCTTTAAGTGCATCCAGAAGGCGCACGAGACCCTCACCAACAAGGAGAGACGCCGCCAGTTCGACTCGGTCGACTGGAACATCGCCGACGAGGTGCCCAACCCCAAGAATGTCCCTGCCGACAAGTACTGCGAGGTGTTTGGCCCCATTTTCGTGCGCGAGGGCCGTTTCTCGAACGACCAGCCGGTGGCCGAGTTTGGCGGACCCGACGCGTCCAAAGCACAGGTTGAGGGCTTCTACGACTTCTGGTACAACTTTGACTCGTGGCGCTCGTTCGAATGGCACGACAAGGAGGCCAACGAGGGCTCGGACAGCCGTGACGAGAAGCGCTACACCGAGAAGAAGAACAAGGCCGAGCGCCAGCGCCTGAAGAAGGAGGACAACACCCGTCTCCGTGAGCTTGTCGACTCGGTGCTTGCCAACGACCCCCGCATCAAGCGCATCAAGGAGGAGGAGAAGGCTGCGCGCCTGGCCAAGAAGAAGGGTGGTGCCCCCCAGCAGGGCAAGCAGACCAAGCTGTCGCCCGCCGAGGCCAAGAAGGCCGCCGACGCCAAGCGCAAGGAGGAGGAGGAGAAGAAGAAGGCCGACGCCGCCGCCAACGCCGTGTCCAAGGCCGACCGTGAGGCGGCCAAGAAGGCCAAGGAGGCCGCGCGCAAGAACCTCAAAAAGTGGAAGAAGGCCATTGCCGCTGTCATCGCCTCGTCCAACTACTTCCAGGAGGGGAGCGCGTCGGCCGCCGTCGTCGAGAAGCAGCTCGGCGAGCTCGACGCATACTGCGAGCTTGCCGAGCCCGAGGCCGTCAAGGACCTCAAGGAGAAGATCGAGAAGGCTGGCGCTGGTGCTGGCGCCAAGGACGTGCTCAAGGCTAAGGTTGCTGAGCTCGGTGACAAGGGCGCTGGCAAGTTCACCGAGTTCGCTTAAGCGACCGGCGTAGAGTGTAGTAGAGGGCCGCAGTGTCGCGTCTCAATAGTACTAGATGTTATTGCTTGCATCTTTGTCTTTGGTTAGGGACAGAGAGGCATGCCACCAAAGAACTCCTGTCATTGATCCTCTTAGGATGAATGCTGCACAGCGCAGCGCGACCTGCATGCATAAGCACCACCACCGTACAAAGTTGTCTATCGGCGCCTTGCCTCTAACTCCCTGTTCATCTATGGTTCGTCAATCCGCCTACGCGATCGAACCAAGAAAGCCCACCTTCTCAACACCCTCGACCAGCTGATCAACGTTTCCAAGCCACTTGCCGAGCTGCTGTCAGCGTCCACATTCGGATTGGCTATTTGCAGAGCAGCCACCGCCACTCTGCAAGAGCAAACAGCACAACAACTCCACTCTGCGGACTCACCTCGTCCTTCTTCTCTGCGACGGATCGCACACGACACCCGTCCTCGCCTACAGCACCAGAGGGGACTCTGCGGCTCGGGGCGAGTGGCGCTGGCGATGAAGGAGGCAGTGCGCCCTTCGTCAGCTCAGCTGGGAAGCCCTTGGAGCGCTGGAACGCAGGCGTCGACGAGGACGACCGCGACGGGCCAGGAGTACCGGGCGCGGTGCTGGGCGCCCGCGAGACGGGTGGGGGGCGGACCATTTCTCCCGGCGTTGTACTCTGCGCGAGCGGCGATTTGGAGTGTCGGCTGCCCCGACGTGCCACGAGCGCCGGGTCTGTATCGAGGCTGTGCTGGGTTGTCGCCTTGGGTTTGGAGAGCAGCGACGAGGAAGCGGACGGCTTGGCGGAGGAGGTCGGCATAGCGGACTTGGCGGGCGAAGCGACGTTGCCGCCAGAGGATGATGACGTGCGTGATACTCCCGAACTAGGCGCGCGCGAGGAGCGAGACGAGCTTCTCGAGACCGCAGCAGAGGGCGGCACCGCACTCGCGGACATGCTCGGGCGGTGTCCGGCCCTCTTGGTGGGCACAATGGTTGCACTCGATGCGCTTGAGCCCGTTGACGCTTGGCTGAACTCTGAGCTGGCACTCGAGACTCTGTCGGCCATCTTGCGCTGCGCCGCTAGCCACGCCGCAGAGTCACGCTTCGTCAGACTCCCATCATCTTCGTCGCTGCTGCGCGGTGATGGAGGAACCGGGGCGAGCGATGTACCGCTAGTGTTGGCAGGCACTTCGCGCTCAAAGCGGTGCGCTGATGGTGTTTGGAAGCCGAGCGTTGGCTTTGGCGGCTTACGTGGCGTCTGAGGAATGAAGGGGAGGTCAGTGTCACGAGGTGTCTCCGTTCCAGAGCGGCTGGGCGCCCGCCCGTTGTCTGCAACAAACGACTGCGGCTCTGGCGTCTGGAAGCGGCTGACGTCCACCGCCGACGCAGGCGGCTCAGCAGGTGCTGGCAGCTTTGACTCCTCCGCTCCATCTTCAGGCTGAAGATAGAAGTAGAGGAATTCACATGCCTTCATCCTGTCTGTCAGTGAAACGCCTTTCCTCTGCTCACTTGACGTCCTTCTGGACGTTGCTGCCGCGGAGCACGCGTGTGACGGCCTCGAGCCCGGACAACTCCTCGAACATTCGCGCATTCTGTGGCGCGTCGACCAGAATGCAAAACAACAGATCCAGAAGCAGATACACCGTCGGCTTCTTGCCCTCAGGTGCGAGCTGTGTCCGAAGTAGCAGGATGAGGTCGACGAACATCTGTTGTGAGCCTCGGCGCGTGTATCCGTTGAGGGGACATACCTCCATGGTCCATCTCTGTCCCGCAGCAGCTTTACATGACTTGGACAGCAAGCAAAGACCTTGAAGGACGTTGACAGCCACATCGATTTCAGGACTCAAATGATGAGCCAAGTCGTCCCCAGTGGCGAGGGAGGTGCCCGCCCCGCGCTTTGCTAGAGATGCCGTGTGACGGCCCAGTAAGACAAGGATAGGTTCGTGACCTAAGATCAGTTACTAATCGTGCGCGTCTCTTCGGCTTACTTTTGAGTGAGATCAGATCTTGAACAGGCATCCCATTCCCAGAGTGAGCGGCGACAAGCGTCGCCTCAAGCTGCCGGAGGGCGTGTAATCGTCGGCGAGTCGAGGAGCGGAGACTCCTAAGCTGGTGTTAGCTGAAGCCCATAAATAAGGCTCACAACATCGACAACGGGTGCGAGCGAGTCGGCGGACTGCAGGGGGTCGACATGCGGGAGGGTGCTAATCCTGCTCCTGCTTCGGTTACGAGGGGGAGGCTGGTCTGCCATGGCGGCAAGGGCCGAGGAGGACTGGGACTTGCGGTGGCCACGACGTTCCTGCCGCGCTCCTGGAGTGTCCATGACTGGTGCGCAAATGTAGAGTGTGAAGAGGAGGCTCTGATGGGAGGAGTAGTAGATGCAATGTTGATGTAGGAGGGCACAACAGGAAGACAGTCACGTTCCGATCTGATGTTTACGTTAGATTTGCTTCCGTTCATGTTGGTGGAGGTGTCCCTCCCTGGGTGGCGTTTGACGCGTCCATGCATTCACACTCTCTCCCTATCGCCACTCTGTCCGACTGTGTTGTTCAATGTGCTTATGCGCACCGTGCCCGCGCACGAGCGTGCACTTCTGCGCGCGGTGACAACGACCTTCTGCCGAGTGACGTGTTGGAGAATCGCCCGAGTCACACCGTGACGCCAGGTCGACAACAGGGGGGGCGGGACTGACTCGCCTCGCAGGGTGGCCATTGACCACAGCGATGCAGACAAGTGGCAATTACTTTCGCAACACCGGCAATCGTGCCGAAGGCAGGTGAAACTGTCAGTGAGGCGACGTCAAGACTTGCCGGAATCAGAATGCTCAGCGGGGTTTGCCGTGCTCTGCCTAAGACTTAGCCTTGGACTTGGCCCTCGGACTCTCTACAGTCTCAGACTGGCAGCGCCGCCACTTCCACACCACTTCGGGTCGGCAATGGCCAACCCGGTCCATCTGCCCGTCTCCACCACGCTCGCAACCCGGCGGAGTCAGAGTGCCACATGCCCAAGGGATTTCCCCCTGTTGGGATGGACACGACCTGAGCGTGACTCGCATCCTACTGCGATGGCGTTCATCAAGATTCATAAAGGTAAAGCTACAGTAGAGGGAGAGCCGTCGACGCCGGCTGGTCCCGTTGAAATCGCGAAGAAATTCCTCGTCTACTTCTGAACTCATCGGCTGCGTCTTGTCATTAGAATTTCTGCAAGTTAGCCAAGCCATAACCCGCTACTGACAGAAAAGACCACAGAAGCGTCTCCGGCGCACAACGACGGGAGCGGGGCGAGCGCGGGGAGCGAAAAGGCCGCGCATTCCACGACGACCGGGAGCGGGGGCGTGGAGGGGGCGGTTGAGGAGTCCGGCGGCGCCACCTGTGCGTGGTGCGGGCGCGCGGCGGCGGAACATGCCACCGAGGCCGGCGCGGGCGGTTGGGTGGGCGTGGGCGCGTCTGCCGAACATTATTGCGTTGGTGTGTGGTGAGAAGAAGTGGTGAATGGGGAGATGTGTTGGAGGTCCACTAAGGTGCTGATGGATTGTTGTCAGGCCATATGCATCTTCGATGGCTATAAGTAGTGTTGTAGCGGTGCTGATGACCTTAGGAGAAGATCTGCTGGTTCTGATGATGTTGCGAGTGGCAAGAGGCGGTGACGTCGATGACGACAGTGATGGCGGTCACCAGTGCGAAGCAGTTGGTGTGACGGACGCGGTGAGCAGTGCCAAGCCTTCGGAGCAGTGTGGAGCACGTGGAGCGTCACGGACTCGGCGAACTGCACCGATGCATAGCGACGGCATTGCGGAGCAACTGCACGACGAGGACAAAAGGTGTTTGGGGGTCATGCTGAACCTGATGAGGTCATTGTGGAATGTTTTGTTCATGTCAACACCATGTCGTCCGATACAGCCAGCACGCGGCCAAGCGCTTTGAGGAGGTTGAGCGCGCTGACGGGGTTGCTCTCTCGGGCATCCGGGTAGCTGACCCGCTGTGTCATGGAGCCGTTGGGCGACGCGATGCTTCGCCACCTCGTCAGCGACTACTCGTCCACCCGTTCACTCGTCACATTTGGTCAACTTATCGCGCCTCACTAGCACTACAACGGTGATATCTGCTCCCTTCAAGATTGGGGCTTGACGCCCTGCTTCTCGAGCGCTTCACGGCGCGTGAGCGAGTTCGGGTCGAGATACGGCTTCTCGCCGAGGGATAGGCCACGCGTGCCCTCGCGCACATTGTTGTCGAGGTCAAACGTCGCCGTGTGGAACGTGCAGCGGTTGTCCCAAATGGCGACCGAGTGCGGCTCCCAGCGGAAGCGGACCTGAATGTCCTGGTTGTCGCTGATGTGGTTGAAGAGGAACTCGAGGAGCTGGTCGCTCTCGTACGGCGTAAGCTCGACAATGCGCTGCGTGAACTCGCGGTTCACAAACAGCCCCTTCCACCCCGTGATAGGGTGGGTCCTCACGACGGGGTGCACGGCCTCGAGCGCCTGCCCGACGTTCTCGGGGGAGCCGCGGTTCTCGCGGAACTCCGGGATACCAAACTTGCGCGCGAGCTGGATGAAGCCCACGCCCTTGTGGAGGGCGGTGAGACCCTCCAGGAACTTGCGCATGGGCGGCGAGAGGCGGTCAAACGCGTCGTATGCGGAAGCCCACAGCGTGTCGCCGCCAGTCTCGGGAACAGTACGGATGGTGAGGCAGGCATAGTCGGAGGGCACGGGCTCGTAGGTGATGTCGCTGTGCCACGAGAGCTTGCCGACACGGCGGAGGAGCATCGTGCTCTGGTCGCGCTTGAATTTCTCGCCGAACACATAGTTGTTTGAGATGCGGGCTACCTCGTCGCCCTCCTTCTGCCCCGGCGCCGTGCACGGGTTCACGTGAAGGCCGGAGGTCTCGGGCTTGCCGCCGAGCAAGCCGAGGGCGTGGACGAGCTTGAGCTGCTCGTCGGTGCTGATGTCGGCGTCGCGGAAGAATACTACGCCGCGCTCTGAGACCAGACGGCCGAGGGCGCGGAGGGACGCGGGGTCGTCCAGGATGTCGCGGAGCGCGAGGATCGGCTTTCCACTCTTATCGCGGTAGTCGCCTGCGGCGCGGAACTCAGTACCGATGCCGGGCGTGTTGTTGAAGTGCGCGAAAGACCGGAGGTCAACCACGGGTGCTTGGGGGCCGGCCGCAGCCTTGAGAGCGGCGACGTCGAGGCGGGGAGGCTCGTTGATAGCGGCGGGCGCCATTGTGCGTGCTGAGGGCGATGCAGATGCCAGCGCGCTGGGGGTGTGGTCAGTCTGTCCCGTCAACGCCACCTTATATCTCGTATGGATCGCGCTGATCACCGATGGCGCCCAGTGCTGGTTTCACGAATACAATAAACGAATGGCGTTAGCATATTGCAGAGTAGGTTGCCGGTGCGTGAACAGCTGATCAGATGCATCAGAATGAGGGATGGGCTTGGCCATAGGCACATCGCTGATCGCCGATGCCACACGTCTGCCTGGGTGGTGTTGCCCACCTCACGATAACGCAGCATGAAACTACTAAGCCATACTTTCCGGCTTCCGCCGTTCGTAGCCGAGTGGCAGTCGGCCAATTCCCAAATCTTACAGCCCCGTGGCATGTCCGCACGCCCAGGTGCAGCGGAACAACATAGGTTTGGAGCGGAACGGAGGGATATGGGGTTACTTTCTGGAATGACATGAGCGCTCTCGATGTCCCGGCGCCCGCTAGGTGCAAGTGATCAGTCAGGCTATCATCTCATCAGCATGCCTCTCACCTGTCGCTCATTTGAATGGCAATACCGACACCCGTGTCAATTTCGCCTTGCGATCTTGCGATAGTCAGCGTGTGCCGGAGAGGGCTATCACGATTTGAGGTGAAGGACATGTACCTGTTGATGTGCTACCTCAAAAGAGCTTGAAGCAGACTCATGGGTACTACCCGTCACTGGAATACATCCGGTCGTTGGCGAGCCGAAAATGAAGAAATCTCCGTCAAGACCGTGCGCGTCGGGAGGGCACGCGGATGGCAGCCTGTTCGGGAACGGTCGAGGCTGTTCAGATGCTCGCACGAGCGCGTACAGAGTCCTATGCAAGGTCCGGAAGATCGGGAGATCCAGGCGGCAGAAGCCGGGCGCGCACCGCCTTCGAGTCTAGCTCGATTTGCTGTTCACGCCAGGATCCGCGACGGACAAGGCAGGGCACGCCCCGACGTGTCGCCCTCGCTCAAATCAGAGTCCTGGCATCCAACATTAAAGTACAACGAACTAGTGGTCACGAGAGATGGCGCGCCCGAAATCAACGGAGCGACGGTCACGGGAGCGCGAGCGCTCACGACTACGACTGCGAGAGAGCACGAGGTCACCGTCGCCAACAAGCGACGCATACTGTCCTCTCTTTCCAGCAGCCTCACGCTTATCCAATGTCTTCTTGACCTTGCGCTCGGGGCGCACGACAACGACGGGGATGGGCGAATGTGAAACGGCAAAGCGCGATATGCTGCCCATGCCGGGAGCTGCGAAAGCCTTAGACCAGTTGGCAAGCCGCGAGCGCTGGCCCTTGGTTCCCACGATGAGGGCTGGTGTGAGCATTCGTGTCTTGAGAAGAGAAGGTGGTTAAAGTTATAACCAGCAGCCCCGGCGACAGCCCGCTCCGTGCACGAGAACTAGAAGCTGCCGTCCTTGGAGTAATGACTGCCACTGGCACACCGCGTGACTTACAATCGGGGCGGTAAAGCGCGATCATCTTGAGTATCATGTCGGGGACGGGCCCGACGACGATCTCAACAATAGCGGAGATCTCCCGTTAGCCCCCCGCTGCACCATAAGCTCACCTTACGCCCAAACTCCTCGTCGTTCTTGTGCAACACCGTTTGGAGAAGGGTTTGCGCTTCATCACGCAGCTCCTCGTGCGCGCTCTCGGTGTGGCGTTCTGTAATGAGTCATTGCACTGGCAGGAAGCCGTGCCTCGCACTAACCTGATTCGGACATGTCCTTGACGCGCATAGCAATCACCTCGTCGCCATCCTCGACGAGCTCGCTCATAAGCCAGTCGAGTGCGTCCTCGCCGGACTCGTCGGGGCTCACTGCCACGAGGAATACGCGAGTGTTGCGGGAGCGCTTGTAACCTTCGCTCTTGGCCTGCGTGATGTTAGCGCCAAGCAGGCTACGGGGTGGCCCGATGCACTGAGTGTGGCAGGTAATCAACCAGGGCGTGGGACCGTGCGGGCCGATCACGCGCTTGTGCGGCGAGATTGAGACAAGGCCGCAACACCCCGCCGCTTGCAGTTTGCAGCCTTGGCCGGTTGCGTGCTTCTTGTAGCCACCAACGCAATCAACTTACCTGAGCGGTAAACGTGAACAGTGTGTCCGGAAGGTCGTCAAAGGTTTCAAACGCCACTTTCTTGCGGTACTTGCCGCCGTCGATGCTTGTGCTGCCCGTGTGGGTGCGCGGAAAGCCGGCGCCGCTGCTCCACCCGGACGAGCCCGGTGGCCCCGATATGGAGGTGCGGGGTGTGTGCGTCGTGCTAAGAATGCCGGCGGGCGGGTTGGGTGAGGTGGGCGAGAAGGAGGACGAGCTGGCAGAGTGTGGTGGGGCGTCGGCCAGCTTGATGTGCGGAAGGGCAGTATTGGAGCTCGCCGCGTCGTCACTCATGCGGAGGACTGGGCGGATGGCGGGGGGTGGTGTGTTGCTCATATCGATGGGTGTCGTTGTGCGCGTTGAGGGGGGAGATGAGTGAGATGAAGCGAGATGGATGGGATGTGATGAGAGTCGAGGAGAGTTGATGAGAGGAGTCAAGATGTATCGCCAGATCGAGAGGAGAGGTGTTGGTGACGCGGTGACGCCTCCAGGGCAACCGAGCAAGCGGGACAATGAAATGCCCCTCACCGTAGCTAAGTGGAGGGATCCAACAAACTACCTATGACATCGGCCCGCCCGCCACCTCGGTACTCCGCCCGCTCGCTCTGACATTTGTTGACAACAACAACAAACCCACAATGTCCACCCCGGCAGGAGCTGCCGCACATTCCATGCCCGCCGGGGAATCATCGCTCCCGTCAGCCTCTGCTGCACCCCTCTGCACTTCCTGCGCCTACCCAGTTCCCCACGTCTACACCACCTACTCGAGTCGCTCAAACATCCGACTCAGCGTTTGCGTGAGTCTAGGCCGCCCCAGCCGGTCAGTGCGTGGGATGCAATCCAGGCTTGTCGAGAAAAGATGTTCTATTCCTTGCAGATCGCCCACCTGATGCGGGACATGCCGGCGGGCCTGATGTGGTGGGACGAGTGCAGCACTGCACTGCCTTGGACTCCGCGGGCGAGAGAAGCGTTGCGCTGTGACACGGGCGCCGGCCTGGTCTGGCCTGCTGGCCGAGGGCTTATTGCACAGCACGGAGCTCCGTTAACTGTAGCCCCGCTGCAACTCTTTCGTCGACCCACTCATCGAAGCGCCTCCACTCTTGTTAGTGCTCGATCTCGTTCTCCTAAAGCCTCGCGTTTTCCTGCACCTCCTGTACAATCGGGGGAGCCCGCCACTCGACGCACGGGACGCCTCTACCTTGCCGCCCACGCACAAGAGTGACGGGTACGACCGGGCCGCTGGCCTGCGTGCCGATCTCCTCCGCCTTGGGGCGGCCACACTCGCTGCCGACGTGGCGGTGCGCTTCGCCGACCGGCCGATGCTGAGCATTCTGCGACTTGCACTCGTTGCAGCCATTGAACTAGCTGCTCAGCTTTTCACCTCCACGGCCGCGGCACTTGTCATCCTTCGGCTCCACGGTTGGTACCCGCCAACGAGCAAGGGTGTCGGCGATGGTCGGCGTGACGGCTTCCTCCCTATCCTTGTCCCGCTCGTGCTGCTGTACACGGCGCTACTTCCTCTCGTCCTCCGTCTTGTGCTGAGGATATGGTACATGCCGACGTTCACTGAGCCCGCTCTCAGCTTCACCGGACTCCTGACTGCACATGTGCCTGGCATTGCTGCAGAGTTTGAGAATCTCGCCCACGCATGGGGTCATACAGACCGAGTGTGGGCCGGCACGCGGCTGCTCGGTGGGATGAGTGCTGGCTTTGGGCTGCGTGTGCTACTCCCCACTCGGCCATGGGAGACCGTGAGCATCGTGCTGGCGGGGTGGACGGTCGCCCTAGGCGCTGCGAGACTGTGCGAGATGATAGGATTGTAGCGTCGCACATAGAGCACGTCATTAATTTCAATGTTGTACATATATGCAGAGAGTCCATCATCACCGATACTCGACGTCTCCGCCCCACCTTGCTGCTTGCATCAAGTGGGACATGTGGCGACAGAGATAACTGGGCCCGCGCATCTTCCGATCGGCTCTCATCGGCATGGAGTCTGGTCCGGAGGACGATCGGAACGAGTACGGCCTCCACTTCAAAACCAAGTCGATCTCCTTCCTCCGCTCCTCTCATCTCGTCTGACCTCCCATATCATGCGCGCTGTCGTCCAGAAAGTCGTGAACGCTAGTGTAGCCGGTAAGTTATTGGAAGATTGAGTAGTTGAACTAACGGCAGTCGATGGCAAGACCATCTCGCAAATCGGGCGTGGTCTTATGATCCTTGTGGGCATTAGCCGCGGTGAGTCGCGACGGTCAGGAGCGGCATGGAGTCGGCGGGCGGGAGGCGTGCGCAGGAAAATGAGGCGTAGTATTCTGGTATGCTGGGGAGGCGAGGCAGACATCGAGCCTGTACAAGAGAGAGAAAGATGGGGGCCGGTAGCAAGAGATAGCGAGTCCGCAGCTGACACCAGATGACACAAACGAGGATCGCGACTGGATCATCAAGAAGGTCCTGGCGGCCAAGTTGTGGGACGGCGAGGACGCATGGCGCAAGAGCGTGACGGAGATCGAAGGCGAGGTGCTGTGCGGTTAGTTTCGCCGAGAAGCTGTCTGGATTTCGGTGGCTCGTCTACGCGGATCGGTCGCCAGACCTTCGTCCCGCTTACGTGCCGGGCCTGGAGCTAACTCCAGTCTCGCAGTTCACGCTCTTCGCAAACTTCAAGGGCGCGCGGCCAGGTGAGGCCACAACACCGTGGAGGCTAACAGCAGACTTCCATGACTCGATGTCGACACTGCCTGGTAAAGCGATGTACACGTCCTTCCTCGAGCAAATCGGGTCGGCGTACCGCCCCGACCGGATCAAGGGTGAGTGGAGTCGCAGCTTAGGAGAGATGAGACGGGGAACAGGAGTATAGTGTGGGATGGAGAGAACGAGACGCCGGCGAAGAGATTGAGGGTTGCACAGCTGACCCCAGACGGCCAGTTTGGAGCCATGATGGCTGTGTCCCTCACCAATGACGGTCCTGTGACGATCATCTTTGATAGCAAGGATCGACAGGGCTCGAGACGGAGCGCGCCAGGCTCGGGTGCTTCAACACCACGTGGACAGCCGCAGCCGCCGCCCAAAGGGAGCGCCGAGGCCGAGGAGATCGCGAAGGCCAAGATTGCGGCCAAGAAGGCGAAGAAGAAGGAGTGGGAGGAGCGCAAGGCGCGAGGCGAGATCCCAGGTAAAGGAGCGTTTGCTCGCGGCGAGATTCCAGTCGCAAAGAAGGGAGAGACAGTGGCCGACAAGGTCAAAGAGCTGTCTCTGAATGGCGCGGAGTAGTGATATGGGCGTTTGCATGGTTGTTCTCATTCAGCGCCCGGTATGCTCTGGGTTGCAGCGCAAACGCTGTAGTTCAAGAATACCTCATTTAGCACCGAGCGCACACCTTCTTGCTGAGCCAGATCCATACTCACGCCCCCAAAGACCATCGCGTCATCCACCCTGCGGGCATCTCATTCCTGACTGCCACTGACGTCTCCGGAGGCCGCATTCGTCACGGCAAGCCGTACGACTGATGTGCAGACAATACCGTCCACCAAAGCGCTCAACATGCATGCGCGCATGGGAACAAGCGCGTCTGTTGTCCGAGGAGACGCATACTCTGATTAAAGCTGCGCAAAGCCGAGTCTCATTGTCTTCCCTCACCTGGGCACGCATTACCTGTAACCAACCCCTCGCCGCCTTCAACTCACCGCCACCGCAATTACTGCCACCGACGACATTCGAACCCCGACACGCTCGGTTTCGGCCGGTCTCGCGAGGCCGACGCCACGGCACGCACGCCGCCACCGCCACCCAATCGATCGCCTAATCTCCAAATTTCGTTCTCACGATCACCGGATCGCTGGCCGCATCTCACCTCGACGACTCTCATAAGGCGTACGCGAGATTGCCGCCGCGTTCTTTCTCTTCATTCCCCTCTTCTCACCTCCCAAACTCATCTACACGCATCTGATTCACCATGCGCGGACGTCGTGGAGGCTTTGGCGGATCCAGGGGCGGCTTTGGCGGCGGACGTCACGGTGGCGGCTTCGGCGGTCCTGGTCCTCGTCCAGGAGGTTTCGGCGGACGGCCAAGTGGCGGCTATGGTGGAGGTCGTCCAGGTGGTGGTCGCCCCAGTCATGGACCCAGTCCTGGATACGGCCCACGCCCAGGTGGCCCCAGCTACTCTCACGCAAGTGGGCCCCCAAGTCATGGCTACGGTCGTCCTGCCGGCCCGCCGCCCGGCCACCGCCCAGGCGGTCGCCCGCCCAGCTTCGGAGGACGCCCACCGCCCCGTCCCATGCCTCCACCCCGGATGCGCCGCCCGATGTTCGGTTTCTGGCCTTTCTGGCGCCCCCGCGCCGTTGTGGTACCCGTTGCACCGGCAGTGGTTGTTGTGCGCCGCCGCCGGTTCTGTGGCTTGTTTTGTGAGTTGAGCAATCGAAAATGGAGCTAACTGGCAGAGTCGCGGAGATGCGGAAAGGCATGGCGGACGATATGCAGTTGCAGTGTTCAATTGAGATACATCACTTACCCGGAGGACAGAATTGGTGTAATGAGGATCAACCGTCGGTAGCCGATGATCTACGCCCCACGATTGTCTCACTTGAATAGATCTAAGCCAACATGCTGTTTGGCCCATTGAAACACCTCTTCGACTATTCAAACGCGCACACCAATCCTCTCGCCCGTCCTCGCGTACACAAATCTTCCGCTGAAACTCACTCCTCATGTCGCAGACACTTTTGTCGGGCTTACTGACTTTCCACTCCGCACACATGAGAGATATAACCTACTGCCTGACCTCCCAGTCGACAATGTCCCCTCTCTCATCCTCCCCCACTGGCAGCACTGCCACTACCAACAGCTCCACCCGCACAACTCCAACCCTCACATACGAGATCCACGGCTTGCGCCCGCGCTCCATCTCACGCACATACTTCGATCGCCCCCCATCGACTTCCCATCTCCACCGCACACAGAGTCACCAATCCTCGCGATCCCACACATACAGGCGCTCCTCCTCTGTCCCACTTCCGTACTGGGCCATTCCTCAGACCACAACCACACCCCACTGCTACCCACTCCACCTCAGGCGCACGATGAGTCACGGCGGCATCCACGGCGGCCTTAACCCCCCCACCGGCGTCCACAACGGTCGAAGCCCGCACAGCGACAGCCACGGAAACCTGAGCCCACACAGCGCCACCCTCAGCCCATATATCAACGGCGCCAGGAATGCGTCCCGCGCAAGCATCAGCAGCACGTACAGCGTCTACTCGCACGCCAGCTACCACGTCACAACGCACGCACGCCCCAGCTACAGTGGTCCTACAGACTATTTCTACCACGCCGTCGGGACTAGCGGGCCCCCACACTTGCTCGCGCAACACACCGACTCGGGGAGTTCCGCCACCAACGAGACCACCGGCATCATCACGCACCCCCGGCGCAGGTGGTGGCAGCGGGTGTGGCCCCGGGCGCGCGCGGTCTCGCCGTCCACGCAGGAGGGTGGGCAAGGGTTGAAACAGCGGCGGCGCAGGCTCCTCCGCATGTTCTGTAAGTATTCAGTACGGTCGTGGCTAACGTGCAGAGCGTCGAGACATACATTCAGGCAGGGCTAGATTGCTAGATTCGGGCGCATAGATAGATCCTTTGTACATGGATCCTGCATACACACACATAGGGTGAAGCACACATCTTACAACCATGGGAGAGTGAGGACTGTGCTCGTTGTGAGGCAGCCGGAGTGTAATTCCGAGCCAACAGTGCGATGCTGAACTTGACGTGATCTCTGGCAAAATACCTCTATCTACTAAACTTATTATCGGCGACAAGTCATCGCAATCCTCCACGTCAGGGAGCTCAGCACGAGCGAGCAAGGGTGGGACTGCGCGGGCTGTGTCCCACCTATTTGTGAGCGATTAAGCGCATACACAATTGCACGATACTGGACCACCATACGGCCCCCGCTGATCAACACGTGGGGCAGACATAAGCTCTTACAAACCACGAACCGAGACGTCTGCACACAGACTTCCGACACGGACATCTTCCGCCACTTGAAACGAGTGTCGGGCGTAATGTCAAGCCTGTGACAGCCGGGCATAGTAGTTTGTGGGCGCTCGACAACGCCACACGGGCGAATGGACACACTCCTCCGCAGGCCTCCTGCGCCAAGCTGAACTCGGTCCGCACCGCATCCACGGCCATCGGGTGAAAGAGACGCCGCGCGTGTAGGTTATAATTGTCAGAACGCTCTAGCGTCAATTACCTTCACTAACACGAACTACACCACCACACAACACAGCACCACTACACTGCAACACTACACACCACCACTCTCCCACCTACCATGAGTTACGGCTACAGAGGCGGATACGGCAGCTTCGGCGGCGGGCTCGGCGGCGGCTTGGGAGCCGGCGGTCACGGCACCGGCACCAGCTACAGCAGCTACACCTTCAACTCGCGCGCGAGCTACGGCAGCGGAATCAGTGTCTACTCGCAGCCGAGCACGCGGCGGCCGAGCCTGGCCTTCCCCGGGAGCTACGGCACGACATATTACAACAAGTACGAGTTCGAGACGCACCCGCTCCTGCCTGTGGGCGAGGTGTCTCCCCCCAGCTCACCGACGGTGCCGGTCCCGGTCCCTGCGGAGAGCTCGAGCCGGGCGCCGGCCAGTCCCGGCCCCACTCCGAGCCGCCCCTATACAAACTACACCGATGCGTACGCGACGACGTCCAGCGCCCACAACCCATACGCCAACACGTACTCGAACGAGTATGGCGCGGACTACGATCCGGGCGGCAGCGGCGGTTCTCCCCCGGAGCGCGTCGATCGCGCCAGCCGCCCCGGGCGCGGTTTTTGGGCGTGGCCCATGTGGCCGCGGATTATGCCGCTGTGGTTCCGCCGACGCCCTGTGGTCGTGGGGCAGCGGCGGCCGCGGTTCTGCGGATTATTCTGATTCCAGGAGAGTTGCGAGGGTCAGTGGGCGCTGAAATGAGCGCTGAGTTCACAGAGCCACACACATGTTAGAGCCTGCTTAGAGGAGCACGCTATAGATTATGCATGCATCTTGCATTGAATCGGGTCGTGAGTGTCAGCTGTTCGGGAGGTGGGCGCTCGTCCGCTGGCGTCGTTCCGTGCCCGTAGACCCGTCGGTGGCCGTGTCGTTGGTGCGCGTCCGACATCTCGCCAACTCCCGCCGGCTTAGGCATCATACACGCTCGCCAGATCCTTGAACCCCTTGACCTCGATGGGATTCCCCGACGGGTCGCGGAAGAACATGGTCCACTGCTCGCCGGGCAGGCCCTCGAAACGGAGCTGCGGCTCCATGACCCACTCGACGTGCCCCTCCAAGCGCTGAGCGAGCGCACGCCAGTCGTCGAGCTGCAAGATCGCGCCGAGGTGCGGCATCGGCACCATGTGGTCGCCAACCTTGCCGGTGTTGGTCGTCGCGAACGGCTCGCCCAGGTGCAGGCTGATCTGGTGCCCGAAGAAGTCGAAGTCGACCCACGTGTCCGTCGAGCGGCCTTCGCGGCACCCCAGCAGGCCGCCGTAGAAGTGCCGCGAGGCCGCGAGGTCGCGTACGTGGAAGGCCAGGTGGAAGATGGAGCGGGTGGTCATGGTGGCTAGGTGATGAGGAAGTGGAAGATGCCGAGGTATACTTGGTAATGCGTAACGGCTACTTGGTGCCCGGAAATATGTTGCCGCACCGGAAATACCAGAATGTCGTGAAGACCGATGGTGGAGGTTAATTTGGGCACCTACAAAGACCGCCGAGCCGACAGCGCCGACGGGTTCGACCGGAGACGACAGGGGTAGTGAGGGACATCCAGGCATGCACAAGCAAGCATCCACGCAGCTCGCCGCACTCCTTATCGAATTGAATGTTGGTTTTCGAAGAGCGGAGCGAGGACCCGCTAGTCCGCTGTGTCGCTCCCCAATGCGTTGTCTACGTCCGTCGCAGCGCTCGTCGCGGGGGCCGCTCACCTGAGATGAGCTGTGCCAGTCGCTATACCCCCCCCCCTTGCTCGCAGGGTTACCACTATATGCCATGGTCTATTGCTATTCTACAGTATCGCCGGGTGATGAGCAATGCATTGTGCTTGGGTGCCTCGGGTGTGCATGGTGGGATGTCACATTCGCGAGTGCAAGTTGAGACTCATCGACGCGCGCATGGTCCGCGTGCGTAGCAGGGCGCTCACGCTCGTCACATGCCACTGTTGGTCGCCCACATCAGGCGTGTGCAATTTGACGAGCTGTGTGCTGGTCGAGTGGCTGAGAGGTGGTGGCAGCTCCGTTAGATGGCGTAGGCGCCGAGCTCCAAGAGGCCGTCTACAGCCGACGACGTCCTCGCCCACGCGGTCGATCCTCTTCCTCGACGGTGTCGGTGCTCGCTCGTCCACGCTTCCGCGCCGCTGCTCCCGCGCCCTTACGGCCGCGCAATACTGGCTCGCCGTCACTCGTCAACGGCGACGAGCCGCGTTCGCCTCCCCCGCTCGTGCGTCGGCTCGCCGGCCCGCTTGCGGTGGCACTGGCGGTCCCGCCTCGCGACTTCCGGCCTCCTCGTCGCTTTGGAGGTTCTGGAGGAGGTGGAGCAGCCTCCACGGAGGCCTCAAGCTGCTTGCGTACCGCCGCATCCCAGCCTTTCTCGTCTTTGCCCTGGGCGCGGGCGTAGAGAAGCGAGGAAAAGTCCAACTCGTCAGGCTCCTCAGGTGATGCCGACGTGTCCGGCGTCATTGATACGCGACGGATAGGGAGCTCGAACGCAGATGCGAAGTGAGGGGAGTCGATCACCTGGGCACTGCGGCTCGGCGGGAGTGCGGGTGATGGTGAGGGGGAAGACAAGGGCGAGTCGGTGCGGGCCCGCGGCCTCCGCCGCGTAGGATGGGGAATGGGGGACAGGGGGTCTGGTGATGGTGGAAGAGATGGTGTTGATGATGACTGGCGTAAGCTTGTTCTTGGGACATCGATGCTTGTCACGAGCATGTGACGTCGAGGCAGGGAGGCGCCCCGTTTCTTGCACAGCCCTTACCGCCCCAGCAGCACTCACAACGGCGTCGAGAGCCTCGAGGTCATAGAACTGGGCCAAGGCATCCCAAAGCGTCGCGCTCGACACCCAAATGCCTGTCTGTCGATGCACGTCGGCCTGCAAGGCAATCATGAGGACATGGCGGTGTCTCCCGACTGTGTGTGAGCAGTGCGTGCCGCAAATATGGAGGCACAGGAAGGAAGTGGGACGAGATGGTGGCCACTGAGACATGCGAAGGCTGGCGTGATGAGAGCGAGCTAGCCCACGCGCATGTCAGACAATTCACTCTAGCTCTAGCAGGCAGCGGCGAGTATGCGCTCGGCAGCGCCGCTGCTGAGTGGCGGACGTGGCGACGAACATGCGGAGGAAGGAGTGCTCGGAACGCGAGAGAAGACTGAGGATGGAGTGATGGAAGAGTACTACTCACTTGGCCTATGGCTCGAGACGCCCTTGAGAATGGCGGATTCACTACCGTCAGCTGCCATCCGTCACTGGTATTGCTCTGTTGCCGATTGCAGGGAAGAGCTATCGCGGGCAAGTGGCGCATCGCGGAGGAGAGCTGCCTCACTCCTCTGCGCCTCTGCAACGAGCCGCCTTCCTTGATCGCGCGATGTGCGGACTCGCGGCCTCGGCGTCTGCCTGCGCACGCTCGCCTAAGGAAATAGGCAGATAGTTGGACCATTCGCTACTGGCCACCCCACCACGCTCTGCGCGCGCCTCCGTCGCAACAGACTCACAGCTCGAGCTCGGAGACGACCGGCCCTCCGTTGCCCCTGTCCTCCTGGGAGGATGGGGCGTTCATGCAGATGACGTTTGGCGGACCAGAACGCAGAGGAGCGCTCGAGGGTTTCGACGATGGCTTGGAGACGAATGCTGTGGGGAAGGAAATGGAGAGAGAGGTCTTTGAGAGAGTTGGCCTTGGGCTGCAAGTTGGAGGCTTCGAGGTTGGAGGCTTGACAGGTGGCAAATGAATGGCCTCCACCGCGACGCGTGGCGGCGGTGACCTCCACTTGTCGAATTGTCGCCCTGTCCCGATCCTGCTCCTGATATTCATTGGCTAACCACGCCCGAGCTCAGCATGTCAGCAGCTCGTCGTCACTCAGCGTGCTCTTGGGAGTCGCGCAGCAGTCCATACGCGGGCTAGGCTAGATCTATCTGCGGGCCAGTGTCCACAACCCTGATGTATGTATGCTATCTACAAATGGAGGTACTAATCAGATGGAGAAAAAAAAGAGCCCGACGGGGGTGTCTATTGTCGGCTCTCGGCTCCAGGCTCTTTTAGAGGCCGTCACCAGTGCCGATGGTAGTGACCTTGAAGCCAATCTTCTGGAGAGCAGCACGGTCAAGCATCAGACGGCCGTCAAAGATGAAGGCAGGGCGGGGGCAGTTGTCATAGATCTTCTGCCAGTCGAGAGTCTTGAACTCGTCCCACTCGGTGCAGACAACAATGGCCTCGGCGTCCTTGCAGGCCTCCTCAGCCGACTTCTGGATCGAGATGTGAGGCTTGATGGGCTCGGCCGACTTGGTGCCCTCGTCGGTAAGGTCGAGCCAGATCTGCTCCTCGGTGACCTTGGGGTCGTAAATGGTGATGCGTGCCTTCTCGTCAAGGAAGTGGTTGGCAATCGAGATCGACGGCGACTCGCGGGTGTCACCAGTGTCCTTCTTGAACGCCCAGCCGAGGATGGCAATCTTCTTGCCGGTGATGGTGTTGAAGAGAGTCTCGACGACCTTGCGGGAGAAGCGCTCCTTCTGGTACTCGTTCATCTCGACAACGGCGCGCCAGTAGCGAGCGACCTCGGGAAGGTGGAGCGACTCGGCGAGGTAGACAAGGTTGAGAATGTCCTTCTGGAAGCACGAGCCACCGAAGCCGACCGAAGCCTTGAGGAACTTGGCGCCAACACGGGTGTCCTTGCCGACGGCGTAGGCGACCTCGTCAATGTTAGCGCCAGTGGCCTCGCAGACGGCTGAAAGAGCGTTGATCGACGAGATACGCTGGGCGAGCATAGCGTTCGCGGCGAGCTTGGAGAGCTCCGACGACCAAAGACCAACGGTAAGGATGCGGTCCTTGGGGACCCAGTTACCGTAGACCTCGGCGAGAGCTGCACAGGCGGCCTTGCCCGAGTTGGTCTGGAGCGAGCCGATAAGGACACGGTCGGGGGCGAACAGGTCAGAGATGGCGGTTCCCTCAGCAAGGAACTCGGGGTTGGAGAGGATGTCAAAGGTGACACCTGGGCGGTGGTTGGCCTCGAGGATGGTGCGCATAGAGTCGGCGGTGCGGCATGGGACGGTCGACTTCTCGACGACGATCTTGGGGGAAGTAGCGACCTCGGCGATGCGGCGAGTAGCCAGCTGAAGGAACCTGGGGCGTAAGCGATGCTACCAGGCCTTTATGGAAGCGGAGGTGAGCACACAGGATGGTGTGTCCACGGTCCTGTCGCGTCTCCCGGCCTGCCTCGTCAACTCACTTCAGGTCAGCCGCAAAGCCAGCGCCGATACCCGACTTCTTGGTGGGGGTGTTGACCGAGACGAAGATGAGGCTAGATGTCAGCAATCAGTCATGGGCGCGCGTGTGGGTAAAGGGTAAGGGAATACCGGGGATTCTCGCCCCGGGAAGCAGCTCGCTACCGGCGCGACACGACGCCGCGCGTGTACGCTGCGAGGCGCAACTTTGCGCCGTGTGCCACAAAGTCACACCGCCTCAACCCGCCCTTTCCCCAAGAGATGTACGCACTCAGCCTCGGCGATGCCCTTGTCGACGTCGGTCGAGAAGAAGAGGTTGCGACCACGGGCCTCCTTGACGACCTCGTCGAGGCCTGGCTCGTAGATAGGGAGCTCGTCAGAGTTCCAGGCGTCGATACGGTTCTGGTTGAGGTCGACGATGGTGACCTGGATGTGGGGGCACTTGAGGGCAATGACAGCGCAGGTAGGGCCACCGACGTAGCCGGCACCGACTGGAGGGTGTTAGCTAGAGCTCTTGGAGGAGAGCACCGGCGGGTGAACGCGTCGGGAGCGAGCGAGCGTCGCGAGGAAGAGAGGAGGGCGATACTCACTGCAGCAGATCTTCTTAACCTGGGTCATTGTGATTTTGGAGGAGGGGGAAAGGAGAGTGAGAGACGAAGAGCAAGTTTGAAGATGATGATAAGAAGAAAGAAGAAGAGGATCAAGAGGAGGTGGGGGGATGGTGATGGTGGTGGTGGTGGTGGTGGACGTGGACGTGGTGGGACGTGGGCGGAGGAAGGTGGCGCCTGGGTGGGGGGACGTGGAGATCGGCCATGCCGAGCGAGGCGGTTTTCAGAAACGAGAAACACATAGGGTCAGGGACAATCATAAATCTCTTAAGGGTACTACAGTAGTACAACCCGTTTCCTCTGGACCCGCTCCTCCCAGCCGCCGCGCGCGCTCTTTTTCGGTTGCAACGCTCAGAGCGCTATCAGACATCCGTGGCACAGAGTGCATACCCTCAGGGGCGGCGGCTCGCTCTGAGCAATATTACTCGGGGGTTATGGTCAGTATGGGGACGCGGCGACACGGGGAGGGGGACACATGGTGGAGGCTCGAGTCCATGGGTGCAGGGGCCAGAGTGAGGCGATCACTTGCATTCTCATCCATCATCCAAATCATCAGAAGAGCAGAGCCGGTCGCGATCATCCGCGCCTCTTGGGCCATTTGGCCATCTCATTCCACTCTCCCGCTCACTCATGCAATCATGCACTCACAGCCTCAGGTGGCCATTTGATTGCGTGCGGGGCGCATTACAAGCCGGAGGACGCCTTTGAATTACATCTACCGCATCTACCGTCGCGGGTACCCCCGCCGTGCCCAATTGAACAAAATTAGCCCTCCCCTGTTTAAGGTTCAGGGTTGTGCTGGAGAGGAGAGCGCAATGAGCTTGGGACGCGCCGCGCGCCTCTTCGCGTCTCCGCTCTTCAGCTCAACCCTCTCGCCACGTGCTTTACCCCTGCACCTCAGCTTTATTCCTCTCCGCCCGCACACGCCTGGCCGCTGCATCGACGGCTCTGCAAGTTGTTGCTGGTAGCCACGGCGTCATTTTTTCGACCCTTGTTCTCCTTGCACGCCCCTCTGGCCCTCATGATGCGATCCTTGCAGATCCAGCCCCCGTCCCTCATTCAGAAGCCAAATTCCCAGGGCATGTCCATCCCGGCCCGCCGGAACTGTCCCGAGCGCCGTGTGTATCCCGCACAGATCGGAATGGATCGTAGATTATCCCCCTCCACATCCACCTCACAACGCGACAACCTCCGCTTGCGACGCGACGTTGTTGTTTTCCCGGGTCGTCGCCAGGCGCGCCGGGGCCAGACGGAAGCAAGTGGGAAGCATGAAAATCTCAAGATTGCTATCTCGCATGATCTCGCAACATGGCAAGAATGAATCGACGAGCCGATCCCAGGCCTGGCACGATCGTCGAGGTCCATCAAACGCCCAGATCGCCAGATCGCCTACACCCCCCACGCCGATCAAGTTGTCGAGGCCGCCGATCCACCGATCCATCCGAAGCTGCCGATCCGCGCTCAGTCAGGTGCGCGTTGCCGCGGAGATTCCAGTCACTTCCGCTCCACGTGGACGCCTGGCCACTCACCCAGGCTCGATCGTGCCTCCAGTCATGACGTCACGCCTCACCGACTCGGTCTCCATGGGCCTGTCTTGGCGCTCAAAAGGCACCCACCCGGCGGCAACTCCCATCTCATCTCCTCTCACCTACCATGAATACAGCCAGCGACCGCTACGCGACCGAGTCGACCACGCTCGCGACGGGCGAGCCGCCCATCCGCTCGCGCGTCGCGCCCGACATCAACCCCATCGGCGGCGGGATCGTCGACGACTCGCAAGCAGGTGTGTACTCACGCCCGCAGAGTTGACGCCAGCCGACACGTCGCCGGGCGACGGCAAGACGTACGCAAAGCAGCTGTCGGGCGAGGAGATTGCGCAGGCGCGCGCATACGCTGCCGAGCACCATAAGCCGGCATCTCCCGAGTCCAAGCATCCCTCGATCATGGACAAAGTCAGCGGCCTCGGCAATGTCGTCGTCGGCAAGGTGTCCCACAACCCAGGCAAGGTCGCGTACGGCAAGGCCAAAGCGCACGGCGAGTTGTAGCGCTTCCCCGAGCCATACCTATCCAGCGTTATAATCTGATGTCGACGTGGCGTGGGTGGAGTTGCGCAGCTCGTCAGAGAGCCGATGCTGCGGAAGCCGCATCATATCATGCCGCAGCTCTCACTTGACACCTGAATCTTTTGACGTGCACCTCACCTACTCACTGCCTTTTCAGCACGCAGCACGCACGCTAATACATGCCAATACATGCCCTCTCAATCCCAATCGTGCTGTTTGTACACATACTCCCCGACGAGAGTCACGTCCGGGTTTTCCCCCCCAGGCGTGGTGGGCGCTGCCGCTGACACCTCCTGCGCTCCCGGATCCTGGCGCCGGGGGATGCTCGAGCTCGACCCGTACCGCTGGTACGGCACGCTCTCGAGCCGCTCGAGCGGGATCGTCTCATTCTCCGCTGGCGCGGGGACCGAGCGCAGCCCAGATTCGCCGCGGTCCTCAAACGTCTCCGTCTCAACCTCGACCGTGATGCCTCCGAGGTCGCGCGACGCCATCGTCGGCTTGAACACGCTGATGTTCCGCACCTCGAACGACACGCGCGAGTTGAGCGTGTACAGCAGCCCGATGAGATAGAACTTGGACTGGATGCCCTGCCACACGAAGTTGAGGAGCGACTGGGGCTTGAGGACTGCGTCAGCGAGTTAGCGCTGGGACGTACTGAAGACGACGAGGAACGAGGCTGCCATGAGCGTCGCGGGCACCTGCGACTCGAGATTGATCCGGACGAGGCGGTTCACAATCTGCGTCAGCGCGCACACGACACACCCACCTTGTCCGTGTGGTCCCAGCCGGTGCGTGAGCGCAGGAGGCCGCACCCGATCCCGACGGTGATCACGATATCCGCGAGCATGACGCACGACAGCCACACAATCACGGCTGGGCTCAGCGCGTCCGCGGCAACTCACGCGCTTTGATGCTCGGCAGCTCGAGGATGCTGTCGAGATGCCACAGGAGGCCGGTGACGACGCACGCGCACACGAGGCTGGGTCAGCTGCGGCGCGTATCACACACCTCGCCCCGATCAGGACCTGTGTCAGCGCGTATTGAAAACAGCTTACGACTAGCACGGCCACGATGCGCCAGTCGCGCCCCAGCAGCCGCCAGGCGCGGTATGTGAAGAAGCCCTGGACGATGCTGCTCGCGAGCCCGTCGAACGCGGGGTAGAAGCAGTAGTAGTTGGTCTCGAGGAACGGCTTCCACTGGCCCCAACCCGCGATGAAGAGGTGGTGCACGTAGAAAACGATGAAGCCTGTGGTAAGGCGCGGTGAGACCGAGGGCGTACCGGATATGGCGTATGTTAGTAGGCTCGAGGACACGACGACGGCCACGATCCACCGCCGCTCGCGGCGCACATAGTTGACGTACGCGATGAGCTGCATTGTGAAGAGACCGCTGGTTTGAGTGGCAAGTGGCAACCACGCACCACAAAGCCATGTCGAGAACCAGCTTGGCGTACATGCAGGCAAAGGAGAAGGACTGCGGTCAGATGTGGGCGGAGGGAGTGCCGGCTTCCGCCGGCTGGACACACCGTCACGATGGCCCTCGCCTCCTCCTCGCTCATGGCCGGGAGCCAGCGGCGTTCCGGCGCCGCGGGGATGCCCAGACCGAGGGCGAGAGAGAGGCCAAGAGCCATGACGGGCGGGGAGATAGTGGGCATGATGATACAGGAAAAGGGAAAGAGGCTGGTAGTGAGAATGTGAGTCGTCGGCTCTGCGACGCGACCGAGTGAGTGGCGAGAAGCTCGGCGCTTCGTGTCAATGGGCTTTGGTGAGTGCCGAGTACGGGCGAGTGGGTGAATCTGACATTCTGACTCTCTGCGGCCTGCACACTCTCACGCCCTCGTCACACTTCAGTAGCCGCAGTCAGCGCCCCTTTCGCACACCATCGAAGTGACAGCTGTTGAACGGTAAGCGACGCTAATCCATCACCTCCGCAGTGGCTTAGGTATGGAGCTGACACTCCCTACACTACTCCGCCCTACGCCCCCGCTCTGCTCGCGCTCGTGATGCCCCTCGACGCTCTTCACTTCCTGCTCTTGCCGATAGGAATCACTCCCGCCCTCGCCGCCATTGCCCGCTGGCACCGCGTGTAGTGTGATGTCCGCGCCCTCCACGCTACCGTTCGTTGATCCACTGGACCGGTTGTCTCCGCTGGGTGTGCGGTAAGGTGTCGTGGGTGCAGTGGCGTAGTTTCGGTGGCTGAGCTGGCTGTTGGCACCAGTAATGGGTTGTTGGCCAGCGATGGTGGTGGCAGCTGCAGTCGTAGCATTCTGCGTTTAGATTTATCGACTGCCTAGGGCTCACCCGTTCTTCACTCGTATCACCCTTCACATCGCCCGCGGCGTACCTCAGCCGCCCGTTCAGACTGAACATCAGGCCAACAAGATATACGTTGCTCTGTATCCCGTAGAACGTGCTCCCAATGAACGAGCCTTGGCGCACACGTATCTGGATAAGAAAAGCGATGCTCACGGTCGTTGCAGGGAGCTGTGACTCCAATACAAGCCGCGCACCGCGCGAGATCCACTGTCATCAGCTCCGGCCTCCTTGGCAGTGACATTTTCATTCAGCGCCCACTGGTCCCACTCCCTAATGAGGCCGTGTAGCACTGCCGCGCAGAGGACAATGTTGGCTCCCATGACGGTCGACAGCCAGAATGTCATGGCTTAGGTCAGCTTACACATAGTGGAAGACGGAAAAATGGCAGTCGCTGCAACGTACGACGTCGACGTCGCGCGTATAACGCCTCGCGCAGCGAGTCGAAGCTGTCGAGCCGGATCTTAGTCCAGACCGCGCCGCCAAAGCTCATCGCCAGGAAACACTGCCTCAGTATCCACCGCAAGCACACGTACGATTGCTATTCCCAGGATGAGATGGTTGCGATGGTTGAGACGCCAGGCGCGATGAGCGACGTACCCCTGGGCGAGCGAGGCAGTAATTGAGTCCAGCACAGGGAACCAAGCAAGATGTGTCGTCTCGAAAAACGTCACATGTTCGCCAAAGTTCTGCACCAGCTGTCACCAGCTCAGCGCTAAATGCTTCGTGTGTCTGTCACGTACGAAGTACTGAACGAACCAGAGTAGATAGACTTTGTCAGTTCGCTCGGAAAGGGCTCACTCGTCACAGCATACAGCATGACTGTCGCGGCCACGACGAGTGCACGTGTCCACATTATGTCGTGCGACTGAAATCGCCAATAAGTGAAGATCATAACTGTGATAACCGCGCTTGGTTTAGATGCACTTCCATGTCGACGCACCAAAGAAACGTATCGATGACGACCTGGACGTACAAGGCGCGCAGCGTTGATTGCTTCCGTTAGATCCTTACGAGGAGGGGATTGAGGAGGCAGGAGGAGCAGTGGGGACGGGAAAGCAGATGAGGCGACAGACCATGTGCGCGGAGAGAGCCTCCTCAGCCTGCGCTTCCGTCAGGCTGGGCATGGTGCTTCGGCCGGGACAACAGGCAAGGGTTGGGATGTCGTGAAGGCTTGCGTACGGCAGTAGCGAATGTGGAAGGCTTTCAGACCAATGATAACAATGTCAGTGGAAAGTGGAAATAGAGTAGATCAGCGGGCCCTTCATAAATCGGTGATGAAGTGGTTAGATATGAAGTGTACGTGTGAGCTGGGCGCACCGAGTGGGCGTGATGTAAGGAAAGGCGGGCGTCGGCGGGGCGGGGGACGGAGAAGTGTGGAGACCCCATATGAGTGTGAGATTCCATTGCGATGGGCTGAGACGAAGGCGGCCAAATGGGAGGCCCGACACGGCATGCACCTCTTCGTCGCCAGACGACGCGCCTCTTAGGGGACACTGTGTCAGCTGGAGAGTGAGTAAGTGGACTAAGGGGCAAGAGCTGCAGGTGATCGAAAAACGTCTGGAGAGCAGGGGAAGATGCTGGTGACATGTCATGTGAGTCCGGGGATGTAGTGTGCTGTTGTGTTGTGGATCTCGTGATTTTTTGCTCTCACGGCAATCCCAGGGCGCCTTCAATACTCGGGAAGCATGCTGGGATGATGGCGGAAGCGAGGAGCCCAATACCCGTGTACACAACGACCTTTGTGAGGACTATTATTAGTATCGTTGCGCTGTCAGAAGCTCACCCTCGGCATCGTAGTGCGGTGTAGGGCGCTTGCGCCCGCGCGACCCTTTGCGCTCCTCAGCCATCGCTAGTTCTTTCTCCAGGCTGGGCGAGTATCCGCTGTCAGAGCCTGATGTGCTTCCGTTGCCGTTTGAGGCGTTATGTCTTAGACGCGTGCGCAGCGCCTCCTTTTCCAGCTTGAGGGGCGAAGGAGACCGGGTGATGTGTAATGGCGAGGTGAGCGGAGAGGGCGAGCCAGGCGATGCATCGCGAAGATGGCCGAGCTCTGCGAATGAGGGGATGGGACGAATGGGCGTCTGGGCCTCATTATAGTTGCTGGCGTCAGCTGAGCCACCCCATTGCACTCACGTCGCGGGCAGGTAGAACTTGCGTGTTGGAAGCGGAACATCGAGGACCTTTGAGAAAAGGCGGAATGCGGGCGGAAGGATCGTGAGAAGAGTCTTCTTCATCACCAAACGCCAAAGGAAGATGGTGCCAATGCCGAGCACTACACGCAGGACGACAGCGGGGACTGCCCACACGACACCGTAGCGCCATACGGTGGCGGACGGGGCAAACTGCGGCTCACGGATGGAAAGCAGCCAACCCATCGTAACTCCAAGGATGACCGCGAGGATGGCAATGGCGTCCTCGAAGCACGGGCAATCATCGGGCGTCTCCGGGTGGTAGTGCACAAGACCCAGAGTGAGAGGGACCATGATGATAGGGACGGAGAGGGAGCCGCTCTCGACCCATGCGCTGATTGACGAGCCTAAGACAACCCAGATGATCCAGCAGAGGGTGCCAAGCAGCGTGCCGCCAATGATATCCGGGAGCGAGTGCATGCCCGTGTAGATGCGCCCTCCGGCAACGCTCACGAAGTAGAAGGCCAAGCCTGAGTGAGAACTGCACCTTCAAGAGAACGTACCGATCCAACCAAGCACAACGGCCATCGAGCCAGCGGAGTCGTGCTGCTCCCACAGCCACTGGCCGAGGAAAAGGGCGATAGAAATGGAGTTTGTCGAATGCGACGATGGGAATCCATACTCGCGATGATGTGTCGAGACGGCTACGATCAGCACAACTCACCAAGGGAGCAGATCGACTAACACAGGCGGGTGACCGGCGGCGCGTAGGGACGAGGTGAGCACACGATGTCCTTGACAACGCAAGAGAAGTAGATTCCGAGGCCGACAATGAACACCAATCTGAGGTCAGCCATGGGACGACATGAGAGGCCCGTGCAGAGGCGCGTCGTTCGACGCGTCGCGCGTCCAGTGGGGCGGGTAACGCCGCCCCGCCTCTGTAGACTCACCCGCGAGCCTTGTCGGCGTGCCCGAGAAAGAAGAGCAGCGGGAGGAAAGCAGTGAAGAAAGTGTGTGCTTCTGTCAGCGCCATTGGGTAACGAAGGGGAGGAGAGCTAGGATATAGGAGAGAGCGATGGGAGGTGCTAGACAGCTTTCCGCATGTGCGAGTCGGCTTCGTGATGGCGGACTCACTGCCAAAGACGGCTGACCAAAAGAAGAACTTGTCACGGCCTTTGGAGCGGTACTCGCGCTGCACGGATGCTATCCACTCGCTCTCTGCGTTGAGAGACGCGACGAGTGAGCGTCGGAGGCTGTCGCGCCATGGCGACAAAGCAGCAGCGTACACGCTGTCCGGCTGGAGTCCCGCCTCAATGTACACCCTCTTGGGCTGGCTCTCTGCTTCTGCAGTGGACATGTGTCGGTGAATGTCGCAACGGTAGATGCAGATGGAAGACGGGGCCGAGGAGAAGCGGGAAGTAGGATGTGAGAGTGTGGGTGGATGTCATTCATGCAAGGGCGACAGGGAGTGATCGCTGGACCGGCAACCCCGGCGAACAATGCACACCATCGGCCATAGGCGATGTGACCGTTCAGCCAACGTCGCCTCGCGTCTACTACTAATTTACTGCATCTCCAACTCTCACCGTGCCCAGGTCCAGGCTCTGACGCAAACATTGTGAACGGTGCGAACGGGACGTGCAGCGGGATGCATAAGGGACCTGGTGCGCGTAATCTACCCGGCAGCATCAGGCCGGGCGCCGGACTTGGGTAAGACCTCCACCAAGACGTGCGAGATTTCAACCAGCTGTCGTCACCGTGAACATTCAGCAATTCAACATTACTCATCGCGTTGTGGACTTGCTCTCCCAACTCTGATTCCACTATGCCCGTTGCTGACCTCCCTCAAGACCTCATCGGCTCCTCTGGGCTGTATAACTCGCCTGACCCGCTGTTGCGACGGTATGTCAAGGGTCATGCGAGAACGTGGGTGGTGGATGACCAAGCATCTTCCTCCACCTGTCCCAGCGCGACTGGTCGTCCTCCCATCTGACAGCAGTCTTCGTCTGGAGGATCATACTGGAGCTCCCGTTATGAATCTGCAGCGCACGTTTGGCGCCACGGATTTGCTCGTTCTGTATGCTGGTAGTGCACAGGGATCCCGTCAGTCTACCCGGCCAGTAGTGACGAGGCATCGCGCAGCAGCTGATAATAGACAACCTGGCCGGCTTCCACCGCAGCCTCACCGAGCTCATGATCAAGGACAAAGTAGGTACTCACTCAGAAGAACGGACGGGCAAGTCCACGTTCTACTCATTTAAACAGCCAAAGTCATACAGGGACATGCGCTCACACCAGGCCGTATCGGTCATCTACGTGTCCACGGACGTTGATGCCAAACTTGCGCTCGCCGCAACAGCGCAGCAGCCGTGGTATCGTATGATCTATGAGGACGACAGCGATTTTGCGCCTTTGGCCAAGGGGGAACCGGAGGTCATCGAAATTGCGCGTGGCGAGGACTTTGTGCAGGCAATGGTGAGCAATCGGCTCCTTTCGGTGAATCTGTCCTGTGGGACTGATGACAGGAAATCGAGACAGGCGCGGAGGTCGTTACTTTTGGCGAGGAAGAGGATCCGCAAGACTACGTGCGTCCGCTGTCTCGTGCTGGCATGTCCATCACCATGCAGGCTTACTCAACCCCAAGCATTTCCGTATAGTGAGTCCGCCGCTCAGCCGCCCCTGGATTGAGCTGACAACAGTAATCTTAAGGCGCACCAGTTCGTTGCACGCAATGTGCGGCCGGTGTATTTCGCCAGCGACAAGGTCGGCGTGCATCTTGCTGCGTGGAGGAAGGGGGAGGCGTTGGGTGTAGGGCTGCAGGACTTCATCGCGCGTCTCAAGTGGCCACTCATTGCGCTTTTGATTGCCATCCTGTACCACGCCTACGTCTTCATCAACGGCGGTGAGTGCTTGCAAGCCGTGACAATTCTCGCTGACAAGCAGAAGAGGCCAACTTCCTGCCAAAGTTGCTGGATCAGATCTCCTGGCGCAGCCGGCAGATGATGGGTCAGGCGATTTGATCTTACACTGTAGCTTTAGTCATGACCACGCATTACCCCCGTTGACCCAAAAATCCGGCGCATACTGCACACTTCACGGCTGGCTTACAAGCGCTTTCCACGCTGAGCCGTTTGATCATCATACGATTCATGCTGTCTAGCACGCCGCCGCCAGCAAGATCTCGCGGCGCGGCCTACGTCGTGAGCACTGCAACCAGTGGACAGGTAACAGGTGCATAATTACTCGCTGTCAGTTCATCAAGGAGGCAATAACCCACCAAGCTCTCCATCTGGGACACGACCTCGTCGAGCTCGCGCTTCGACTGCTTGTACTGCTCGTCCGCATCCTAGATCGTCAGCTCATGTTCAAACACGGACATCCCGAAGAGGGGAGGGAGCATCACACCGCGCCGTCTCCCTTCGCAGCTGCGATGGAGGCGACGCTTGCGACGTGTCGCCGTAGTCGGCGCAAGCGTATGCGGCCAAGACCGCCGCCCACTCTCACTCACCGCAGCCTTCTTCTCCCACTCGTCCCGCTCCTGCTCAGCACGCTGGAGCTGACGCTCAAAGTGCTCGGCCTTGACGTCAACCTGGCGGAGCTTCTCTGTCGCGTCCTTCAGGTCCTTCTCGGCCTTGTCGAGCTCCTCCTCAAGCAGCTGAACCTTGCGCGTAAGGTTCTCGCCTGTCGCCTTGTGCGCGTCACCCTCCTCAGCCTGGCCCTTGAGCTCCTTGACCTTGTCCTCTGCCTTCTCGAGGTCAGCCTCAGCAAGCTGCAGCTTGTGCTGGAGCGACGCAATCTCCTGGTCACGCTCAAGCACCGTCTGGTTGAGCTGCTGTCAGTGCTTTCCAGGGCGGATACTCACCTTCTTGTTCTCGGCCTCCGCAGCCTCGGCGCGCGCCTCAGCAGCCTCAATCTTCTGGCCGAGAAGGGCAAAGCGCTGGCGTCAGCCCATGATTTGGCAAGTATTGCGCCTCGACGCGACGTGTGCAAAGGACTCCAGCTTGCCTAGGAGCAGGGTGTAAGGCAGTTGCGGATGCAGTCGAATGCACATCTCACGACGCGTCTCAGCATTCAACGAACCTCCTTGATCTTGTCCTGTCGGCGTCAGCGTCTGCGACACGAGGCGGGGGTGAGTGCAGCGATGGTTACTGGTGGGTGCGACGTGGAGGGCGCGGCCTGGAATGACGCGTTCCCATCACACCACACTCAGCGGACATCGCTTGGGCGCGACGATTGCTTACCATGATTAGTGTTTGTAAGGGGAAAGTGGTCTAAGAGTGAGGAGGGGGAGGTGAGATGAAGAGAATGAGGATGCTGGTTGATGTCGACGGCGGCGAGTGCGCGTGAAGTGGTGGCCATCCCACCTTCCCTGGCCCTGCCCGTCAAGCCACGTCGGGACCATCCTCGCGCGGCCGTCCCCAGCTCTCCCACGCTCTTCGATGGCCTGAGCACGCGTCGCGAGATTCCACGCGTCAAAGTTGTCACGTGATGTGAAGTCTCAATTAATTTGTTTGACATTCACGGTAATAATCCCAAACCGTCTGGGACCCCCTCCCCCGCGACTTTTCTTCGCGCAAGTTGCATCGAGTTCTTCATTCCTTTGCCTCACTTTATTTGACGACGCCGTCTTTTTCGTGGCGGCGCCGTTGAAGCGTGTGGCTAGAGTCATGCGCAAGCTCAGCGCCCCGCAGGACGGGCCGCGTGTCCAACCGAGGGCGGTCCGTTGTATGGGGAGGCTGACATTTAGTCCGAACATCCGTCGTTCTTCGGCTGTTAACGCCATTGTAATGTGGCCGCACGATCGGCCGCCTCTTTGACCTGCCGTCCAATCTCGTCTGCCGACCGCTAACCCGGCGCCCTTTACCGAGGCATGCATTGTGTATCTACCACCGATGCGCAGCGAGCCGTGGGCTTCGTCGCGTTGTGGTCAACGGCATCCACTGCTGTGTTCGCTTAGGACCCCGGGTCACGAGACGCAGACTTACCTCACTTTCGCCTCAATCTATCGGATTATCCTCTCTCTGGCCCCGCCGCTGACCTTTCCTCTCCGCCTCTCCTATCCCAACCTTGAGCCTGGCCCTTGCCTATCGCCTCTCTTCACATTGTCCGCATACTCTGCGTAAGCGACATCCGGTATGAACCCGGAGCCCTCAGGAGCACCGCCGGCGTGGTGCCACGCCGGGCGCTCGCCACTTTTATCTTCCTTCCGACTTGACTTTACGTCGGGGGGATAAACTAGGTGGCAACAATATGTTGCTTGACAGCCACTAGATTGCAGATCGCTCTGCTCTCCCCTTCGTGGGCTGCGCGTTTTGAAGTCTAGTGACATTTTGTATAGGGTGGCTATGAATCATTGCTCTGCCGACCGTTGTGGAGCACGGGGAAGGTAGATATAAATACTCATGCACGGTACTCCACAGATGTTGCTCTTGTGAGACCGAGCGACGCGGGCTCAAGCTGCGGGGGCGGACATCGCGGACTTGTGTGGACTAAACCCAGTTTCGCCACGTGCTAACCCTCCGCATTAGTCGGACTTCATACCAAACCTTGATTCCAGTCAGAGTCAATCTATTGGAGAGGACGGCATTGCAACGCTTGAATCTGTTGAGCTCTGTTGTCCTCAGCTACCTCGTCTGTTCACAAACAGTCGCCGACGAAAACGACCGCCACAACTGACGCGATAGACTCCCAACGCCGTTGAGTGAAAGCCGACCGTTGTTGCGAGTCCGCGCTCATCTCCCTTGACCCAGCATCGTCCTCGCGATTCCAGCAGACTTCCGATACATATGCGGCGTGAAAGTATGTCCTGCCCATTTGGCAGCCGGGAAGATAAGGTTCACTTTAAGTCCGCCTCCTTGAGCCCACACTAGATTAGCACTCACGATCATGCTTACGCCGACTGTCGGCCGAGTGTGCGCACTGTAAATGTCATCGGGAGGCCCGCGTGGGACAGGTGAAAGGGGAAGGAGCGGTGCGCAATGGTGGTGCTCTTGATGTTGATGAGTACCAGAACGTTCACGTGGGTCGAAGGAATACAACTCGAAAGAAGGTTTAGCGCTCTTAAGCCACACCCTAGCAGGTGAATGCAACCCGGGCATCCCAGATACCTGGAGAAAGCTTCCCAGATTATGTGAGCATTCAATGCACCCTGTGGCGGAAGGAACCTTAGGTTGCCGGATCGTCTGTGTGGGAGTCGGGGGCATGATGAGATCAGCGCAATTCAGTCGTCGGGGATGCGTTAAAGGCTTAATCGCCTGCCGGTGCAGGAAACCGCAATGCCATGCAGAGGAGTTGTCCGGCAAAAGTGGGGTCAGCCGAGCGCCATCAGACACCCGGACGCCACCGCAGTGATGGCCGGCGAGCGACAGATCGCCGACCCAAACAAGAACTGGGCTTGAATTTAGCTCGGCGCGACGCCGCACGCGCCATAAATTGAGCATTTAATTGACCCGAGAACGCTTCTGAGCCCCGAGAAGGAGAGGTTCCAGTGAACGACAACGTGTGGCTTGAACCGCGTGTCAGTCTTGGAGTTCCACTGATCGAGCGCATGCCCAATGACGCATCTGAGAAGGACACAGGAACGCGTATGTACGCAGCTGGACCGAGTGGGGCCGCTCATGTCGCGATCGTTTTCGATCAGCCCTCCGATACGCTCCCGGCGGCCATTCGAAAGAGGTCCAAGGTCCCAGGTCACTAACTGATGCCGAGACAATCCCGGAACATGGTAAAGGCGGGGAGCCCGGTTGCTGTCTCAGTAAGGTGGGGGTACGGCTTCTTGGCACGTGTTGAGTCCTTCTCGACAAGGATGGCGGGCGAGGGCAACGTGATCGTCAGCAAGCATGATTTTGCCGCGGGACGCGCTAGTCGCTGTGAGACAACTCTCGTCGCAATGTGCCGAAGCCCGCGTTTCCAAAGAGTGAACCTGACACTGTTCCCGACCTAGATACGGTATACGCAGCAAACCACGCCTAGAACGTTTGTCACCTCCTTGGCTGCAAGGAGGATTATTAACAAGGCGCAAGGATGAGCGAGGCGCGTGTCGATTGACATGCAGAGGATTCCGTCGATGTAATTGAGAGCGAGGTGCAAGCTGATGATTGCAAAGGGTCCTGGCAGTGGCAAAAACCGCCGACCGCCAACAGGTGAGGTGAGCAAAAGCGCCCCTCGGGTCGGCCACATTGTCCCGACAGGGTCATCGGACCTAGACCCTGCCCAAAGTGCTCCAAGAAGGGACGAGCGCATTCCATCGGCGCCAATGAGGGTCAGTGTGTTTGCTCTTGTGCAGCTGTGCATGCCTCTGGGCCTTTGGGGTCGAGACCGCCAAATCGCTAGACCCCCGAATATGCGTCATGCATTGGACCATAGCGAGTCACAAAAAAAAAAAAAAAGTTCCACAGCCTTAACCGCAGGAATGGCAAGCGCAGAAGAAGATGCTCTGGTGACGTGCGTTGCCTGGGTCAATCGGGGATTTCGCGGACAGGCAGCCAAGTTACTGGCTAATGCAGGGTCGGTGATTACGCCATCCCGTCCACCCTCCCCGCTACTCTCTGTTAAAGTGCCGCCAAGTGCCCGTCAATCTTACCCGAACATCATCGATTACGGCGGCGGCGGCCACCGACGCAGTGCCATGCTCATGTTGCTCCAAGAGACCAGTGATCATCTGAGCTCTGCCGAGCTCAGCACAGCTCGCACCGCCACCGGCTTTTCGAGTCGCTCGGGGATGGGGAATGGCCACGGGAATCCCATGCGCGGGTCCAGTGCACATAGCGCGCGCGCGCGCGCGAGCTCTCGGCTGAGAAGCAAGCTGGGGAGGTATTTTTCAAGGTATCGCTGTGCTCTGCGCCACGCAGGGCAGCAGAAAGCGCGTGGGGTCCGTGACTGCCAACTGCCAAATATCCCTGTTCATGGGTAATCTCCTTCGTCTTCGGCGCTTTATGCCCTTGCCTCGCTACACCCTCGCCACTTGCGCACTTTTTGGATCCTGTGATCCCTTCCTGCAATGAGACCCTCTGCAAACCCTCTCGAGAACCCTCGCCGATGTCTTGGGCCCTAGACCGTGGCGGCGCCTTGTTCTTTAACACCTAGACTCGCAACTCGGTCGGTGTCTGACCCGTGCTGCGCTTCCGACTTCCTGATCAGTGATGCCGGGGAACAGCAAGAGCCTAGAAACGCCCACCCTTCCGAAGACCTGGGATGGAGCTAGGGGTCAGGGTGCTTGGATGCCTGTCCCAAGGGGCCCAGGGGCCGGCGTTGCCTTCGGCGCAGGAGTACTGGGGTCATGGGAGACACGGGGAACAACCCCGACGCACAGATGATCGTCTGCGGCACGCAGATACATGGGCTTCCACGGCGGAGAGTACGGACAGAGGCCAAGGACGCGCGCCGTGTGCTGCGGGGACAAGAACTGCACCAGAGGACGAAGGCGTCGCAGACTTTTGAGACTGACCGACCACCCGCACGAGACTCACCTCCCTCACTCCCATCCACTTCGCCCTTGATAAGCCGGCGTCGCCTGCGACTCTCTTTCCCCCTTCCGACTCTTCTTTTCGCTCAGTCGGTCCAACATCCTCAACTCACACCTACCTCCACCGACCCTCTCAACTCACAACACCTCAACCTGGTCAAGCGCCTTCTGCCTTGGTCTTGTCTTTTATTTTCCCTCAGACCAACACCTATCCCCGTCGCGACGGCTTCCGCCTCCAGGTGTCATCTGCACCCGGCCGTAATCAGAGTTAGCGGTGTCTAGCTCAATTTCTGGGATTGAGACGACTTGTGCTTGCCCTGCCCGGGAAGGAGGAGACGTAACCATTTGAGTTTGTACCAGGCCCCAGGGCCAGTAGTCAAAGCCGTCCACGGTCTCAAGCCGCACGCCACCCACAACCCATCATCGGAACTGGCACACATCCCACTGCTGGCTGCAGGCCTATCGTCATCTCCTCATCTTGTTTCCCTGGACCTCATGCGTCGCTGAGCCACGCTGAGCCACACACATTCACCGTCTCGCGTCTCAATCGGACTCGGCTTCCCTCCACCGCGCGCACCTCCCCCAACCCCTCATCCCACTCGCCACCAGCCACCAATCTGCTGCCACATACTCGTGCGCCACCAGAGACGACGAACAATCCTCACCCGTAAGCTCGCCAAACCGAGTGCAAGTGTTTGCCTACTCCTTCCACTCTGTCGTAGAGTCGAACGAGTGCGCAAGGTACCTAAGGTGAGCCTCACACATCATCTCCCCCAGCTAGCTACTCCTCTCTTTGTCCTTGACACACTCATCCCTCCTTTCGACCACGCTCCACTCCTCCCACACCACTTGTTTCGAGTCCCTCGTCGATTCCACGTCATTTTTGGGGCGAGTTTCGCTTTGTCATGCTCTGGGTGAGGGTCGATGAGACTGCGCCATTGTCGTTTTGCGGACGATTTTGGCGACTTGTCACGCTCGACCCAGCTTGCTGGGCTCGGGAAATGCCCGTTCTGGGCATAGTGACGATCTCCCGTGCCGTTTGAGGCAAGGTGTATCATACCCCTTCCAGGGCTACTACCGCCCGGTTTCCCCCTTGGTGTCATGTCTCGCGGTCACCTGGGTCACCTGGCTGGCTGTTGGCGTCCCTTTCTCGTACTCGCATGTCTGCCCGAGCTGCCCGCCTCCCCGTCTGTCTCCTTGCTCTTTTGCGCGCTCTTCTGTTTGGTCGGCCCATGGCCATCTGCTAGCCCTGTCCTACCTCCTCCATTTCTTGGATGCGGGTTCCGTATCCAATCTGGCACCTCACCGCGCCTCACCGCGCCGCAGTGCCGCTCCGTCATCCAGCACCTGGACTTGGGACTTGGGTCACCAGGCCGGCTAGGAACCGGGTGTCACGCCCGCATCTCGGGAGTGTGACGTCTCGTGTCATCTCGCTCCCGGGCCTCGACCACCTCCTGCTCTCCTGCTCTCCACTCGCTTCACTGCCAAAGACGGCAACTTTAACGGGTTCGAGCATTGCAGATTACGTTCCAAAGGTGGTAACTGTCTGGCACAGGTCCGGCTTGGGTCTGCATCAAGGGAGGTCTGGCTTCAACCCTTCCTACTCCTCTCAGCCAAGCGGCCATTTGTGTCGACAAGTGCATGTTGTTCTCTCCTCTCCATCACACACTGCGACTACTCTCTTGGTTTAACTCTCTCCCCACATCTCATACCGTCCCCGCTGCTCGCGACGTCGACACGCGTGGCGTCGCCGCCTCGCACACTCGTTGACTCGAGTGGCCACTTGGCCTTCTACACGCGCTCCCTCCCCCGCACCTGCTCCTGCCCATCCCCTCGACACATCTCCCACTGCCCGCGCCTAGTGAAGGTTGGCAAGGCTGCGCTGTGCGCCGAGCGTCATCCAGTCGCGAGGTGCACAGCTTCCCATTCCCGTCCTCACCGGAAGAGACGATGCAGAAGGCAAGTCGGCAGGCGTGACTGGTAAGAGTCGGGCAAGCTGTGCATGTTCTTCTCACGGACGAGCGCAGCGTTACCCGCCGACGAGGCCGATGAGGTGATGCTGTCGTATCGTCTGTGACGCTTTGGAACAGTTCTTTCCACTTCTGATCGAGCCGCTTAGTGTCAACTGGCGCACGCAGAGGTTATCCTTTGGGCAGGAAGTAGGGTCAGGTTGGCCTGAAGTCACGCTCCCTCAGCCGTCTCGCTAATGGCGGGCTTGGATGCCTCCGCCATAGCCACTGAGCCACCGAGCCAACACAAACCACGCTATCTCCACAATGAGCCACATTCTCTCCACGTGCGCCGTTCCTCGCTTCTGTTTGAACGTTTGGCCCCTCTCTCCCCTCCCTAGCTCCTTGCTCCCTCCTTGCCTCCCTCCCTACGCCCTGGAGACGGATACGCATTTGATGCTGCCTCCCCAATGTTCAAGGCCCAGCTACCCATTGTATACATATTGACACTTCTCCCCAGATACCGGCAATCCCCACCATTCGCTCGTCCCACCACCGTATTGACTGCCGTGCTCGTGGCTGAGCCGCCGACAGCCACAGCACGGTAAAGTGAGAATGAGCATCGGCGGGCAACAACAAATCGGCCCGGACGGTCCTCACAACTTTCCTCAAGATGGGCGGTGAGTGTGGCTGTTGACCAGACCCAGCCTGGTGCCACATCCACAACTCGTCGCTGACACAAACAGCAAGTATAGAATAACACCCATTCAACACCCAACGGACGGAGCCGCCTTTGAGAGGCAACCGTTGTCCCGAATTGCTTTGACGCCGCCTTTAATACTCCAGCTCGACACATGGGACAAAGATAATCGATTAATCATCCCGTGAGTCTCCGGTCTCTACTCTGGGAAACAGCTTCCTCGACCAGCCTGCTGACTACGTAAGGTCTGACGCGCTAGCGTCGATGGTCTGTACGATCACCTTGCAGGCGGTCGATGGGGAAGACCGATCGCTGGTTCGCGTGCCCGACACCGACCTCGTCGTTTCTATGCTTGTGGGCTCGACTATATCAACCCCATACGAAATGGAGTCGCAAACAGGCCATCCTGGTGTCTATTTTGTCTTCCCAGACATTGGAGTGGCATACCCTGGGACGTTTCGCCTAAAATGTGTACTGATGCCGTTAAATGGGTAAGTCTTCTGAAAACTGCAAAAGAGTTGCCTGTTCTGAAACAATCCTCCAGCGGCGATTACCTCGACTTCTGCGTAACGAACCACTTTACCGTGTATCCGCGAGACCAGTTTATTGTCCCTGGTAAGTTGAACGCCCGACAGAATCGAGGCAGATGCTGAGACGAGTGACTGAAGCCAAAGCGACGACGGAGATGACGCGCCACTTTGCCGATCAAAGAATCGTTCCCCACCTGGAGAGTGGGTCTCTACGCGAGTACTGGCCACACGGGTAATGCGCAATGCGCTCGCGCCCGCAATGTCGGCGCTTTACGTCGTACCCAAATCCTCATGTTCCCCGTCTCCCGACTTGCCCTCCGCTTTGGGCTAGATAATGATCTTTCATCGCCAGATCGATACCCCGTTATGGTGATACACGCATAGAGCCCCCGCCGTTCCATTCTCATCACCCATTTATCCCCCTCTCCACTCCCTCGGCGCGCGGGTGGCTCCCATCTACCAAAGTCATGGTCTACCCCATCAAGCTTCACCTGTAACATCAACGACCACTTTTGTATCGCACTAGCATCATAGAATCTCCACCCCATCCTCCCCACCCTTTCGCCGAAATTGTATATAATGGGCTGGACACTCTTGGCGCTGGTGCGCATTGGTGACCTATAGGATGACCCCCGGGCTAGCCCCAGGCGGCCAGTAATTACTGCAAAATGTCACTCTACATGGTTATCGTCAGCTTCTTGCTGAGTGTGCAACTGTGTGGATCTCACCAGAGTTTGGGGGGGGGGGGGCATTGTTTGTAGTGGTGTGCTACGCACGCGTGTGCCCGTGGATTAGTCGGTCTGAGTCCCTTACCTCCAATGTGATGCGCTTGCAAGCAACTCGACTCCGAAGTGGCTGCTTCCCCGCCCCAGCCGCCCGCTGCCGGCCCTGCACTGTTCCTGGGTCGCGCGGTTCGGCCAGTGTGAAATTATGCCAAGGGTTTTTCTGTCCAGTTGAGAAGTGTGCAAGATATAACTTGCTATCGAGTGTCACCCGCCTTGCCCAAGCAACTGTGGCGATTCCAAGTGTCCACGGTCGAAAGCCTGCGTTTGATCAGACGAACACAAGAGAGTCCCCCATCCCGGCACTCCATCGCGGATGAATGACCCACTCCTCAATCAGGCCCACGACCCGTTGTGCCTTCTCCTTCTCCCAACGTCGTCCCGCCGCGCGAGACCTGCTTCCGCGCTGCTGGGCCGTGCCTTTACCAGGACCTGAAGACCGTGCAGTTCGCTTGTTCCCCTTGCAGACGGGCCAAATGGCCCACGCCTGCCATAGGGTCACACTATGAGACTCAGTGGCAGCAGAGCGTTCACCAGTGCTCTACAGTTGGGACGGCGACAACGTAATAGCGTTTCTGTTCTCTGGAACGCGGGATGGCTTTGCAAGGGATCACTGACACGAAAGCTCACGGCGGCGGGGGCGGGCATGATATCGGGCGGGGTATTCGGTAGCCCCACCCGAATCAACGTAATGATACCAAGGGAGGTGAGCTGCTCGTGGTGGTCAGGGACCCAGCTTCCTGGGTCGAGTCGGGAGATCGTCGCAGCACGAGCGCGGGGTTGGCCACTCAGGGCATGTCAACCAGAGGCACGACTGTCCAGTTGTGAAGATGCAGGCTACGATGGCGGACAACCGATCGCTGACGAGTGATGCCACCAAGGACGGACGTGCAGAGGTGGCACTGGCATGGTTGAAGTGAAGGAGAGGAAGAAATGAAGGCGTGCCAGGTGATGAGGCCGGAGGTGGTGCAGAGGCGGGTCAGGCACTCGCCACTGATTGCCACCGTTCGTCCCTCGACTCTGTCTCCCTCTCCGAATTGTCTCTGCGATCACAACCGTGAAGGGAGCCTTATGGGCAGTTTGTCAGTGGGAGAAGCACATGCGTCCAGGTCCCGCCAAGGGCATGTAGAGGCGTACATATGCGTTCATGTTAGGGACAGTCTTATAAGACGGCAATGGGTGACACCTCCGCTCATTCTCCAGACATCCACTAGGCGGCGTGCTCCGCACTCAGCTAAAATGCTCAGCTCAGACACAGAACAGAGGAAATACCCATCAGGAAGGCGGACTATCCGAATGTGGATCACTGCTGATGGCCGATCACGCTGCCCGAACTGCCGCTCCCCTCGGTTGACACTGAGATGCCGCCCCCCGAACGATGTGATGCTTGCGGAATTCAGGTGGGCTTTGCCTCGTGACCAGCCACCATTCAATGTATTGAATGCCACAGCCGAGGTGGTGGGGTGGCGTTAGTCTCTCCGGACTGAGCGGACGCCGATCGCCGGGGTGTTTCAGCAGTGGCACACGAGCCCAGCTCACGATCGGATTCTAATCTCCTCATATTCCCCATGTCTCCTTCCATGTTCAACTCGAATGACTTCCATCGAGCAAGAGCATCACAGAGTGTGGAAACACGATTCCATGCAGCGGCTCTTAGTTGAGGCGAGGGGCGGGACATCTGGGAGTCTTGTTCAGGCCAGGCACGTCCAGTACAGAAACACGACGGCGAGGGTCCCCGCTCCCACCTTATCCTCCTTGTTCTTCTTGTCATCAAACACTGCACCTCAACATCCTGTGTGGACGTAACCGGGATCGCTGGCATCTGTATGGGCTAATTTCTAGCAGGCCAATGGAATCCACTCCTATCCCGGTGTGGACCGATGCCTCCCGGCCCCGTCCGTTTATCGCCTCCAAGGCCGCCCGTCGCTGAAAGTGACTCCCCCCAGAATCTATCACTCATGCCTGGCTATCATACACCCTACAGCACAACGAGCCACTTTTGAGCGCCCCCACGAGGCCGTACCTGCCCGACGAAGGACCTGTCGGTCTTCCTTGACGTACCTCCGCCGCCCTTCGTCGGTCCCTCACCGGCGGCGTCATCGTCTATCTGACCCCCCTTTCTCCCCCACCACCCAACTCCCGGAGAAGCAGAAACACTCATGACTTGTACATTGCAGTGACACCAGTGGGTCGCAATTTCATCGCTTCTTACTCCTCGTCTCTCTTCGCACGCAGTCGCCGATCGGCTTTGACCCCTGTCGCGGTCGGCTCACATATCACGTCGTCACGCGATATATCCCACGTCGAAAAAGAGAACGTCGGCCTAGGTGGTAAAATCTTTGGACGTTTCAAATTCCGTTGCTGCAGCTTGCGCTAGCATAGCTCGTTTCCCTATCAGGCTGCGTCGACGAAGAGGGTTTGTGTTCCGCCAACGCTTCCCCCTCCCTCACTCTTTAACCCCAACAACCTCAAGCTCAGCCTGATCTCTTCAACACAGCCCGTTCAAGCTGCTAATGAAGGGTGTTCGAGCCCATGCCCTCTCATGTGCGCCGAAAATCCCGTCTTGTCGGCGCCTCATTCAATTTTCGGCGCCACCGACGTCAACGGCATGAACATCGGCAACCCTCGGCCTCCCCTGGCTTGCCAGTTTCCTCCGCAGCCCTCCGAGACCGACAAAAGCGTGAGGCCCCATTGGTGATCGGTCCGAGCGCCTGCACTCAACGTCCTCGGCTCGATGCGCATGGTCATTCGCGCCCAAGCTCGGTACGAGCTGGGGTCTCATGTTCATGCGCCTGTCAACCTGCCGCTGCTTTGACGCTGAAAAAAAAAAAAAAACCGTGCACAATGACTGAGACGCCAAGCAACAAGCGCTGCATTGCGCAGCCGTCAGGGGACACCGGCCATCTCGATCCTCCTTTGTTCATGTACTCGCCGCTCCTGGTCTGTAATAGGGCTCTCATCTAACATGCCCTTTTACCTCATGCCTCAAGTCGTTCAAGAGCCCACAGAGGCTACCGCATCCGCGGTGTCCTTGGAAGGTGGAATGCGCGACCACCGCCAGCCGATGCCAGACTTCTCTTCCATGCGATCCCCTCTGAAGCCCCACGCCTCCCTTCCGGCTCCCCGCATTCCCTGCCCTTCCAGGATCCGCCGTGTTGCATCGCGATGCCCTCGACCACCCTCGGCGTCTTGGAATCGGCAACCTTTCTTATCACGCCGGTCTGGTCTGCGACACCCCTCAAGGAGACGCACCGCACCACTACCAGAAAGCTCAACATGCCCGAATATTAATGGGACTGCTACCCTTCATGCTGTGCGGGATAGATCCACAGGCGACAATGCCCAACGGGGTGGCACCACTCTTCTTCCTACTGCCGCGCCCTAAGAGCGAGCGGATTCGATACGTTCCGCTCTCTGGTCTTACAATCACCTGCAGTCCACCTTCTACTGAAGACATTGGGCTGCTTTCGAATTGCTCTGGATCGACCATGCGGTACCAGCATTTTGGCTCCTCCAATTCAGCCACAGCATAGAATGTCAAATGTTGCCATAAACGCGCTCCTCGCCTTCTCGTTTTACCCGCGGCCACAGCCCTTCGACATTGATCTCCTTTGAAAACAGTCACGGAGCGACTCTCGATTTCCTCACTATCCAGTCAAGAAGATTCATCTCTCGGGAGTGTAGCGGCCATTGGGCGTTGTTTGCTCCACAACATATATTCCTCGACTTTTCCACTCGCCTTGACACCACCTTTTGACCACAAGACCGCTGCCGCCTACAGGAGTCCGTGGCTTGTCAAGCGACAGCCCTTGCCACTCTCAATGTGACCTTCAAGAAAACCAAGGGCAGCTCTGAATGACGCATCAAGATGGCCATGTGTTCGCCAGCACGTATCTTCAGTCGATGGAATTCAGGTCTCGGACGCACACGTTTGAGCAGTTTATGCTCGGTGAGGATTACTACTCCTCTATCCCGTCCCTTAACAGTGCTACGTCATCATCGATCCACAGTCGACCCTCCAATTCGCGTCATAGCGCTGCGGGGACCACAACAATAGTACATCAGAGCTTTTAACAAGGCGATATCCTTCCAGAAATCCAGAAGCAAACGGGATGATCTTCTGCGCCAATCTCCTCCTCACAGGTAAGGATCTGTTTGTACGAAAGAGCTCACATAAGCCTTAACTTGAAGATCTTAACACGCGCCTGGGATTCTCGGACACAAGGAGTTTGCGAACAATCGGTCATTCTTGCACGGTTATCTGCATCAATGCGCGCAAACAGAAGATGCCGAGATTCCGGAGGCTTCGGTTGACATCCCATGCACTCCATGAGGCAAGACCTGATAGTGAAACACGAGAGACGTCTCCCCCACCAGCCTCCGTGACTGGGGCAGTGACCTTGAGATGACCAGCCACCGCTGTCCACTCACTTCCACATCCAGCTCGTGACACAAAGCAGGAATCCTCAATCCTGCACGGCGATTAAGCTAGCTAGCAGGGCAAATGTCTCCGACCAGTCTCCGACCCTTCCAGGACTTGAGACAGAGCCCCCGCATCGCCTGAAACCACCCCCTCTCCTGAGTGCTCTCCCCTCCCCTCTTCCGCCGAGCTAGGACATCCCGATGAAGGCGGCGTACGTTATCATGGCGCTGACGGCAGATGGCTTGGACAGATCCCTGTGGGATCACGCGGTGACGAGAGGACAATGATTCGGCTTCGTGTCACCACGCACCAGCCATCGGATGGCAACCAGATACCATCCTGAGAGCCGATTCTCTCCCTGACAGTTCTGACGATCTTCCATCGGAAAACGATATCCTGAATCGTCCAGTTGCCCAGCTGATAACTTCCGCGATCTCGGCGATAATGCAGTGATGCTTATCAGTGATCAGCACGACCGGCGGTGAATCATGAGTGTGGCACACCGATGAGCACTGCACATCGACCTTAATAGCGCAGAACACTGTCATGGCCACGCCAACCCTCGCCGGAAGGCATTAATGGGAGGACGACTATTTGTATGTTAGATGAACGCTTTGCCGAAGATATTCATTCCGCCGACCCCGGTGACTAGAAGATCTGGGCTCACATCCTTACTGCGGAGCAGATTGCTCAGTGAAGGAGCCTTATCACACACTGTCTGGCGAGTGAGAGCCAAGAGCCAGTCCGTTATCGAGTCTGTTCACGGGGTCATGTCGATTCTGATGGCAATCGACGGATTGTCGCCCCATAGTTGGCAGCTGCTTGTGACGGCTCATAGTGACATTTTGATAACAAGCTTTTCGCGAGAGGCCCACTGGGGGGGGGGTGGGGGGGGTGGGGTGGCATGCAATGTCCTGGCGCTGTCGAGACTATACTGCCACGCCTTTTGATCTCACGGAGCTCGTGAGCATCATTGATATTTAATTCAGCAAGTGGTAGATGCCATGGAGATAGAAGGGCTTGAGGAAGATTATATGGGCACATCGGACGCTCAGCAGCCAGATGAAGGGCCAAAAAGATCGTGTCGCCTCTCCGCTCTGATGGAGGTGGGCTTCTCCAGTGGCAGAAATCTAACTGCCGTGCCGTGATTCCGGTGATCTAGTTCTCCAAACATCCGGTCTACAGGCGCATTCATTTGTACTCACGAGAAGTTGTGTCTCATGGGTCCACCTTGCGTGATCGGCAACGCATGAGGCTGGCGAAGGGGTGATGATGTGCTGTTGGGAACCGGTTGACAGGGGTTCTGAGAGTTTGTGGAAGATAGACTGTGTCATTCGAGTGCGGCCGCAAAGAGTTGACAGAGTTGAGAGAGCATAGTTAGAGAGGCTCTGAGGGCAGAGGAGGCCGACCATTACACGGGGATATCAGCCTTGACTCAGGATCGCGAAGGCAAAGCAGTCGTCTTGTATGCCTTTTCAGCCGCGTTTGCAGATCGTCACTAGTGTGAGCAGAGCTGTGAGTCCTTGGAGCGGCTGGAGAAATATGGCGCCCGCTGATCATGCACAATTCCCATTGTAGGTTACTCACTCAGTCACACAGTAGGGTGGGACTCCTTGAACTGAAGGCTGGATCGCTGTAACCGGTATATGGTATGAGGATTCTCCCCAACTGTCCGTTTCGAAGGTGATATGAGATATGAGAGATGGAGATCACGATGTGACGGAGGTATCTTGCGATCTTGCGAGTGGAGGACATAACGCCACCAATTCTTTCAAGCAACGATTCGACTGTATTCACTGTTCTCGCCTCTGCCCCGCCCGGAACTGAGTCTCAAGTCAGCCAAATGAGAGTCTATTGGGCACTGAGTAAAGCTGGGTGCAATTCCCCACGGGCTGCAGCTGATATGCGGAGGCTAGCCTGCGGGTTTTGCTGCGTACTTCTCACTCTCCTTGAGCATCCCGCTCGCTTGATGCGCTAGCTGTAAGGTGGCACAGCACGCTCAGGTGATCGCCCCAAGCGCCTCCTTGCGACCTCAACGATATCTAAATTCGAAGGGGGTCAGAACACTCTCCCAGGAGTAACGAGAAGCACAACGATGATGGCTCCAATAGATGTCGTCGTCAGTGGCGCCGGCAAATGCAATTCACCGGAGATCCCGGCATCAGCTGAGCACTGTCCAGAACCGTGTCTCAGCATCTCTCGCCCACGACTGACCACATATGTTTTATGCCTCTCCACAGCTCCGTTATAGAAATCTCTGATTAACACTGTTACTCACGACAAGCAGCAGCTAGCCCATGCAGCGGGTACTGCATATTGTTGGAACAAGTCGTCAGGTCGGTGGCACTGGCGGGAGGAGGTACATGGTGCCGTGCCTGTGGTGCCTCGGCTCGTCCAAAGAGATTTCCTACCCTAACTCTCCCGCAATATCCCTCGACAATCGGCAATGCCACCCCCACCCCCTTGCCGTCCTCTACTACCTCATCGGCTCGCGGCTCGCTTACGCCCAGCTGAAGTGGGGCACGACAGTCAACACAATGTTGCTGATCCGTTGCAGGTACCTCGTCGGGTCCTGGTCTGCTTGGGACCTGTCACGGAGCGGCCGTGTACCAGGGCCAGGTCCTGCCTGAGACTGAGCACCGAGAACAGGGTATAACCTGCGGCATTCCGTCGGAGAGCAAGACTAGTGAAAGGGTGGATAGCTCGAGGTGGCAGCCATGTTGAGGTCAACCTCTGGCCTCTAAACGGTATCACCGTCACAGGTTATGCTCGAAGGAGAACGATTGTTGTAGTTCATTGGCTGCTATTACCGTTGCGGTTTGGGCGGCCAAGCTGCCTAGCGAGGTTGGGTCTCCCGACTGTGCCACTAGCGGTAACAGTGGTCCGCGACCGCCAAATATGGGTTAACTGGGAGTTGCAAGGGACGGCGAAGGCTTCCAAGTCTACTGGTTTTATGACAGCTGGGCGGGTTCAAATATCCTCACGCGTTCGACCATTCTCGAATTCTCGGTGTAAATGCCTCATTCCCTCTGTTGTCAGTACCCACCACTCCACTGCTTGCCTAGACATGAGGTGGCTGCTGCACGCCTCAACGTCATCGCCATCTGTGTCCGCAAGCAGGAAATCGGAGGACCGGCCGGGTGGGACTCCTTGTGTGTCCTTAATTAATCCAGGTGGGTTCAGCAAACTGACCTCGGGGAACGGGCGTCTATGCCGCGCCCAGAGGACTTGGAATATGCGCTTGTGTGCACTGCAAGTGCATACCGAGGTTGACGGGTGGGTGAAACGTTAGGGCCAGCAGTTAGGTCATGCTCAAGCAGCTCGAGCCTCCTTGGCATGGTCGGCTTGTGGATATCGCCTGATAGACTTTTGTGACAGCTTGCTAGACCGAGCTCAAGCGTGATTGAGCCGCGCCGCAAGAACTGGAGAGACGCAGGATGAAATGCAATGCACCAACCTCCCTCATCGCACCGCGAGCTCGGACCGTGCCAGAGAGCGCCTTTCACGTACGGGGCACCCGAACAGAGTGTCAGTCGCTTGATTCTACCCACGCCTCATTTTTCGACGCGTCGACATTACATCTCCCGAATGCAGGCTCTCATTCCCGACGCCACCACCGCGAAGCCCCCAAGGCCTTTCAGCCCCTTCAAAGTTGTGGACGCCGCTTCACCTCCGGACCCCACTACGAGTGTCCCACCCGCAGCCCTGCTCAGATTTCGATTTACGATCCGGCATCGAGCCGAGCCGTTTTACCGCGCCATGGCGTGGTGTGGCTTTCTCCGATGACCTGGAACGCCTCCTTTGAGACGAACACGGGCCAGCCATCAGGGCTAGGTGGCTTTGAAATTATGCGGCTCCGGCGCAGCAAAGTCTATCAGCAGCGTCATTGCTGTAATCTGGTTCTCTGAGTGAACGTTTCACACATAATCACACCGGCTGAAGATGCGCGAGCCCAGTGGATGAATTTAGGAACCGCGCTTCGGCGATGACCGAAACCATCACCCAGTAATTCGCATACGACATTCAGCTTCGAGTTGCGCTGGTGTACGCAATGCTTGTAGCGACGCTAAGTATGCTCTGGCGCTTTCACCAAAGTGCAGAACGGCGAGGTTGCTAAGGGAGGAGCCTGATCCTTCCGCCACTTCCGCTCCCCTTACTGCCTGCCTCCTTCACTGGTTGAGAGCATAATGTCCATCTGCCTCCACTCACTCCGACATCACCGTCAGTGTGACATCACCTTCAGTGAGCACGGCGATGTGATTACGAAGTGGGCGTGGCGAATTGTGTAAAGGATAGAGCGGGCATCGAAAAACAGCAAGCAATAGCAGGCAATACATACAACCTTCCCAGTATAACTACGCCCCATCTGGGCCAACATCGCTCGCGATCGCAGGCTTGCCCGGCTCCGGGGCTGCTTCTTCCACCTCATTCTGCGGCTCCACGGCCGTCTCCACCTCCATGCCCTGCGGCCCAGCTTCTGGTGCTGTTTGCTCAGGTTGAGCGGGCTTTGGGCCACCGCTCACATCTGTCATCTCAACATCGCCCCCGTCGGCCGGGGCGGGATAGGGTGATGGTGACGCAGCTTTGCTCCCACCACCGCTGCTCTCAACGCCCCCTTCGACTCCGGCCGCCCACCGCTTTATGTCCATGCTGGCAGGAGGCGCATTCGACGAGACGACAGGTAGCGTGCCAGTCAAGGAGCCAGGGACTACTCCAGCCGACGCCGCTGCACCACTTGTACTAGCAACGGGCACGGCGGACGCTGGCGCCGCCGCTGTTGGGTGAGCCGCTGCTGAGCCTGGACCAGAGCCGAGAGGGGGCGACTTCGATCTGCGACGCTTGCTCGATGCCTTGTCCGAAGCCTCGCGGTGGCTCTGGCGATGCCGCCGGCCGCCGAGGCCTTCGTCCTCCGAGTCGGACAGCGACGCCTCATGCTGCTTCTCCTTGTCCCACAAGCGCATAGGGCGACGGATGTCCTTGTCCTCGTTGTCCTCGTTCTCATTTTCGTCCTCGTCGTCGTGTGCGAGCTTCGGCACGCTGTGAATCTGAACACTCGGGGCCGCCGGCTTGTCGCGCAGCTTTTCAAACACCTGCTCCCTGATCTTGTCCAAATATTCGCGGCGGTTGTGATCAGTCATGTTGGACGGCTTGACATCCAGTTCGTAGTCGGGCCCGTAGTACTCATAGTACTCGTTGTTGGGGATTTGGCCGCCCAGCTCGACCCCTGCTGCCAGGCCAGTTTCGTACGCCCACGTCCGTGACACGCTCTTGACCGTGTAACCGCCGCCGCCTAGCATGAGCAGAGGAAGGTTGAAGGACTTGATGTACTGCACGCAGGCCGCGTGGCCGCGCATCGAAAGGTTGAAAGAGCCGAGCCGGTCGCCGGCCAACGAGTCGGAGCCGCACTGCAATACAATAGCGCCAGGCTGATACCACTCGATGATCCGCTTCATGACCGGACGGAAGATGCTCTTGTACGACTCGTCGCTAATGCCGTCGCGCAGGGGGATATTGATGGCGTACCCCTTGCCTTTGTTGATGCCAATGTCGTTGATGTCACCTGTGCCCGGGAAGAATTCTCCGTACTTGTGGAAGCTACAGGTCATGACACGGTCGGTCGTGTAGAATGCCTCCTCGACTCCATCGCCGTGGTGCACATCGATGTCGACGTACAGGACGCGCTGGTGATAACGTAGCAGCTCGAGAATGCCAAGGACGATGTCATTGACGTAGCAGAAGCCGCTTGCCTCAGCCTTCTTTGCATGATGCAGGCCTCCGGCCCAGTTGACCGCAATGTCACACTTGTCGCGAGAGAGGCGCGCCGCGCCCTCCATGGAGCCACCAGCCGAGATGGAGCAGTACTCGAAGAGGCCATCGAAGATCGGACAATCATCACCGACATTATCTGCGGTTAGAAACTGCCGAGACTCTCAAGTGACTCACATTTCCCCTGCTCCTTGTTGAACTGGCTCTCGTTGTCTGGGTTGATGCGATACAAGAAGTCGACATACTCGTCAGTGTGAAATTGGGACATCTCTCGTTTCGTCGCAGGCTTGGCGCGCTGATGTCAGCTGCGAAACGATGTGTGAGCGCACGAAGATCTCCATCTGCTTGTAAAGTCCGTAGTTCATGACGAGCGAGTGACACATGCGGATTCGCGTCGGCTTCATGGGATGGCCTGTGGGTCAGAGGTTGGTGGCGGTGGAGGTCATGCAGTCACTCACCTGGCCCATAATGGTAGTTACCGATGTCAGAGTCGAAAAAGTAGCACTAACATGAGCGGAGGAACGGCCAAATCCACTGTGCAAATGATACGCACGACTCGCTTCTTGTCCTCGCCCATGATGGGCTCAACGATGCCCGCCATTGTTGATTGATGAATGAGTCTGTTGTTGTATCGTTGTGTCGGCGTTGGGAGCCGCGGGAATCGGCTTGGGTCGGCTCGACTGGCGAGTGGGATTAACCCAAAGCTGCTGCGGGTGACAAGAGGGCAAGTGGATGCAAGGCGGCGACGCCGAAGGCTGGATGGACGGCTTGCAAGAGGCAAGAGGAGACAGGAGTGGGTAGAATGACGGATAGCAACAATCATTCCAAGGTGGTCTGCCTCCATCATCCATCCGGTCACCAGCGATGCCTCGGAGATCAAAATCCCGAAACGCCGCACCTCCACCTTCATTCACTTGCCACCCAACCTCACAAGGTGCACTCAATCTGTATCAACGCGATTCACCCCACCACATAACATGAGCGCGTCCATCATCGACGCTCTTCCTTACTATGATAAGCAGGTTGAAGAGCCTGGTAAGCTTTGGAAGCTCATGGTACCGTCTGCTAACAACAGGCGCAAAGACCAAGGTCGAGGCGTTAATCGAGGCGGAACTCGCCCAGACTCCAAAAGTCGCTGAGGACGACCCGCGCCTTGGACAGGTTGTCGATGTTTTCCCAGTGTGTTTGATTTGGAGCAAGCTGATATCAGAAATCCGAGGGGCTGGCCAAATTGTTGGCAAACTACGCGACCGAGCCCATACGCGGCATCGATCCCAGCAGATACGCCCCGCCCACAGTGTCGGAGGGCGCGGACCTTTCTGTGCTCGAGGAGGCAGAGACGCGCGGGCGGATTGGCGAGGCACATATGGCCGTTCGGTAAGTGGTTGAGCTGATATCAGACCGTTCTACGACATGTGAGCTGACCACAGAAACGAAAACATTGGCGTGCTGCAGACGTACGGTCCCAATGCGTGGCTTGTGCGCAATTACCAGCTCTCGTCGCAGGCCAAGGAGCTTGAAGGGACACTGGCGGGTCTCAAGGAGGACGTGACGGACGTGAACCGGCAACGGAGGGCATTCAACGAGACGCAAGGCGAGCACCTGGCTCGTCTCGAGAACCGGTGGAATGATCTTGTCACCTCGACGTTGCAGCTTGAAATGGCGTGTACAGCCATGGAGGGTGAGGTGCGCGGGCTAGAGCACCGTGCAGAGGAGCTGCGCGTAGAGGTCGCGCGGCTTGAGGAGGCGGTATCATAGAGGTGGGCTAATCCTGTATCACTACACGAGTAACTGTACATCTGGATCATCCTGCGGGTCTACAGATCAGTCACCGCGCAGCTTCTGCACGCGCTTCAGGACAGAGTCCTTAGTTGGGTCTGGTGTGAGCAAAAGAAGAACGAGGTGGAGGCGATATTAGGACGAGGAGAGGTAAGGACGTCTGTAGGGTGACCTGAATGACCTCGAACCCGTGCGGCAGTGACGTCCTCCGACTCTGCGGCAGTGCATGCGTCCACGTTCGCAACTCGTCACACATTGAGATACTCACCATAAGGATGCTCTTTCGAGGGGATCTCGAGGAGGGCGGGGAAGGCTGCTTGGTACCTGTCGACAGTGGGACGTATCCGTTCGGCGATCTGAAGTCAGCCCCCGCGGGCGAATGCGACACCGCGCAGCGACGCACATGCTGGTTGATGAGAAGAATAGCAATGTCCTTCCGGTCCTCCGTGTACTCCTGAAACGCGGCTTCAATCGCGGAGGTCTGCGTCTCTGCTTGTCAGAGCCAACTCATGGGCCGGGGTCTGCTATATCATGGCGAGCTACGAGTCGATGCGCCTTCCCATCCGTGTGCTCACGATCTCGCCGCCGCCGCCAAAGACATCACCCCTCCCATACACTTATCACTCACTGGCGTCGACGATCATAAAGTTCTTGTCTTGCTTCTCGTTGACATCACCGATGCCGGCGAGGAGGAGGCCGGTCACTGAGTCCTACCATTAGCCCAGCATGCTTGGAAAGGCATCGACCAGCTCACCTCGTCACCGATAACGGCCAGAAGGTTGCGTCCCTTCGGGTTTGAGGTTGGAGCAGCCATGACGGGATGGCAAGAGCAATGGCAACAACACAAGAGTGAGCGAGGGAGCGAGGAAGGTGACGGCTGTGGCGTCACCAGCCCGTGGAGGCGGATGTTTCTGGTCAGGCACCTCCCGGCCCGCCTTGCCTTTCGCAACAATCAATCGCGTTTCCCATTCTTTCCACAACATCCACCATGACCACAACCATGAGCGTCCAGGACCTTACTGGACGCGCGTCTGCTCGTGCGATTCCTCCGAGAAAGGCATGCCCTGCCCAGGATACGCTGACAGCAGTGGGCGAAACTTGTGGCCGAATGGGTCGAGCGGGAGTCACTCGATACCGAAGCGGCAGGACCAGCCGTTGCCGCCGCGCTTCTGCACCATCTCTCGCGTCCGCGCCCGCCCGCCCTTCTAATCAGCTATCTTTCTCAAGCGCTGGAAGAAGGCCTTCTTACTGCTCGAGCGTTCGCTCTCGCGCTCCTCGCCCACATGCAACGGGACGAACCTACCCTCTCTGCCGCCTTACTAGCCTCCATCGCGACCGCACTGTTGGGCACGCCGACGGGACTTGATCCTACCGAGCCCTTTCCTTCGCCTATCGCTCTGCCAACCCCAGATGTGGGGACGAGCGCGTCCGGCGAGTCAAACGCAGTACCGGCTCTCACCTTGGTGCTACCACTCCTCCGACACTGTGTCTCTGGCCCACCTCAGCTGCTGGCCCTCGCGGCGCGGCTTACCGCGCTTATTCCACCCCTGCCAGCACCTCCTTTTGAAGCAGGACTTGAAGCCGCGCAGCTTTCTGGCGTCTTACCAGAGGAAGTAGCGAAGCCACTCCGAGACTGCCTGACTGGCCTGATGGCCGACCTGCCAATGCCAGAGGCCGCGCCGCAGCCAGCCTTGTTTCATGATGTCCCAATTGTCAGCGGATTTGCTGAGCTTGACGGGGTCCCTCAACTCAGCAACCTTCCTACCACCCTACCTCTTCGCCAGATGACCAGCTTCCTGATCGAGTTTGCGGAGCGCGCACAAAGTTCCACTCCTAGCTCGTCGTACGCCTCCGATCCACCCCATCCGCCCCAGCACTTGATCTACCTCATTCGTCTTGGACGCGCCCTCACTTCCGATTCGCAGGCTTACCTCCTCGCTCTCTTAGAGGCTGCCTCAAACCGGGTGATTGCCAGCTTGAACCTCTCACCAGGCCAGGCAACCCGCGCATACGTGTTCTTCACGGAGGAGCTGCCAGTTGCGCTGCGCTGGTGGCGCGACAACGCCGACTCCAAGTGGCCGTTTCCTTCCAATCTCCAGAACGCATTGGCTGGCACATTTGCTTCGCACAACCAAGAGATGGCGGGATGGCACGCTTCCGTGCACGCGACCCACACGGCCAAGTCGACTCAACTCATGGACGACGACGAAGTCGGCGGATACTCTCCGCCCGACGGATGGAGCATGTTGTCTCTTGAGGCGACAACGGTTCGCCGATATCTCTCTCTCGGTTTGTTGGACGAAGAGCAGGCCGTCGCTCTGTCCGAAAGCGCCAAGGCTGGCCCTGTTGGCGAGTCTCTCGTAGAGCGGCTGTCTGGCGTCCAGCAGCACCATCTCGAGGCGATCGCATATTTCATCTCGTACGCGACGGGCGCTTCGCGCCATCTTGGCGCTGAGCTCGTCAATGTGAGTCGTTGACGGTTGGGTAAACTAATGCCAGGTTATCAAGAATGCGCCTCACAGCCGGCCGCCGGAGAATCTATTTCTGCGCGTGGCAGGATCACCGCCGTTGCTCGCCTTGGTCACAGCTTATATCACGCCTAAGTCGTTGTTGGACTTGATCGTGACGCATCTCCTCGACCATGTCGAGGACCAATCGTCCAGAATCGAAGACCCACAAACGAGCCTGACACACTTCGGTCCAGGGGTGGTCCTGGCCGTAGCGCTATGTGCACAGTTTGACCTACCCCTCCCAGACTTATTGTATGACGGGCGGCGCGCATCTAACATCGCCGACCTCAGCAGTTCGGAACAGAGCCATCTGAATGGGTGGGTCAAGGCACTCTTTGGATCGGACGGAATCGACGACGAGATCATCTTGGCGACATCTTCCCAAGGTTTATGCCGTCTCGCTCCAACGATCGTTCAGCAGGCCATTGTGGCCACGATGAGCGGGCAGCTAGACCTCGACACTCTTCATTCCGGGCTTTCTTACTTCGCCCAGCCCATTCTGAGTTGGTGTCTCGGCGGGGTGGTTGGTTGGCTCTGCGCCGAAATCGAGCGTCAAGGGATCCTCTCAGGCGTGCATCTAAACGTCCTGCAGACGCTGGTCCTGGACTCGGCCTTTCCTGAGCCTCTCTTGCGGGCGAACGCGCCCGCAATCGCACGCCTTCTTGACCCAGCCACAGGGCTGGAACCTGTGATGCTCAGCAGTGCATTTGACGCGGCTGGCGTTCGCGCGCGGATCAATGTTCTTGGCGGGCCTGACGGTGGACCTGTCGTGGTCCCAAGTGACCCTGCTGCACCTCTCGTATCGCTTCGTGCGGAGCTGGCCAACGTACAACATCTGGACCTTGCCCCCGCCGGCTGGGAATCACGCCTGTACGATATTCTCGATATCTCTCTCCGCACGGCCGGTGCCCTTCCCGTTCTAGAGAGCATTGTGTCTACAGACATTATCTACCCGCCAACCTTAGACAGCCCCCCAAACTCCCCAGAGGTCCAGTTCCTGGCATTTGTTAGCGTACTAAACATGCCGCATGCGTGCGCCCCCCCACTCGCTGTAGCGCTCATTGACGCCTACCTTCCCTACCTCTTCACTCAACGATCACCCTTCGTTCCCCTCGCCGCCATGCCCGCCCCGACGCAGACCATGTTGTCCTCCACAACACCGGCACATAACCCACCACCTCTACCCTTTGCGAGCCATGCGCTGCATCACCTCCTTCGCGGCGCGTTGCTCGCGGCTGACGCTTACACGTCTGAAGAGGGCGGGTTCGCCGACTATCTCGCGAACCACCTATCCGACGAGTTTGCATGCCAGCGCGCGCGGCCAGCGTTCACGAGCCCACGCCAGAAGCGGTCCAGAGTTGGCGCGCTCGGAGTCGTGGACGCGCTCTGCCCAGAGCAGAAGGAGCTGATCTGTGAGCTCATATCGCTCTTCGAGGGTGATGAGGAGATCCGCTCAAGGTGGCCCAACCTCACGCCGATGAGCACAATGGGCCCAGCGACAGGGCCAGCGTCTTAGAAAATATTCCACAATGCACATAGATTTCTTAGTTGTCACTTGCGCAACGTTCTCCCGAGACCTCCCCAGTATAACACGCCGTGTCCGGAGGGCTCGCACTTCGCTGTTCAAATGCGAGCACCGCATACATAGCGCACATACTAATCGATCACCTACTCGGGGGGAGGCGTGAGGTCACTCTCCCCGGACTGCGACTTCATCTCGACATCGCCAACCGGCTCAACCTCCGGCGCAGGTGATATGGTCGAGCTCGAGGCATGCGTAGGCGAGGCAGTTTTGATTGGCGACGGCGGCGCCTCCGGCTGTCGAGTCACCTCTGGAGCCGTCACGTCCGGGGTGACAGAAGAGGCATCGGGCCTCTCTGTGGTCGCAGGCTCGACAGGGCGCGCTGGCGACCCGTTCTCCTTGGGGCTAGGCTTGGACGACGGCCTTTCATCATCGCTATCCTTCTCCACGGCGTCCGCGCCTTCGTCTTTCTCGCCGTCCGATTCCTCGGCGGCATCGGCGGCAGCGCGCTTCGCGGCCACCTTGGTCTCGTTTTCGCGGATAGCTGCGACAAGCTTGTGCAGATTGTACTCCATTCCGAGAGAGGCGACGAAGCGTGGGTGCGTGCGGCGCGCCTGGCGCAACGCAAGCCAATTGATAGTGCGCTTTCGCTGCGGTCAGCGCCGTCGGTTGCACAGCTCACCTCGGCCAGCTCGGCAGGCGGCTCTCGCCCCATCGCACGGTCGTCCTCCTCCTCAGCCTCGATCTCGCTCAGCTGCTCCTCGAGCGTGAAAACACTCTCGGTGCGCACTGGATCGCCCAGGAAGTCGCTCATGTCGGTGTATTTCGCGGCATTAATGCGGGAAAGAGGCTGCGTGCCCATAGAGTGCATCCAGCGGCGCATGGGCCCGCAATGCCGCTTCCACTTGGAAGCCGCATCCTGCGCAAGCTCCGGGGATGCCGGGGTGAGATCCCACTCCGACTCCAGGCATCCGTCGTTCTTCCATCCAGCCTGGCGTCAGCGAATGGCTCTTGGAACGAGTTACTCACGTATCGGCGCTCCCTGTTCATCAGTTCGGCGACAACACGATCCACATCGACGCCGTCCGGCATTTGGTTGAGCTCCTGTCTTATCAAGCGGGCGGTGTTGTTGACCCAGTCCTGGTTGCTGCCCTCGAGGACGAACGTCTTGGGCATCCCGCCAGTGACGGTCTGCTTCTTCGCGCTCTCCTTTGTGAGACTAAGAAGGAACTGGAACAGAATGAAGAACTGGATGAGAATCTGGCGGCGGAACGCGGGGTCTGCCACTTCGTAATCGAGCAGACTGCGGCTCGTGAGGTAACGAGGATATGCGAATGCCTCAGTATGTCCTCGCTTGCGCGCAGCGGCTGCACGCTCCGGGTTACGGCCACGGAGAACACGCTCTTTGCGAGTAGCCTCAAACATGCGTCCCAGGACGAAATCGGACTTTGTTCGGAAGTCATCGAAGGGCGTACGGTCGTCAACGGCGGGCCCATCGAGGCTGGGTGGGTTGGCGAAGTACTGCTGGAGGGACCAAAGAGAGGCGTAGAAGTCGGGCTGGGCAGGAGAGTCCGACTTGACGGTCTTGTCTGCCATTTCGATATCGCCATCGGCGGCCTTGACAGGAGAGGCGGGCTCCTTAACCTCTTCTCCTTTCCCCTCCCAGTTTGTGGTGAGCCGCGCGTACTCGCCGCGGAGGTTGATCGCGCTCTTGTCTGCAACGTTGATGGCGCGGCTCGCAAACAGCTGCACTCGACCGCGCAGGTCCAAGTCGCCCGGCGAGGTGCTCAGCATGCGCAAGAAGCTGTTGATCAAGCGCAGCATGCTGAGCTGCTTGCCCTTGGCGACGGGCATGTCCTGTGTGAAGCGTGGAGACCGGGACACAACGTAGTCGAACAGCGCGTGCCACGTAGAGGCGAGGAGGAGTTCTGGGTACTCTTCCAAAAGAGGGATGAAGAGCGCGCCAGTCTCAAGTGCGGGTGCGGGGTTCGCGGCGTACACCACCTCCATCAGGGTGAGGACAATGTCGAGACGGTCTTGAAGTGCGGTCTGGAAGCGCGCCTTGGATGCATCGGATGCAGACGCCTCCGGCTCAGCAAGCTGAGGTTAGCACTGTAGCGGGACGGATGGGCGAGGTGGGAGAGGGTGACGAGATTGGGAAGCGTCGCATCACTCACTTCGCGGTTCATCACCGGGCGCACGGCCAAATCGCGCGCCACCATCTCAAGCGTATAGCGCAGCACGTCCGCGCGCTTGCCTGTGGACGGCTCCGCCGTCCCCGTAGCCGCCCAGAGCTTGGTGACCTGCGCTCGCAACTGCTCAGTGTCGAGCGGAGGCAGCGCGCGAGAGCCTGTGTGCTTCGCCAGCGCGGGCTCACGCGCTGTCCACGAAGCGGCCGCAAAAGCGTGCAGCGAGCCGCTGAGGGCAGTGTAGAGGGGTGTGCCCATCGCGAATGGGTGTCTCGGTCGGAAGTGACTGTGAAGACAATGATGCTAACGAGCGACGCGAGAGTCGAATGTTGGGTGGACCACTTCACTCATATCAGGCACGGGTGATGCTCAACATTTGATCCCGCTATTGTTTGATTTCGCCACTCAACATTCCATGTTCCACTGTCTTCGGTCTTCGTTGAATTCAACTCTTCCATCATCGCCTACATGTCTGCCCGCGACGAACCGCCACACCGCCGCCCACGCTCGCGCTCGCCCGTGCGCAGGGTGGAGCGGTATGACCGCGACGACGTGCCGCGCGGCGAGCCGCGCCGAGAGCGGGACTACGACCGCGACCGCGACCGCAGTAGGGAGTATCGAGACCGCGACCGCGGCGAGCCGCGTGATCCGCGGGACGGCGATGTCGAGCGGGGCGGGCGTGGCGGAGGGCGTGGAGGTCGTGGCGGTTACTCTGGCAGATATGACGACCGCGATCGCGGGCGGTACGAGGACCGGGATGACTTCCGCGGCGGAAGAGGGGGCCGCTACGACGACCGCGATCGGGGAGGCAGGGCCGGACGCGATAGAGAGTGGGACCGCGACAGGCCGCTGGACCGGCGGGCGATTGAGGAGGGCCGTCGACGGCGTGAAGAGGAGCGCGCACGTGGCGTCGTGTTTACTGCGGACGGGCAGAAGATCGAGCCGAAGGGTGAGTCCCGCGATGCAGACTTGGGAAGCAAGGCAGGAGACATCGCTAATAGCAGCCGAGGTGCCGGAAGAGGAAGCGCCGGCAGATGACGCTGAAGTCGATGAGGAGACCCGTGCATTGCAAGCTATGATGGGCTTCGGTGGTTTCGGAACGACCAAGGTGAGCACCCCGGGTGTGTCTTGCTGACGGCAGGGCGTGGAGGTCGAGGGCAACGACGTGGGCACAGCCAAGGTCAACAAGAAGCGGACGTGGCGCCAGTACATGAACCGTCGCGGCGGCTTCAACCGTGCGCTCGACAGCATGAAGTAGACGTTGGAGATGGGCTCCGACTCCCTCGACGATGTACGTCGTAGAGTTGTCAGTTCTGATCGGATGAAAACTTGGGAACGAACACGGACACTCTGAATTCCATGGTGATGCTATTTATGAGTTGTGATTGTACAATGCAAGGGTCTTGCCTCTTCTATGTCTATGCCTTAGGGGGCTGCGGCTTGGCCTTGACGGCCTGGCGCATCGCCTGCAGCGCACGGCCAGGGCGGCGCATGGCGGCGGCCAATCCCATGATGCAGGTGAGCACGACGACGGACCCAGCCTGGTGCGCGGCAGCCAGGGGAATGGGGACAAGGTAGATGAGCGTGGAGATACCCAGGCCGACCTGAGCCATGGCGGCAGCGGCAGTCCACGCGCTCCAGCGCTGCGCTGCGCGGGGAAGGGCGAAAGCGCCGAGGCGCAGACTTGGGCGGCGCGCAATCAGGTGCTGGGCAACGAGGAAGGTGGCGGTGGTCACGGCGAGAACGCGGTGGTCGAACTGCACAGTAACGGGGTTCTCGAGCATGTTGCGCCAGACAATGTCCTTGAGCTCCGGGTCTTTGGAGTAGCGCGGGTCGAGGAGCTCGTCCTTGGGCGGGTGGAAGCCCTCACCCATGTACGGGAACTCGTTGTAGATCAGGCCGGCGTCAAGGCCAGCAACGAAAGCACCCGAGATGGCGGTAAGGAAGACCATGGCGCCCAGAAGACCAGTGAGGCCGCGGAAACGCTTGACAGCGGGCGAGTTGAGCGCGGCCGCGAGTTTGTCGACGGCAGCTGCGCCTGCGGGACCGGACTTGACCTGCTGAGCGAGGACCTGGTCACGGCGCAGGCCGAGAGCAGTGTAGAACATGCCCATGTAAAGAAGCAGAGCAGCGCCAAAGTGCGCGGCAAGACGGTACTGCGAAACGCGGGGGACCTCGTTGTTGGTGACGATCTCCTCCTTCAGTCCGGAGGCGACCATCAGCCAACCGATCAGGCCCTGGACACCAATACCGGCGCCGAGAGCCAACAGCCTGGCGGGGAGGCCGCGAGGAAGCTTGTAGCGCGTGCAGTAGTACGCGGCAGGAACGATGAAAAGGACACCAAGGGCACGGCCGGCGATGCGGTGCGCCCACTCCATGTAGAAGATGAACTTGAACTCGGCGCGAGTGATGTTCGCGTTCATACTATTGTCAGCGGGTCGGGGCGACGAGACAAAGCCGCTTGAAGGACAGAGCTTGGGACTCACATAATACCCTCCGGCGACATGCGGTACTTCTCCCACTCGACATCCCACTCGGCGTCGGTAATGGGCGGCCGGATACCAGTGATAGGGTTCCACTCAGTGATCGAGAGACCAGACTCTGTGAGGCGTGTAAGACCGCCAATGACGATGATGCCGAAGACGAGGGCGGAGCAGCCGAGGAGCCAGAACGGCATGGAGCGGGGGATGACCCTCACGTCTTCGGGTGCGGGGGCGTCGGACGACGCGGCAGAAGAGGTCGAGTATGAGGCGTAGCGAGACGGGGTGAAGAACGAGAAGGAGCGGCCGTAGGGGAGGTACGACTGGGCGAAGAAGCCTGCCCTTGGCGGCGCCGCGAACGAGGCTTTGAGGCCCAGCGCCGTCGCTGTGGCCGGGAAAATTGGGCGTGCGCGCGCCGTGCTGGTGCTCAGCAGGCGCAGAGGGGACGCCTGGCGCGCGGGTGCTCGGACAGAGCACCTCGCTGCCGCGAAGGCCGCTGGGAGGAGCGGCATCGTCGGTGGGGTAAAGAGTGTGATGTGGTTGGCCTGACACGGCGCCGAGCTTGGACTTTATTGTTCTGCAGGGTCGCCGAGGTCCGGAGTGGGAACGATGCGGACAGCTGCGGAAATCTCCGCCCTCCTCATTCACACGTTATTTACCACGTGGAATCTACTCGTATCAGTTGGACATTGAGATGTTGAGGTCGCCAGGTCGAGATTGCGATATTGTGACAGAGAACACCAGTGACATAAAAGCGGCCATGGACATCAGGCAAGCCACAGTGAGTTAGGCAAGAGATAGTTTGTGCTTACTCAGATCGATGACCTGCTGGGCATGCAGAATGCCAACCTGCTCAACTTGCCCGAGAACTACACGTTCAAGTACTGTGAGTAGCGCGGCATCAAGGCGGCAGCAGCTCGTCGGCATGAACGTCTTCCGACTTGGACGGCAGCGGAGACCGCTAAATCTTGCTGCGAGCTGGTTGCTGCGCCCATCCTTGCTCCCAACGCCCACACCTTCCCCCTGCACCCGCTGACTCCAGACCTCTACCACGCCCTCACTTGGCCCGAGCTCTCTTATGTCGCTGTCGACCCGGCCGGCCGCATCGTCGGCTACATTCTCGCCAAGATGGCAGAAGAGCCGTCGTCCGAGGCGAGCGGGCACGTGACGTCCATCTCAGTGCTGCGGCCGTATCGCCGTCTCGGGCTGGCGAACAGGCTGATGAAGCAATCGCGTGAGTGGTGGCACGTGCGAGGCGGCCTACATGTCGGCTGGCGAAATGGGAGAAGCGAATTGGGTGGGCGGAGGGCATGCCGTCCCCGGCGAGCACCGGGCTCGGTTCGCTGGAGCGGTTCCGGGAGGAGAAGCTCTCCGCAGATCGCAGAGGTTACGGGCGTCGTTTGTCACCCGTTTCCATTGTACCCGCGCAGGCCGCCACACTACGCTTGATTACGCTCCACTTGCGCTTTTCTGACCCACAGAACAGGCCATGGTCGCACACTACAACGCAGCGTACATCACGCTACACGTGCGCAAGTCGAATCGCGCCGCCATCTCGCTCTACCGCGACGCCCTTGGCTTCGAAGTCCACGCGATGGAGAAGGGCTACTGTGAGTACAGGCGCGCGGCTGGCGCCAGCCGCTATGCGATATGCCGGCGTTATTGCCCCGAGAAGAGCCCTGACGCCAGACGCCGACGGCGAGGACGCGTACGGCATGCGCTTCGTGTTCAAGCCCAAGGACGAGGCCGCGTAATGCTATACCCTGCATGTATTCTTATCTCCCCCACACTACGCTCTATGCACTCCGCACACCCGACTGGTCGCGCCACTCCTCGAAGAAGCGGAGCATCGCGGGTGTAATGCGCCTCCTGACGGTACGCGCTGAGTGAAGGAGGTGCGCCTTCTTGACAAAGGGCGCGTCGAGGTCTTCGTTCATCGCTGCCAGCGCTGCGTCCTGGCAGATGGAGGCTACTTCTGCGCCAGAGCAGCCCTCGGTCTGGTGTCAGATGCCGTGGAACCTTGTGACTTACAATGCGAGCGAGCTCGTCGAGGTCCACGCCCGGCTCGACGGCCATGCTGCGGAAGCGGAGGGCGAAGATGTCCCGCCGGGTCTGGGCATCTGGTGCCCCAACGTACAGGATACGGTCGAGGCGTCCGGGACGGGTGAGTGCCGGATCCAACACATCAGGCCGGTTCGTCGCGGCCACAACCGTGACGCCCGAGAGTGCCTCGACGCCGTCCATCTCGTTCAGGAGGGAAGTGAGGACGCCGCCGTGCACTCCGTCTGCGCCATCGCGATTGGCGCCCAACGCATCGATCTCGTCAAAGAATATAATGCTAGGGGCGGCCGCGCGCGCCTTCCGGAAAATTTCGCGGACGGCGCGCTCGCTCTCGCCGACGTATTTATTGAGCAACTCGGGCCCCTTGACAGCCAGGAAGTTGAGCCCACTCTCCGTCGCCAGCGCCTTCGCCGTCATCGTCTTGCTGCATCCTGGCGGGCCGTACAGGAGCACGCCCTTGGGCGCCTCCACCCCCAAGCGAGTGAAAGTCGCGGCGTGAGTCAGAGGCCACTCGACACACTCTCGCAACTTGGCCTTGACCTCGTCCTGGCCCCCGATGTCTGACCACCTCACGGTGGGCGTTTCAACAAACACCTCGCGCATCGCGCTCGGCCGAATGTTGGGGAGGGTAGCGAGCATATCGGCGTGCGTGAGCTCGGGCTCGCCAGCAGGAGAGGCATGCCACCGTGTGATCGCCGCACTAGCGGCTTCGCGAACGAGCGAAGTCAGGTCGGCGCCAACGTATCCGTGCGTCTTGGCGGCTATCGCGCCCACCTCATCTGATGTGATTGTGTGAGGCATCTTGGCGAGCAGGATTTCAAGAATGTGCTTTCGTCCAACAGCGTCCGGAATGCCGATCTCGATCTCACGATCGAATCGCCCCGGTCGCCGCAGTGCTGGGTCGATAGCGTTGGGCCGGTTGGTAGCGGCAACCACGATGACCTTCTCTCCCGCATCGGCCGTCATCCCGTCCATGAGAGTGAGGAGCATGGCGACCACGCGGCGCTCGACCTCACCGCCCTCACCACCATCGCGACGTGGACAAAGCGCGTCGACCTCGTCCAGGACGATGATGCAAGGGGAGCGGCGGCGCGCCTCGTCGAAGACGCCTCGAAGGCGCTCTTCCGTTTCACCATGGAACGCAGAAGAGAGCTCCGGGCCGTTCACTACGATACAGCTGCACCCGGGAGTGGAGGACGCAATGGCGCGCGCGAGTGCAGTCTTTCCCGTACCCGGGGGACCGTGGAGCAAAAGTCCGCGCGGCGGGGCCAGTCCAAAGCGCGTGAAAAGCTCAGGCTGTTGCAGAGGCAGGTCGAGAAGTGCGCGGACGGCCTTGATCTGCGCGTCCAAGCCACCCAGTAGTCGATAAGCCGACTCGGACTGTTCGGCTGGAGTGAAGATGTTGATGTAAGAAGGAAGGGAGGTTGTCGTCTGATGTCAGCTATGCCATGCCATTTATGAGCTCACAGGTGCTGATGACGGCTTCCCCGCGGCCTTGTTAGTCCCCGTCTCCTTGCTGTCTTCCTCAAAGGCTACTTGCGTACGCCATTCGGCTTCATACACAACAGGCGCGTCCGCGAGCGAAAGCGCGCCGAGATCATTAGCGATCGCGTCAGGGCCAATCTTTGCGGCGACCTTGGTCGACACCTCGATGTTTGTGACTTTGTACGTAGGGTCGTCCTCGCCGATGGCGACTTTGAGACCCGTCGCCACGTACTTGGCGGCCGCGAGTGCCTCCTTCACCGCCGCACGCTCCCACTCGGTCTCACGCTTCTTGCCATCCCCTTCCACCTTCTTCGGACCGATGTATTTGACAGTCACGGTCTTGGCGATACCCTTGCACGCGGCAAGGGGAAAGCGGAAGACATCGACATCTGAGGCGCCGAGATTCGCGAGCTGGGCGTGGGCGAGCGCGAGGGCTGCTGTCAGCTACCACCTTCCCATCTGAGCTCACTGTCTTCATCCAAGCCAACGCGTGGCCACACTTGTCCCACCACCCATCCTAAGCTGCTCGATTTCTTGGCTTTGACGAGCACCCACTGCCCGGCAGCGAGTTTGGTCGCGCGTAAGACATCAGGGCCGAGATAGATGCGTCGTGAACGGCGCTGGTTGAGTGCGTCCGAGCTTCCAGCCTCTACCTCGAGGGCAATTGCGGTGAGAGAGGCCACGGGCTCGGGCATGTTGAATGCTGTCGCAGGTGTTGGGCCCGAAAGACGGAGTGAGGTGAGTTGACGAGGGATGAGGTGGTGGAAATGAGGGCGGGAGCAAATTGAGGTGAGGAGGGTGCCTTAGTTAGGCCCCGCAAAGTGGTTGTGAGATAAGGGATTTGCCACCCGATGGCGACGGGTTCAGATGGATCAAGTCGAGTCATCTTGAATGAGCCCCCTCTGTACGCTTCGCCCCGTCCACCTTCCCTCGCTCGTGGTGCTGGCAGCTGGCGTCTCTCTGAGCGTGTTGCTCTCCTCGATCTCTTTCACAACATCTTGAATTCAGTCTTTCAGTCTTTCAGTCTTTCTCTTTCTCTTTCTCTCTCTCTCTCTCATCTCTCTCTCATCTCTCAACGTCTTCATCTTCACATCTCTTCCTCATCCTCCCTCTTCTTCCAGGCTGTATCTACCTCGTCCCCATCCCCCATCCCCCATCCCCCATCCCCGTTACACTCCCCGTTCCACCCATTCACCTCGCCTCCGCATCTCCCCGTCCCACCATCACCCTCCGCCATTCATAGGCATAGCGATGTCGGCCCCAGTTGCCGACCCCACTGATCTCGCCACCCCTCCGCCACAAGGTACTCTTTCCCTCCCCAGCAGCAACGGGCGCACCCGCTCCCGTGACGAGTACGACGCAGACAGCGACAGCGAACCCGCTTCGTCACCTCACCCACCAAAGATGCCTCGCACAGACCAGGAAGACGCAGAGGAGGAGGAAGGTGGATTCGTTGCGCTGTCCTCCACGCTAACACCAGTTTCCGCGCCCTCCTCGGACCCAACCATCCTCCGCCTCATCGAGGAGCTCGAGTGCGGAATGTGTGCCGGCCTCTATATTGATGTGAGTTTCAATCTACCCTCCAGGCCATGCTCGGCGGAGCTAACCCCCAGCCCGTTGCACTCAACGGTTGTGGCCACACTTTCTGTGGCAGCTGTGTCACCCAGTGGATTGCAGTATGTACACTGCATCCCTCCAGTGAAACTCACCCCCAGTCCATCCCTCGATTCCCTCTCGCTCTTCTCCCTGGCGACCCTGTGCCCAACCCCATCGCGTGCCCCCAGTGTCGCCACGCCCCCATCCAGACAGCCACGCCGTCACGCATGGCCAAGACAATGAGCGACCTCCTTTTGCAGGTGCACCCGGGTGTCGCTCGTCCCGCGAACGAGATCGTGCAGGCCAGAGCACTGTACAATCCTAGCGGGTCGAAAAGCGTTCTCAAGGTGAGCTCCATAGCGCGATATACGCTGATACAAGTTCCCAACGCCGCCAGCGGCTCCACGCATGCAAGAGCGGGACTACTGGCGCCCGTGCCGCTGGTGTTACAGCGCGGACAGAGGCTGGAAGTGTCCAGTACCGGTAAGTCTATCATTCGGCGACTTGCAGCTCACATCAGGTTGCCCGTTTCGAGGTTCCGGATGAGCGGCCACTTTGCGTGCGTGCCGACGGGGTGCCTCCGGAGGGTCACCGTCTCTGCGCTGGATGGTGAGATACACGTTATAAGATCATTGCTAACAATAGCGAGCGTCTAAGTCCTGCCCACGCACCCACCAGCGCGTCCTGTGGTCTTTGCGGGGAAGGCTATTGTGGTGACATTGTAAGCTTCAACGCCCTTACACGAGCTGACTGAAGCAAACCAACTGCGACTGCGGTCCCGTTTCGGCCTCGAAGCCGTCTGTTCAGTACAATGCGTTGTCGGCTATGCTCGAGGACCTCCCGAGCGACATGCTCCTGATGGCGTTCAAGGACAACTGGACCGAGATGTACAACCTGGGCGTGTATATTGCTGCCAACCCCGAGGGCAACAGCACCCCTAACATCTACAAGGCTATCATTGACTGGCTGCGCTCCCCTGAGGGTATCGACTCGGGCGGCGTGCTTGGCCTCATGACGCGGGCCGACATTGGAATCCGTTTGCGCCAGGGCGCCGCCGACGAGATGCAGCAGTGCGTCATGCCAGTCGAGGCAGGCGCAGCCGAGGAGAACATTTGCAGCAATTGTGCGGACGAGCTGCTCTGCGTGAGTTACTGAGAGTTGTATTTTAGCTCACGCCAGTCGGGAATCTTTGAGTGGTGGATGCGTCAGCTGCAGAAGCCCGAAGTGGCAGAAAAGATGCCAGCAAACATCAAAGGTCGCCCCAACTGCAAGTTTGGTCGCAAGTGTGCGCGCCAGGACGTGGACGCTCACTCCAAGAAGTGTGAGTTATTACACGTTTAGGTCGTGCCATTCTGACAGTAGACAACCACATATGCGAGGCCCTGCCCGCGGAGGAGGCCGACAAACTTCATCAGGACGACACGATGCCTGCTGGAGCTGTGGGCGGCCCGAACGACCCCGCCCCGAGTCGAAGGCATCGGCGACACCGAGCTGAGGCGGATACCGACAGTGAAGGTGACGAAAGCGACGGTGAGACGGACACCGATGACGAAGGCGACCAGAAGCCCAATTCTGCCGACGCTGGGGTGCAGTGGGAGGCTGTGCCGACCGGTACCATCTTGCGCGTTGAGGCGCCGCCCATTCACGCTGCTTGGAAGGCGGAGACGCCCACCACCGCGACCTGGACCTCATCCACCACGGCTACCGCTCCAGCTACCGTGGCCACGCCATCGCAGCCCGCGGTCGCAATAGCGCACCTGATCCATGAGGTCAATACAGCGCCATCCTCATCCAACTCTAGACTTCTGTCGCCCAATGGCCAGCATGGCCAAGTCACCTCGGCCAGAATCTCGAGTTCCGCTCCGTCACCGCTAAATGTCCCGCCGTCAACCGTGGCGCCCCACCTCGTCTTCAACGAAGTGCGGCGCACCCAGACACCTCCGCTTGGTTTGTCGCAGCTGCCGAACGGCATTGGTTTTAACGCTGAGGCGGGGTCGTCGGAGCTTCCCAAACTCGTTATGCCTGCGCCCAAGTCATCGCCAACGCGGTTTACGTTTGACGCCATGATGGCGGGAGATGGTATTGGGGCTGTGGGCGGAAGCAGAGGCCAAGGGTCGTCGATGGACATTGACTAGGAAGGGTGTGTTGGAGAGTGGTGCGAGTGGGAGAGTGTGTGGCGTTATGCCTTGCAAAGCACCCTGGGCGTTGGCGTTGATGGGGATGGGACTGGTTAGTCACCGGTGATGACCCGCTGGCCGCTACAAGCTCGTCTCGGTTTGACCTTTGTAGTAATCTGTGTAATAATTGGTAAGGATTGCATGTAAATAGTACGTGAGTGTGTGGGGTCTGTGAGCTGCCGAGGCGACACGGGGATGAGGCGGATGCTGTTGGTGTAAGCGGGGTTTGTGAGGGATAAGATCAGAAGCCTTGTCGATTATATTGTCGATCAAATACTGTATATAAGCCTACTGTAGCGCTGGCTTGACAGAACACTCGGTGCCAAGTAACCAACCAACCCTTGTGGAGTTGTAGTTTGCGATTGCGAGAGCTGCATTCGAGATATTCCAAGTGCACCATGAGTCCAGCCAATTGGAAGCCTGGGGATGGAGGGTGAGGAGCGGGGGAGGTGTCAAAGTGAACACCGACGTTTTGGATTGTCCTGTCCTGTACAGTTACGTTACGTCCTGTCGTCCCCCCTGCCGCCGGCCCACCCACTCGGCCCGCCCTGCGTACCTGGTGGCCTGCCTGGTGGCTCGTTGCTCGTGCAGGTACTGTAGCTAGCTGCTTGGCGATACCTTTGCCCTGCTTGGTCGCCGTTGTCTACTGTAGTGTGCATCCAACTAGGCAGAGGGGTTCAGTCTGAGGGATGAGGGACAAGTGGGGGGGATCATGTGAGCTGTTCCCTCTCATGTCTCATCGTCTACCGAGCTACCGATCTACCGAGCTACCGAGTTGGCCTTGCGCACACTACTTTTTTCTAACTCGTACAATATAGTAGAGCCGGTGGGGAGTTGATGAGAGGAGGTCAGGCACTCAGGCGGAGAGGTGGAGAGGGGGATGTTTGCGCCGCCGTGCCCAAATGGGGTGATGGATTATTATATCTGAGTTGCACGGGTATCCGCACACTTGTAATGATCCGCAATTACTCCGGCACGGTTCTGTTTGGTAATTAGGATTAGTTCTAATCACTGATTGTAATGAGATAGATATCGCTGAAATAGGCACGCCACTCTAAGGCCCTCCTCCCTCTCTGGCAGCTGACCCTTTGCCCTGCTTCTCCTTGACCCAGGCTGCACATCCTGAACCCTCGTCTCCCTCTCATCCAGTGCCACACTCGTCTCTCCTCCTCCTCCTCGATCACCACTGCTCTCTTCATCCTCATCACCATCCTCATCCTCATCCTCCTCATCCTCCTCATCCTCCTCCCCATCCTCCAGCCTCTCCTCCATCTCCACATCTGGTGGCCGTCCTCCACAATCCACACACTCATCCCTCCCACACCCCTCCCCCCGCAACGCCTCCTCCCTCCCCCTCCTCGCACCATCCATCCCCAATCCGGCCTTTCACATCCGCCTTAACCGCTATTACTTTCCCCCCCCGTCTTTCCGCCCCACCAGCCCCCGCATCGCCCGCATCGCCCGCTCACCCCTCTCCCCTTTTCCAACTGACTGCATCCCCCACCTCACCATGTCTGCGCCAGCAGGCGTCCCCATCGCCGCAGCACCCATTGACTCCGGCGCTGCTGTACCCGGTGGTGGTGCCGCCCCTCCAAATGCCGTTCGCCCTCCACCACCAGTATCCACAGGCAGCGACAAGAAGCGTAAGGCGCCCCCCTCCAGCGCTGGTCAGCCAGCACGCAAGGATAGGCCAGGCTCGTTGACAGAGGAGGACAGCAGTGCTGCGGCCGCAGCGGCCGCCAGTCTCGCCGCTTCCAATGCCCAGAGCGCTACCAACTCTGGAACAGCGACACCGGCCACCGCCGCCAATGCCGCGGGCGCAGGCGCACCAGCCCAGGCTTCTGGACGCCCACGCGAAGCCAAGCGCACGCGCGTACACTTCTCATGTGTCGAGTGCCATCGCCGCAAGCAAAAGTGCGACCGCAAAGAGCCGTGCTCGCAATGCGTGGCTCGCCGCGTACCGCATCTCTGTCGCCCCTTCCTTAACGGAGTCGAGGACCCTAACGCGTACGTCTCAGCTGGCGCTTGGGCCGACCCACCCCATCCCCGCCCCCCCGCTCCGCCCCCATGGGCAAGCGCACGAGATGGGGAATGCGCACGGGTGCCAGGCTGGAGAATGCATTGCTGACATTTCACAGCAACTCTGATGTGCATGCACGCCTCACGACCATCGAGGGCATGCTCGCGCGGTTAACACAGGTGATCCCACAGGCGATTGCATCGCGCGGGTTCAGCGACGGCTCGAGCCCAGACGTCTCCAGTCTCCCTGTGGGCGAGGATGTCTTCCACCCTCAAAGCGCACCACAACCAGAGCCTCCACGACAAGCCTACGCTCATAAACCTCCACCGTCGGGCCTCTTCCCCGCCAGCCTGTCTACCAGCACACCTGTTGGAAGAAGCGGGTACGGATGGGGTCTGCGCGAGGGCCGCATGATCAACCTCACCGTAGAGGACAATGCCGAGCTGCGCGATGTGCTTCTCACCCTGCGCGAGTCTGGTATCACCAAGAACCACCTCGAGTGGCTCATTGCGGGCGTTCCTGGTCGCCGTATGGCCGACGCCCTCGTCGAGATGTACTTTCGGTGAGCTCCGCCATAACCCGCAACACACACTGACAGCAGGGACATTGAGTAAGTGGCGCAAACACGGCCTGTGCGGACGACGACGTCCCATGTCGCGCGATGCTACTTTGGTAGCGAGCGACGGCGAGCTAACCCCACAGCTGGACCCGGTACAAAATCAACCGGCCAACCTTCGAGCGCAGGTATCAGGCGTTCTTCGATTCGATCGGACGCAGCCCCACCAACCCCAAGATTGACGCAGACACAATCAAATGGATTCCACTCATGTTCATTGTCGTGCGTTGTGTGTCGTGTGACGGCGCTGACCGAAGCTTGCGATTGCCGCCCTGTCCGCGAGCTCGGACGTGATGCCAGGTGACGAGCAGCAGGCCTGGTCAAGAAGATTTTACGGTTCTGCGCGCAGTGGCCTCGAATACGCAAAGGCCCTGCAGCGCGACAACCTCGATGTCCTCTTTGCGGGCTTGCTCGCGTCGCGCTACATGTCAGTGTTCGCTTCCAAGGCTGTCAGCTGACGTGTGTAGGCTTCTGACGCGCCGCCCAGCCGAAGGCTCAACCCCCCTGACCACCGCTTTCCAGCTCGGTCTCTACCGCGACGGCACTGTGCTGAACCTGTCGGACAAGCGCGAGGTGGAGATCCGCCGCCGCGCCTGGGCGATGCTGTACCATCTTGATCGGACGATCTCGCTGCTCGTCGGCCGTCCCGCTTCGATCTCTGATGCGCACACGGACGCGCGCCCGCCCGCCAACCTCGACGACGAGGAGATTGAGAACCCAGACTTTGACCCGGCTGGGCATCCGATGACAAAGCCCACAGTGTACACATATGTGATTGTGCGGTGAGTACCGTCATCTGCCGAGCGCACGGAGACGCCTGTGCGCTGTGCCTGCTGGCGCGCTGTCCTTCAGGCTCGGCATGCACATCCTGCGATCCGATCTGTTCCCGGTAAAGCCGCAAAGCCAACGCTGACACCACAGACACAAGCTCGCCGAGATTATGGGCCGGATAGCATACCACACCTTCACGATCCAGCTGCCCGATTACCAGACGGTCCTGGCGCTCGACAAGGAATTGCTCGCCTGGCGCGATGGGTTGCCGCCCTTCCTCGCGATGAACAACCCAGACACGAGCTTTGACCAGACGCACCCTTATCTCTTCGTGCAGCGCCATCTCCTCGCTTGCGAGTGGTACTATACGCGCATCACACTCAACCGCCCCTACCTGCTCCGGCGAAAGCCGCAGGACGGGCGCTACGAGTATTCGCGCAACGCTGCCATTGAGTCGGCAACAGCTGATCTTCTGAGTCGCCGCGCCTTCATTATGGAGAAGGGCGAGCTTATCATCAACTCGGGCGGTTACCGAGTGCTCAACTCGTACATGGTCCTCGGTGTCACCATCAAGCGTGAGTGTGACGCTTCGAACAGCGCTGACTCCAGTCGACCCCGAGTCTCCTCAGGCGGACGAATTGCGGCATCTGCTCAACGTCGTCTCCGGAAGAGCTCGCGACGAGCAGGGGCGCATGTCGGAGCCGATCGTCAAGGAGGAGCTGGCAATCGTCGAGTTCCTCACCGCCAAGAACCCGAGCAAGGCACAGACGATGGCCGCGAACGGAGGACAAAACGGAGCGGCGCGAGCCGAGCCAAACGACGAGAATACGCCCGTGGATCTGCTTCTCGGACTCGCGAAGACGAACTCGGGCCGCCGCGCCGCCGAGGAAGAGAAACGCCAGCTGCGCCTCCAGCAGGCGCGCGAGCAAGAGGAGCAGCGGCAAGCGCGCAGGCGCGTGATGCAGCAGGCGAACGGAAGCGGCGTGCCGAACCCGTGGAACTACGTGCCGCCCCAGATGCCTGGACTGGACGTGCACCAGCCCTTCGGTGCGCGCCCGCGGCCGCAGCAGCTCGGCGGCCTCCCGCGCCCGCTCCAACCGCCAAAGCGCGACGAGGAGAACAAGCTCAACGCAACGTGGTCGCCTGAAAACCCGTTCAACTTCACCGACCGCTCGTCGCCGAGCTTCAGCGCCAACGCGAACAACATGATACAGGGCTTCCAGAACCAGGTCAACCTCTCGCCATACCAGGAGATGGGCATCCTCCCCGGTTCCGGCCTGAGCCCAAGCGAACAGCTCGCACTGCAGGGCGCCGGCACCGCAGCCACCGCGAACGCGAACGCGGCCGCCGCCGCCGCTGCCGCCGAGAGTAATGGCCACGCTCTAAATTTCTCAGGGACGGGCCAGGAGTTCGGCAGCGCGGTGGACAACTTTGACTTCTCGGCGTTCGGGGGACCGCAGAGCGGCATGGAGATGGCGTTCAACCCGTTCGCTATCCAGCAGACGGGCGATGAGGGGTGAGTCGAGTGTTGGGGCGCAAGGCGCAGCGTGGGGCGGTGGAGCGGAAACGTCGCGGGCCGGCGGGCCGTAGAGGCACGCGCCGCCTCAGGCGACAAGAAGCTCTCTGCGCCCATACCCGAGAGCATCGCGCATGATAACGCTGACACCAGATCCGGGAGCGAGCCGGGGCCAGACGACGAGACGACGTTCCTCAATTTTATCTTGACAAAGTTTGCAAACAGCTCGGGCGAGACCATGTAGCGGCGATTCTTTGGGTGCAGCTGTCGATCGCATACCCCTGTATCCGTATATCCGGTTTATGCATGTTGGTTGATGGAACGTGCATCCAAACCTCCTCTGAGCAGAGGACACGAGGCGAGATGGGGAGCAGAAAGATCCTTCTGCATACGGGTGACCGCCAACATGATCCTACGGACTACTAACTAACTCGGACTCTCCTCGGGCTGGCTCCTCCCGCCGCAGAGCGCACCATCACTGCCCCACGCATTACTCAAGCGGCATATTCTCGAGGTCCTCGCCCAGCCGATCCCACACCTTGCCCTCTGCGCGCACGGCGCCGCTCTCGCCGGCGACCCACGCGCGCCACGCGAGCGTAGCCATCGCCGCCTGCCGCGAGTGGAAAACGACGCCAAACTCATGCCACATACACGCGCGCACAAACACGCGGCGCGCCAACAGCGCCGTGATGGCCGAATTATCCTGCTCAATACCGGACGTGAGCTTGCCCACCTCGTCCTCCCACCCGGGCTTGGCCGCCTGGCGCGCGGCCTCGATCCGCGCCTGCCGCCCCACCACGCGCTTCTGCAGCGCGTCCACGCCGTCGCGCGACAGCCGCTCGTGCCGGTGGAACAGGTCGCGGAAAGACATGTACAAGTCGCGCTGGCGCTTGAGCGCCTCGATCCCGTCCGTGAGCGTGGCGAGGTCGCGCTCCCGCTGCTCGGCGAGCCGCGACCACGCGTAGCCCACCGTCGCGAGGCCCCGCCCCGTGCCCTGGCACACGTCGCAGCTCTTGCCCCCCGGCACGCAGCGGTAGCATGCGGCCGGCATGTCTTCGGACACGGCGCCGAGCGCCACCGCGAAGCGCGCGGCCTCGGCCGCGCCCTGCGTGCGCCGCGCGAGCTCGCGTTCCGCGAGCGTCACCATTTTCTGGTACGCCGAGATCAGGCCCGGCAGGCGTGTGCGCAAGCCACTGCGGTCAGCGGGCCGTGGGCGGAGCCAAGGGCGGGGGACTCACTCCAGCTTCTCTTCGAGGTCGGCGGGGATCGCCATCTCTTGTGCCGGGTTCAGGCGCTTGCTCGCGCTCTCTTCGTCCGTCGACACTTTGACGCGTTTGCGCCACGCTTCAAAGTTTGGCTCGGTCATGAAGACGTTGAGGGCGCCGTCGTCGCGCATCACGGGGTGGTTGACGAGCGCGTTGATGAACCGCTGCAGGCCTTTGCGGCGGGTCTCGAGGAACGCCGCGTCGGGGTTCATCCGCTTTGGCGGGAGCGCGGGCAGCAGGCGGAACGGGTAGCGCTGGAGCAGGGTGGTGTGGAGCCACACAAAGTCCGAGTAGCGCCGGAGGAGCGCGCCCGCCCGCTTGTCGCTCGACACGCGGTACTTCTGCAGGAACCACCCCTCTTTCTGCGGGCACAGCTCGACGGTCACGTTCTCCAGGCGGCGCCAGAACCCCCGCTCGGCCTCGGCGTCGGGGTTGCCGCCGGTCTGCGGCCCGTTCGTGTCGTAGCTCACGGGCGCGGGCGGGAAGCGCGGTGTGCTGTCCCACGGCGAGAAGGTGCTGCTCGGGCTTTGTGGGAGGGGTGGGCGCGGCGGCGGCGCTTCAGGCGCCGCCGACAACCGCGGTGCCGGGAGGCCAGGCAGCGCGGCGTCGACGGCGGCCAGCGTCATTTCGGCACTCGGGTCCGACTGCGCGAGCGCGACCAGCGCCAGCACCCGGTAGAAGTCGGGGCGGCCGAGCGACGCCTGGTGGCCTGTCAGGCCGACGATCTGGCGTGAGCCCTGGACCCGCCTTCTTGGCGTCCGGGGATCGCGAAGGGACGACGCAGACGTACCTTTTCCACGACGGATGCCGGGAGCCGCGCCGTCGCGAGCAGCCGCTGCAGCGTCGGAAGAGACACGGCGCCGCCGCTCTCCAGCTGCCTGAACAGCGCGATGTATGCCCCTGGCGGGTCGTCTGCCGTCAGCAGCGCCACATGCCAACGTACCGAGAAGAGCATCCAGTTCTGGAGTTTGCTGCGGTTGTGCGCGCGAGCCGTTCGCCGTGCTCGCGCTTGTGCTTGTGCTTGTGCTTGTGTTCAGTGTCGCGCTGGGCATGCTGGGCATGCTGGGCATGCTGGGCGCCGGCGTGCCGCCGCGCGCGGGACTCTGCGTCCCGCTCCACGGGTCGACGTCGTACCCGCTCGCTAGAGGGTCGGAGAAGCCGCTGCTCTGCATGGCGCTTGCCCGCGGCGTGTTGCTGCCGTTAGTGATGGAGAGGGGCGGGACGCACAACATTGTAGTGGAGAGACGGAGAGAGTGGTGGCGGTGACGACAGCGAGTTGGGCAATGAGGCGGGGCCAGGGACGCTTAGCGGTGCCTGAATCTCCCTCCACCTCACTTGATCAGTTGTCGGAGTGCGAGTGGGAGTTGAGCGTTGCTCTGTCTCTGATCTCGACCATGTCTGGCACGTCTGGCGTGCACGAAAAGGCGCGTGGGTGGGAGGCTGCGCGCGACGCGCTCGTCGATGCGGCGGTGGCGGCGCACGACGAGGACACACTCCGCCGCCTCTCGGCCATGCCGGGCGGGTTTGGGAGCCGGCCCGCCCGATGCCGCGCTTGGTGCGTCGCCCGCGGATGACGCTCACACAGGCTCGAGCTCCTCCATGTCGACCGGTTGCGGAGCGCATCCGTGTCTCCCGATACGACGCGGTTCGCGACGCCGGACACGGACGCCGAGACGGTCGTGTACACACCGCACAGAGACGAGGAGCAGGTGCTGCTCGATACCCGGCGGGCGTTTGTGACGTATCCGCGAGGTGAGTTCTTGGTTCCGCCCGCGCATCTGCGGCTTCTTCAGCTTCTGCTTCTCGTTTGCCTCGGCCTCGATCTGCCCGCTGAATCCAGACGTCTCTTCCGACGCCAAGGCCGAGATGCAGGAAGACCTGCAGGCGCTGATCTGTGCCGTGCTTCAGCGCCATCCGGCGCTGCACTACTTCCAGGGCTTCCACGACATTGCGACGGTCCTATACCTCACTCTGCTCTCCAGAGTGCCGCGCCCGCGGGAGGGCGCAACGGCGACAGATCGCGAGGAGTGGGACACGCTTGTGCGCGCCACCGAGGTCGTCGCGCTCAGCCGCGTGCGCGACGGCATGGGCAAAGACCTCGGCGCTATGATGGGCATGCTCAAGCTCTTGCGGCGCGTCCTCGCCGCCGCTGACCCTGGGTTGTACCGCATTTCCGCATCGTGAGCTGCGATCAGGGCGGGCTGACGACAGGATCTCGCCGGTGCCGACGCTGCCGTTCTTTGCGCTCAGCTGGATCCTCACGCTGTTCTCGCATGACGTCGACACGCTCGCGCCGGTCCAGCGCATCTTCGACTATCTCATCGCCCGCAATCCCATCAGCGCAATCTACCTCGCCGTGGCAGTATGTCTCGTGGAGAGCCTTACTGACACCAGATCTTGATGTCGAAGAAGCGGCAGATGCTCAAGCTCGCTGCGGCTCTGGGACCAGAGGCCCGCCTCGACCCCTCGCTTCTCCATCCCCTCTTCCAGCGCCTACCGCCACTGTACGCCGATACACCAGAAGAGCCCCGCCCCCCACCGGACTTTCACCCTCCCGAGCACGGGGCCAAGTACGACGAGCCGAACCCATATGCGCCCATTGCGCTGAGCGGCATCTTCCAGCTTGCCGACAAGCTACAAGCCAAACATCCGTTTGACGGGTCACGCATCCGCGCACATGAAGTGCTGGGTCCGGGCAGCGTAGTGCGGACATATGCGCGCGAACTAGGCGACAGCCTAAACCATAACAGCGAGCTCGACGATGGAGAGATGGACGAGAAAGCGGCACTCAAGGGCTGGACACTGGCCGACGCCGAGGCGTGCATCGACAAGGATGTCGTGCTCCCCGGCGGCAGTGAGCTCGACGACGACGACGAGACTGTTCCCTGGCCAGATCGACTGGGCGAGCTCGCGCGGTCGCAGCGCGTTGTGACTGCGCTCACGCTCGGCGTGCTCTTCCTAGGCGTCGGGGCGGCGCTGTACCGCTCCAGTGGGAGATACCGACTCGCTGGGCTGTGGGCGAGTTATGTGCGACGCGACATGTCGTGGGCACGTGCGTATTTTGGGCATTATGTCCGGTACGTTCCGGCGCTGCGTGACTTGTAGCGTGCGGCGTGCAGTTGTTGGACTGAGACTGGGAGTGTTATCAACATGGGATAGAGCCAGGCACAGTGCTACAGGGCGATTTGTATTGAAACACTACTATTGAGATCGGGATATACGGATGTAGGACACGGGCCAGGGACGAGGAATCGGCAAGTGATGCCGTCAACGGCGCTCGGCTGCGGCATCGCGGCATGCTCTGAAGCCATCCACGGAATGAGGTATGTGCGCGCGCCGCTGTCCTGCTGAGAGTGAGATGTATGCACCGGCGGTCAGCAGCAGTAGGCGGCCGTGCAGGTCGTGTGTGGGAGGAGCATGTGCTGCCAACAACCTCCATGTCCGGCGGAGAGACGGAGAGGGGGGGAGGGAGGAGAGAGGGCAAAGTGTGTCATCGCCACCAGGGGAAAAGTCGCAGCGTGCAATTAGACTCCCCCCTCGTCCATCCCGCAATCATCCACATCTCTCTCGCTCTCTCATGCATCTCTCTCTCTCATCTTTACTCTCTCATCTTTACTCTTTCTCTTTCTCTACTCACTCTCTTTCAACTCGCAGCTCGACTCTTGTGCCAAGCCTCCCCTTCCCACCGGCTCCTCACCCTCCCCCCTCCCCCCCCCCCCCCCCCCCCCCCCTCTCCTCGGCTCATCCCTCTGCCGACCCCACCTGACCAGCCTTACCGGCGCCAAGACTCGGTGACGAACGCTTCTCCACTCTCAACATCCTCTCTATTCTGTTTGCCACCGTCGCCCCGATCGTCATGCGGACGGCCATCTCCCTCCTGGCCGCCGCAGCAAGCGCTGCTGCCTATACCTTCAACACCACTACACCAACACAGTGCGAAGACTGGACGATCACATGGTGCGTATTCTCTCATTTCGCCCCTTGAGTGCGCTGGGTCATCGGTCACAGGCCACGGGGCCACGGGCCACGGGCCACGGGCCACGGGCGCCAGCAAGCACCGCCCACGGGATCGTCGGGCTCGTGCGATCCCTTGACTATTAATCCGCTCCACCACCAACTCTTCCTCTTCGGCGTCCAACTCCGCCGCACTGCTGACTCCGCAGGGACGGTGGAACGGCACCATTCTACCTCCTCATTGTGCCGGTGAGTTCATGTCGATGGAGGTGTGCATGAGACATGTCCGGCGGGCTGAGACGCATGGCGGGTGGCGTTCGAGATGGCCTGAGCACACCCCTCTCACCACCCTGGAACCACGTTGACCGCAGACGGTTACAATCACCTATGGCCGAATTCAAAACATCACCCTGCCTGCTTCTGGGAGCCCCCCCTACTCGCACACCTTCAAGCTTGAGCAGCCAACAGGCCTCGAGTTTGCTGTAGTCCTCTCGGATGCGACGGGCTGGGGGGCAGGTGGCGTGAGCGACATTCAGCGTGAGTGTCATCGCTCCCGCGCTGACGTGACGTTGACATTCAGGCGTCCAAATCTCTCAAGACACCAGTTGCCTCAGCACCCTGGCTCTTGCCGACTTCTACTTTTGGACCGAGCCTGTCGACCTCCCCCGCCAATGTAGCTCGATGCGTGTGGCGTGGAACACCGAGAACATCACTTATCCGTTGGGACTGCACGGCTTTGTGCCAGGGGGCAGTACATGGGACATTGCTGTGCCGCAGAACCCTAACCAGGTCTCGACCAACTGGACTGTGAATATTGATTCGGGCACACGGTTCATCCTATTGATGACCGACGCTGGGCGGTATGGAACTGGCGGCAGCTCACCACCCATCACTGTCCAGTTCAGTGGCAATGACACATGCATGGGACCCGACAGCCCGCGCTCGACCATTAATCCGTCACCCACCGCTTCCTCCTCGCCATCGTCCTCGCCTTCGCAAAGCGGCGCCGGTAGCGGTGGTGGTGGTGGCACGAATGTCGGCGCTATTGCGGGTGGAGTTGTCGGTGGCATTGTTGCCCTCGCGATCATTGCTGCGGCAATCTGGCTGTTCTGCCGCCGACGCAAGCGTAGCAGGTCCGACAATGGAGCAATGGTAAGCTCTTCGCGAAGACGGTCGGAGGAGACGCGGAATCGCTTGCTCGGTCGCCTAACACAACAGCGCACAAGCGGGCACGAACGTAGTGGCCGCCGCCCGCACTCGGGCTTTGAGATTGATGTCTTCGAAGGGCGCCACCCGGATGAGGCTAGATCCGAGGTCGACCACGGCGAGAACGACCCGCACATGACGCCGTACACTTACGACACCCCACCCACACGCGACAGCATGCTCTCGACGGAGAGCGGCGGGTCGCGCCCCGCCCCTCCGCTCGGACCAGGCACGGCGGCTGGCCGGCCCGGCCAGTTCGGCGAGAAGGAGATGCTGGCTCTCAGCCGTGCGGGGAGCACGGCGCCAGGTTCCACAACTATGAGCGAGACTAGCCGAGGCGGTCGCCGCTTCGAGGACCTCCAGACTGTCTCAGAGCTCGCGATTGACAGCGCCAACTCGGGCCGCCCAGTCGATCGCGAGGCCCTCCTGGCCTTCCTCGACCCCCCTCCCACTTATAATCAGTTTGACTTGCACGCCTCCAACCCCGACGAGCCGGGCGACCGGACTTCGCGCGCCTCGGGCTCCACAGACCCCCGACCTCTCTCCACAATCGAGCCTGGGCCATCCCGTCCGCGCCGCTCCGAGGAGCCTGAACGCCCCATTCGCCCCAGTGGACAGTAGACAATGACTGAGACCAGTAGACCGGATAATTAGTGTATACTACATGCATGGCCAACGCGACGAAAACGATTGACGAACGAAAACAAGAGGGGTGCTCGTGTGGACGCGTTTCAACCTTGCTGCCGGCTAAGGTTGGCGGGGATTCAGCACGAATGGCGACACAAGCTGCTGTGAGCAGTGGTGTGGCCCAGCTCCAGAGCCTGAGAGGTGTCCAATCGGCCGAGACGATGACCGAGACGATTGCAACAGGATGTTACAGTAGTAGGATACGAGATTGACATGTGATGCAGCGGAATGCCACACTGCCATTTGACGGCGTTTTGCAAATACTTCCGTCTCTGTAGTGAAGCCACCTCCCACCTCCGGCGGACTGCGCGTCGTTCTTCGGGTCCACTCTCGGCATATCATCAACAACATCAACCATATCCTCTGCCTCGCTGGCTCTCGGTCCGTCCACTCCACTCCCCTCGTCACACGCGCCAACAGCGCCACCCCCATTGCCCTCAGCCGTCTACACCACCGCCGCCGCCGTCCTTGCGCGCCGCCCTATCCCCCTCCTTCCCCCTCCATCTCCAGCTCTTGCCTCGACAAGAGAACGCTAAGCGTCTCCGCCACAATCCCCCGCCCCCGTCCCCGAACCCGCCCCGTCGACGAGCAACTCCTCACCATGTCGGGCGCACGGAGTATTGTGAGTCGAGGACGCTGAAAGGCAGCTGATTGCAGTCACGGGTGTATGCCGACGTAAACGAGAAGATGGGCCGGTCGTGGTGGGACTATGGTGCGTTGCTTCTGATCGACACGCCGCCAGTGATCGAGCGAGCTGGGCTGCAGGCGCTGCCAAGGCTCGACGGGCGGCGCGGGCGGGCTGGCCGGCCGTCAAGCAGTGCTTTCGCACTGCGGCTGTGCTCTTGGCGCCCGAGTCTATTCACCTTCCTTCACATTGGGAGCGGCCTCGAGCTCCTCTCGCACGCCCGCTGACTTCAGACAACCTCGTCGTAACATGGGGTGTCCAGGACGACTACGAAATTGTGCGCAAGGTCGGACGAGGAAAGTACTCGGAGGTGAGTGTCAACGCAGTCTAGCCTCGTACGAGCCCGACGTTAACCCCCAAGGTTTTCGAGTCGGTACACCTGCCCACGAACCAGAAGTGCATCGTCAAGGTGCTCAAGCCCGTCAAGAAGAAGAAGATCAAGCGCGAGATCAAGATTCTGCAGAACCTCGCTGAAGGACCTAACGTCATTGGCTTGTTGGATGTGGTCCGCGACAGCCAGTCCAAGACGCCATCGATCGTGTCCGAGTATGTCAACAACACCGAGTTCAAGACGCTGTACCCAAGGTTTACCGACTTTGATGTGCGCTACTACATTTTTGAGCTGCTCAAGGCGCTCGACTTCTGCCACTCAAAGGGCATCATGCACCGCGACGTCAAGCCGCACAATGTCATGATTGACCACGAGAAGAGGCAACTGCGCCTCATCGACTGGGGACTGGCCGAGTTCTACCACCCGGGTACCGAGTACAACGTGCGCGTTGCGTCGCGATACTTCAAGGGTCCCGAGCTGCTTGTCGACTTCCAGGAGTACGACTACTCGCTTGACATGTGGTCGCTCGGATGCATGTTCGCGTCCATGATCTTCAGAAAGGAGCCCTTCTTCCACGGCCACGACAATGCCGACCAGCTCGTCAAGATTACTCGGGTGTTGGGCACCGACGAGCTCTTCAACTACTTGGAACGTTACGACATTGACCTTGACGCACAGCTTGACGACCTCATCGCGCACCACCCGCGCAAGCCTTGGAACAAGTTTATCACGACGGAGAACCAGCGCTTCATCTCGAACGAGGCCATCGACTTCCTGGACAAGCTGCTGCGGTACGACCACCAGGAGCGCTTGACAGCAGAAGAGGCTCAGGAGCACCCGTATTTCCGTGCGTCCACTGGCCCGTTTTCATCACTGACATGCAGAGCCCGTAAAGCAGGCGTCATAGGGGATGTCGCGCCATTAGTAATGAACGTGGGTTGGTGTGTTAGTAGTTGGCCCGGGCACGCTGGCTACGCTGCTCATGGCCGCTATGCTCGAGGCCCCAGAGCCGCCGAGTTGCATCGTGTAGATATACCCTCATGCCGATCATCATTACAGATGATACTGTCTCCCGCCACTCCGAGTTTCTCTTCCGTGTTCCATAAAAGGTCGCCATGTTTCGCATGCACAATGACATGGCCATGATGGGTGGTCGTAGTCCGGCTGTGGCGTCTTATGCGAGGGCGAGGGCGAGTGTGAGTGAGAGTATGACGAGAGTGGCTCTGTCGAGAGTCGAGAGAGGTGACAGCGAGATCTAGCGAGATGGCGAGAGATATCTCGACTTGACACACGAGACAAGAGCTGGGAGGGAGAGCTTATCGAGTGGAGCGCGTGGAAGCGAGCAGCCCTCTCTTGGTGGTGCCTGATTTTGGGCGAGACTCTTGGAACCCTGGCGTCTGATACCCTCCCTGCACACCCTGTCACATCCATCCCACTCACTCACTCTACTCTCTCTCCAGTCCATTCTCATCCTCCAGTTCTCTCTTTCCATCCTCCCACTCACTCCTCAGCAGCTGCCAGCTCCGCTATCCCCTTTCCTCCTGTCGACAGCGCCTCCCCCCCTCCTGCTCGCCACCCCTCCACGCTTCTTGCCCAGCCCCTTATCGGCACTCCGGACCTTGCGGCACCCGGCACTGCCTTGAACAAGACCGCCTTTCAATTCGCCAGCTAGTCGGCCACCGCCACTTCTCCAGCAATGGCATACTCACATCTCGACTCTAGCGGCCAGCAGACCCAGGCTCTGCCGCGCAAGGGCGAGGACCAGGACCAGCACATCCTGCGCGAGTTCAAGGTGGGTGGCGGAAGCTGACGGGTCGAGCTGACACGCAGCGCAAGCTCACAGAGGGTACGTCCGCCGCGCTTCACCCCCCTGCCTCCGTCGTTCTCCACGCCCATCCGTGTGCGGCTCCGCGCTGAGCGCAATGGCGCGCGCCCACGTAGCAGCTGGTGGCAATTATCTTTGCCGGCCTCGGCTGTGCCGCTTGGCTCTCGGCAGAGCTCGGCTCCTCGCATTCCGCATGACGAAACACTGACGTTGCAGACGAAGGATACATCAACTACTTCTCCGAGCGGTGAGCATCAGCTGCGGGATTCATGTCATCCTCGGCACGCGCCTGCGGTATGCTAACTCATCCGCAGCCTTAGAATCGAGCAGGAATACATCCAGGCGTTGTCAAAGCTCCACGACAGGGCCAAGGGCGCTGATATCCTCCAGGACGAGTACGTCTGTGTGGCGACAGTGGGCTGGGAGCATGGCTGACCGTTAGTGCACCGCATCCACGTGCGCGCGTCACCTCGTCGGCACGCCGCGCATGGTTCGAGGTCCGCGACTATACACAGAGAGAGATCGAGACGCGCGAGGCCTTCACCAACGCGCTGCAAAAGGATGTGCTCAACCCCCTCGTTGCGCTGCGCGATACCCAGACACGCATCCAGAACCGTATCCGCGAGGACCTCAAGTCGGCGACAGGCGCATACGAAGAGTATGCTCACTCCAAGGTGCCCAAGATGCAGCGTTCGTACCGCGCAAAGACACAAGCCGTGGAAGACTTCCGCAAGCAGCAGCACGCGATAGAGATGCAGGCCAAGCTCTTGGCCGAGCAGGTTCCCAAAGATCTGCCGGAGACCAAGCCCCATCCTTACTCGTCACACGGACACTCGCCAAGCACCTCTTCGGTCAACAATGCAACCGGGAGCTGGGGTAGCGGACTGTCTGACGCGGGCGCGGGCACGCCGCCCGGAAACGCGCAGTCGCCCCAGACTTCGCAGCACCCGCAGCATCTTCCACACCCGCAGCAGGCGTACCCGCAGCCTCCTTATCAGCAGCAGCAGCAGCAGCAGCAGAGCGCTATTTCGGCGCCGTCTGACGCGCGCTCGTTTGAGCGGTCGCACGACCAGCGCACCCTCGGCCATGGCTTGTCAAACTCTATTTCGGGCCGCGCGCGTTCCGGATCGGGGTCATATGCCGCAACCATGCAGGCCGTCGACGCAAAGTCCAAGGAGGTGTTCAGCGACCTGGCGGCGCACTCGAAGAAGGGCTTCGCTGCAATCATGCAGCGCCTCGGTGGCGAGCGTGAAGGAGAAGGAGCACCCTCCATAGTCACGCCAGAGAGCACACTCGGAAGTGCAACGTCGAGCGTGAGACGAGGGTCGGTCCGGCACAACAACGGTGCCGTCAAAAGCGCCAAGATCAAGCGCGACGCCGAGGAGGCCGACAAGGCCTACCGCCACGGCGTATTCCATGTCGAGACGCTGCGCCTGCGCCGTGAGAAGCTGCAGCAGTCGGCCATTACGTCGTTGAGCCAGTTCAACGACGAGCTCAACGCGACGTTGTTGATCACGCTGCGCGCGTACGCACACGTCTCGCACGGCACGGCAGTGACGTTGGGCCAGTCGACCGATGTCGTTTTCCGCAGCCTCCGCGGCGTAGACGCCAACCGCGACAAGGCACTCTTCCACTCGCGCTTGCCTGTGGTCTCGCGCTACCCGCAGATCATGTACGAGAACTTCTACGTCGGCACCTGCAAGTCGCTTATCTTCGGCTTCCGTCTGACCGACTACGACTTTGCGCGCGGCGAGACCGGCAGCCACGGTCGCCCGCCGCTCATAGTCGAAAAGTGTATTGCGTGGGTCGATGCCATGGGCAACGATGCCGAAGGCATCTACCGCATGAGCGGGAGGCAGCAGACGGTGCGCCGACTTATCCAGGACATTGAGCGCAACGAGGAGACGTTCTACTTCACACAGGAGGATGATGTCTACTCCGTCGCCGTCGTGCTCAAGGCGTACCTCCGCGATCTGCCTGACCCGCTGTTCCCGCTCCCGCACGCCGAGCGAGTCAAGTGGTCCGAGTCGAGAGAGTCGCACTTCAACAACATGTTCTCGATGCTGCGCGGTCGGCTCCGCCGCCTCCCGACCATCCACCAGACAACGTTCCAGGCTGTCATCGAGCACCTCAACCGCATCTCAAACAACTCGGCCGAGAACAAGATGAACGCGGCTAACCTTGCCGTCGTGTTCAACTCTGTTCTCTTCGGGCAGGAACAAATGCCGAATGACGACGCTCTCAAGATGCATCTCCAGAAGGACACGGTGCTCGAAGACATTATCACCCACCCCGAACTCCTCTTCCCGCCGGAGGGCTTCTACGGAAACGACCCACAGTCACCCAGCAAGGCGAACAGCAATATGAGCTCGCAGACCCGTCTTGATTTGTATCCTGCGCCGACAGGTCACATGCCACACAGCCCGATGAGCGCCATGTCCGGACCGCCGACGGTCCACACCCCGCCTTTGCACGTCTACGCGACACAACACCCCATTGCTGCACAGCACGCGCGCGCTGGCAGCAGCGACGACCCAGGACTCACGCCTCGGACACCGCAAGTACCGATCTCATTCCAGCCGCCCTCACACACGTCCACGGGGCAGCACATCTCGCCCCAGCCACCACTCCCGCCGTCGCTCCCAGCCGGCGCGCAGATGCCGCACATGCCGCCGCACCCGGAAGGTGGCCTCGGGCAGCAGCTCGCAAGCCTTGATCTGAACTCGATGGGTCTCGAACAGGCGCTGAACGGCCAGGGCATCACCCCGGACGAGGAACTCGACCTGCTCTTCGATCCGGCCAAGATCCCTACTTCGTTGCGCGAGTCTCTCCCCGGCGAGTACCACGTGCGTCCGCTGGCATCGGACGACTTCCTTCGCGCACACTTTGCGCTTCTCTGCGTGCTGTCGCCCTCGCCCGCCCTCGCCCCGAGTGTGTACACCGCCCTCTTCCGCGCCCTCAAGACTTGCCACGACACATACTATATCGTGGTGCTCGTCGAGCGCGCGACTGACCAGGTCGTCGCGTCCGGCACCGTCATCAAGGAGCGCAAGTTCATCCGTGGCGGTGGCATCGCCGCGCACATCGAGGACATTGTCGTGGGGCCGACCGCGCAGGGCCGTGGGCTCGGGCAGAGGCTCGTCGTCGGCTTGCGCGACCTTGCCACCGAGCTTGGATGCTACAAAACCATCCTCGACTGCCAGGAGGCCAAAGTCCGTGAGTACACAACCCCATACCATGCCGCTGCTAATGCTAGCGTTTTACGAAAAGTGCGGGTTCACACTCCGCGGGCGCCAAATGGCATACTACGTGCCGACAGCGGAGGCGCCGCCGCGCCGCGAGTCGCTCGCCAAGCCGAGCCCCGGCCTCGCCTCGTCGCACCCCGCAACGCCGACGCGCCTCGCCCCGCCGCGCGAAGACAGCGACGACGACACGGCCTCGATCGCCGAAACGTACATGACCGGCACGACGGGCACGGACGAGACGTTCACAAACGTCTCGTACCGCTTTCCCACGACGCCGAGGGGGGGCACGCTCGGCCCCGGCGTCGCGAGCACCGCGCCGGAGATGGGGCTGAGCCCGTCCGTCGGCGGACCCGGCGACCAGCCCGTCGACCTCACCACGCCGACGGGGAGTGTCGGGAGCGCGGGCTCCGCGCGCGTGCAAGAGAGGGGGTCGTACTTTTAGGCTATGGGCACGGACAATAACGACACTACGATAGCGACATTCATGGATTGTTGACGATGGTCAGGAGGTGGAAAGATACCGCGGGGGGAAGGAGGAGTGGTGTGGTTCCCAGCGGTTCGATTGTATGGGCGTGCAGGGCGTGAGAGTCGGGGCTTGAGCGATAACACAGGCCGACGGGCGTGGTGGAGATCGTCGCTGGCGTGAGGCTAGATTCTGTTGGAGCTTTTTACTGTCGTTCTGAGGGAGACGACCGTCGCCTCCACCTCCCCTCACGACCGAGCTCAAAAGGCCAAACTCTCACCATGGTCACACCGACGAACGAGCGAAAACAGCACGGCAAGGATCTGCCATCAGCTCATGACGAGCAAGTATCCCAGACGCTCGGGGCGCGAGTCATTGGGAATCGCCTTGGCAACCTGTTCGTCTCGTCCTTTCGCGGTCGCGCGGGTGTACAATTGTTCGGGCATTGCATCACGATTGTCGACGCAGTGTCTCCCATACTGGTGTTTGCACACCACTGGCAGTGATGTTGCCACTCTTGCTCGCGACCACAAGGGCAGTGATCAGTTGTGCTCTATTCCGGACGCGACACTGGGAGTTGTCGGCATTGGCAGTGTCTCATGACGGCAGAACTTGTACTACCGCCACAAGGGGATAGCATGGAGCGGCAACTCTTGTTCGTAGCGATGCGTGTGAAGTCGCCCTTGGCTAAAAGCCACTGCCATGTCGACGAGGACGGCTTCCGTCGCCATTCTTTCCGTGTTGAGCGGTCCCCTGCCATTATTACAGCGTCAACTTCGGCGAAATGGCGGTGAGTGCGAGGTCCTCTGGCCATCCACTCTCAGTCTCGTGCAGAGCGAGCAATGCCCCAGTCTCGCGTCGCAGTTGCTGCCTCTCGTTTTGTGGAAACAAGTTGTCGTCCTAGTCTTTGGCAACGATATCGCCACACAATCACTCGGCGTCCCTCAGGCAAATTGTCACTGTGTCGACGGCAAGGCTCGCCGTCGTGTGATCTCGTGCAGAGCCTCCAACCGTATCCTGCGCATCACTCGCACTGATCTGCTCACCAGTGTCCTCGCAAACGTGATACTCTTCACAGTCTTCATCTCCTCCAACACAGAGTGTTGATGGCGAGGCGGAGAATCCGGCAGGTGGCGACTCGGGCCCGGCGCTGCCTGCTGCCAATGGCGACTCAGCCGCAACGCCTTCTGGTGTCAGTGGCAAGCAGCCCCCACCCCCCGTCAACGCAGTGACTGACCTGCCTTCCTCCAATGTCGAGGCATCACGCGGCAGAGAGCGGCAACCGCAGCAGGGCTTCAGGCGGGAGGCATGAATGTGGCGGTCGCTAAGCTGAGGATCCGAGGCGCAAATCCCTTTGTGGCGGTGCCATTCTGAAGCGATCTCATCAATCTCGATCAGGAAAGGAAAGGACCCGAAGAAGAACTCGAACTCCTGCCGGACGGGGGTGGGTCCGTGCGCATCCACATGCATCCATCAATTGGTCAGCATGCTCCGCAACCTCGGTCCACTCATGCGACCAAACGACTTCAGCGACGTCTATTTCCGTGTGGGAACATACCACATGTCAGGTCCGAGACTATGGCGCGAATGTGCGCAAGTTGGACTGGTGGGCCCGTCCCTGGCACCGTAGTTCGCTGCCACATCCACCCCAGTTTACCAGTTTCGTTCTCACCACATCCGAACGTGTTCCGCTGTTCCAGACTTCAGACAGGTCGCTGGGCCAGGTTTTGAGAGGGCAAAGCAGGATTATGGCAAGATCCCCCCACTCACCCCACAGCACAGTCCCCTCTTCCCCTCGGGGCCCTCGCCCGCTGACTACCCAGTGTTGAGTACGGTGCCAGAAACTCCTGCAGGCATTCCTCATGCCACGAGTCTCTCCGACGCATCCCCGCCCACGTCCCCGCGTCGCTCCGAGAAATGCCTCGCCTTGTCAAGTAATGCCTCTTGCTGTCTGCTGTCGATCAGCATTGTCTGTGCAACAATAATCTACGACCGGATCTCGAGATCCACAGACCTGTCGCCACGATCCGTCGTCGTCGGAGGCACCCATGCGGGTTCGGGTTCGGAGACAAAGCGTGTCTGTGCGATGCTTCTCACTTATGGCGGTCTCGGGACAACAAAGGTATCTATAGTCTAAGAACTTGCACAACAAAGTCCATGGCAAGGTACACCGAGACGAGACAAAGTCGCGTGAACGGTGCGACTCGGTCCGCTTGTCGGGCTTGGCGCAGGATGCTTTTCGGGCGCAATTTCGGGCGCAATCGAAATTGAATCCTACGCGCTTTCGAGGCGGCTCGTGGCGGGTGGCGTTTGCCTGTGAGGACCTCAGGTGGCGATCGAGTTATTGGTGAAGAAGTGAATGGGCGACTGCGATTGGACAAGAGGCCGCGTAGGGATGTTGACGTGAAGATAGGCTGGAATTCAGCCTCGTGTGCTCAGCATGCACGGGGCAAGCGGCGAAGATCCATACCCCAGTCCAAGCTGGGTACATGTAGGAGGCTGCTTCGGAGCTTCACGACATGCATGAGCAACGATTGAAGGTGATTTGAAGACGGATCACACGTTGTCTCGGTGTTGAGCCACGCATTCTGAGCGCCATCAACTCAGCCGGAGCGCTGGAATCGGACAATTGTAAGGCACGGCGATCATGCATACGTACACGACTATTTACTCTTTCGGCCCAGGCACGCAATGTTCATTCAGACAGCCACCGATACAAACAAAAGCCGGGTTCCGGGAGGCATGCAGCACGTGTGGGGGCTCCGAGAACGACATTGTCCTCGCCGCGCTCGCCTTGCGCGCCGTTCTCGCCGTGCACAGCTGCGAGCGGTGATGCACACTCTCTCCATTGTACTCTAATTCGTCGAGGTCAGCACGGGCAGCCAAGCGTGGGGGAGATCAGACGAGGCATGGAGATCACTGACGTGCTGTGTCGCTTGGATTGCGACCGTCGCAGAAGCCCCCACCTGATTGAGTGCGATGCCAGTTCAGCATTCGCGTAAGACGACGCGGCGGGCGACCCATCGACTGAGCCATGAAAGGTTGAGATACACGGGCCCTTGCCCGTATCGAGGCCTACATCCGGGCGCCATCCGGCCATCGTCATCGGCTCCCCGTCCAGGTCGCTAGGATTTTGTCTGAATTGAAGCAGCACGCCGGTAGCCTTGGCCCAACCTGCCGAGGGCCTGTATTCTCGCAGCGGCGGTGTGGCGTGGCCGACACTTGAGCACCTGCCGGGTTTGCGGTGTTCGGGCTTGACTGGGTCGCCGGACTCTCCATCCCCCACGCTGCACAGGCCACTTAGTAATCACCGAGATGCTCAGGAAGGAGAAGTGGCAGCGGCCCCCTCGTGCCCCTCAGCCTCATCGTTGCCCTCGCCCGTGCGCAAAATATCGGCGTCGGCTGATCGGCATGACCTGTCTCTCGGCAGCGTCACGCCACGCGCCCGGACTGTACGCCGTACGGGCGGTGGTGAGTACCAGCGATCTGTGCGTTGGTGCCACGAGTCTGCAATCCGTCGAGAAGCAACTTGTGCCAGCCATGCCAGCCACCGATCTTCGCGCGATCTCCATCGGAGAGCTCACGGCGGGCGGGCGTCCCGGAGGCTCTAAGCGCCCGTGATGCTCCTATGCCGCACATGGGACAGCTCGGACCGACATGGTACATGGGTACCCACGACAGACAGAGGAAGAGAAGTGGAAGAGATGGCACACCAACACACGCCCCTTGTGCCGTGTCGCACGACGCAGATTGCACTTTACATTGTGTGAATATCCGTTCTGCAGCTCACGGATCACACAGGCGCTGAATGAAAAAGATTGTCCGCAAAGAAGTGACGCGAGAGCGCTGGAAACCTCGAAGGGTAGGGCCGCGTGAGACTTTTGGGTCGAATGAATTGAAACACTCAATGTCAGCGGCGTCGGTTGCACCCTCGTCAACCCTAATTTAACCCTAAACAACCCTACAGTCTTCAACCATGTCCTGGCAATCATCCTTGGTTCCACCCCCCAAACCCAAAAAATGTCAGCCGCTACAGGAACAGGCGTGAACATGCCATGCCGTTCTCTTCTTGGGAATGTCAAGATACATGTACCAGGAAAGCGGAGTGGGGGACAGCAGGGCACTTGGGTGGGGCGTCGCATTGCATGTGCTATCTGTGTGGCAGAGGCGGGCGGGGGCGGGCTGGTGCAGGCGGTGATCTACTACCCCACTCACCCCCCTCGAGGTATTGTTGTCGTTGTTGTTGCCGCAGCATGCCCCCCTCAGCCCCGCCGTTCCGCCGACGTCCATCCCCCACTCCCCTCCCCAAAGTTGTCGGCCGCGGATGGATAGGGCGATCTCACAGATCATCTCAATGTCACTAGATTATTCTTCGAAGCGATGGGACGCCAAGTTCCATCTCTCGTGTGCGCAAGAGACTAAACCTAAACGAGTACTATGCCGCATGCCGCAGTTGATCGGAAAATGAAGAGCCAGCATGTGGTGCGATGGCACACACTCTTGCAGGGTACACTTGTCGATGGTATGCCACACGAAGCCGCGGACAGTAGGGCGTCACCTGACGGCCCTCAACCGACGTCAATAGCGTCACCGAAACATGCGCTTCTGCTGCCCATGCGCCCCCCCGACATGAGGCTGGGTCCAGGCTGCAGGCGACCGGGTGGCAGATATGCCAACTCCCAGCCTGCAGGCGGTGAAGGGATGGCGGCCGGGGCGTGTGGGCGGCATGGGTGGCGTCGAGGCACTGCGTTCCCAAGGGCCAGATCTCGCGTTCCAGTTGCCAGTTGCCAGGCGCCTAGGGCTTCGGGACCCCGCTGTCAATGCTCTTCAGCCTTTTGCTGCATTTTGCTCACAGGAGTTAGGGCCTCAGGTCCCATCTTGTCAAAACGCCGCCTCATCCAGCACTCTCTCTCTCCCTGCGGCACAGCGGCCCGCCTTGGGTACGCACGCACCTCCCCGCCTCACGTCCCCATTCCGAGTACATTTCTGCGCAGAGGCTTTCATGGCGCGAAGCAGCAGCTCCAAGGCGGCAGGCGGGTGGGCGCCACGGACGCGCCGCACATCGTTCGTGCTCGATTCGATGCCGTGGTGAGTGATCGGGTCTTGCCAAGAAGAGCTCGAGCGCCGGCGCGCGCGCCGGTCTTGTGTGCTTCTCGGCGCGCCGGCGCATTGACGGCCAAGGAGGGCACTTGCTAGAACGAAGGCGCTCGAGCAGGCAAGGCCGCCTGGCGGCCGGGCCGGCGGGCCAGTAGATGTGCGCCCGGCAAGGGGGGCGGAGTGGTCCGCTGCTGCGATGGGGCTAAATTGGGGGCTAGGTGCGAGCAATTGGCTCATGCAACGAGTGTAGGGTGTATCCTTGTGATGAAACGCCTCCACCGCAATTCTGTTGTTATCCAGAAACAGATGGATAGATGTGCGAGATGCAGCCCGGAGGCGGCGGGGGGGGGGGGGGGGGGGGGGGCGGGGGGGGGGGGGGGGGGGGGGGGGGGGGGGGGGGGGGGGGGGGGGGGGGGGGGGGGGGGGGGGGGGGGGG